ATAAAGAAATTTTCTAGGAAATATAATAGAATATTATAAAGAAAGTTTGTTATCAATGATAATTTGCGTCTTCAACATAGAAACAAATTATTATTAAAAACCTGTTGAGTTGTGTTAGCAACCCATCTGTCGACAACAGCTGAAGCAGAAATGCGAGCACTAGCCAGCTCCTTGCTTCCATAAAATTTAGATAGATACAACCGGCCTAATTGTAAATTAATGTAGGGTAGCAGAAACAATAAATAAATAAATTGAAATAAATTGTAATTACAAATGGAAATGAAAATTAGCGAAAAACCTGCATCTAAACAGTTGCAAGAAACTACTTATCAAATGATTCTCTGGCATAAGGACCAAAGGAACCAGTAAAACCAGAAATAACATGAACAAGCACTACCAGAAAGAAAAAAATAAAGTGCTTAAAATGGATTCAATAAAATAGATCAAAAAAGAGATTACATGCAATATTTCGCCAGTCACATGATAATAGTTTGTCTTTCGAGAAAGCAATGATTTTCATATTTTCTATAGTATGAAAAAAATGATTATTATAATATTGGTCCAGTCCAAATGTTGAATTGTTCCTTCCGCTTTCATCATAAAGACATTTCTTATTTGGAGTGAACCTTTATAAATTATAAATTCTGGATTCTGGCCGCTTGTTTGTTCTTCTGCTCCACCTTTCATGAAAGAGCCAAAAGTAGAAATGGTGAGAAGAAAAAAATTTACGATAAAATATTTCTAACACTTTAGAGGATTGTTTAGAGAAAGTTTTCTAAATTGTATTCAACAAAATCTTTTTATTTTAGTCATATTATTACATGAATTCTTTAGCCTATTTACTCAAATTTATCCGAATTTATTAGTTTGCTTTTTAGTTTACTTTCTTACATTTTTCAAATTCAAATAAAAAGCAGGCAAGTATAAATGAATTTAAAGTTCTTCCAATTGTTTGAATTCGTCTCATTTACACTAATTTTCATAAATGTATATTTAATAATAATATATTCACCGAGGACTATTCTTGGGCTCGAAATCCATTTGAAGTTAAGCCATTTGACTTCACGAAAAATATGAATGTGAAAATTTAAAAGATTTAGTTAATGACACTAATTTGAAATAGAAGTATAGGAATTCCTTAAAAAGTTTGAATAATTTTTAGGCAACTTGAAGATATCTCCTATTTCTTTTTACCACCATTTAAATGAGGCTTTTTATATCAAACTGCAATACAAATTATAGAAATAGATTTGATGACTGTCACACTTGTCATGATATTTCGACTATCAAATATTTATTCAAAAATATTTATATTTAAAAAAATTTTTATCAAAATATTTAAGAAATTAGTGATAAAGTGATGGGGGTATTGATAAGATATGAATAAGATATGAGCTTTCAAGGTTACATGTTTGTTTTCTTAAATATGACTTAAAAGCCTGGAAACATCGATATTTTTTAAATTTCATTTAATTGAAAATTTATTTTTCCAATCTTTTTTCAAAAATATTATTTGTATTTTTATGATGTTTATTTATTTATATTTCATATTTATACATTATATTTCAAACAATAATTTTTAATTTTTTTGCAATCTAATGATTTGATTTTGCATAAATAAATATTTGCGAAACAGTATTTGTTTTTAAATCCAAGTAACCAAATAACTGAAAATTCGATCGAAATGTTCCGTAATCACATTGTAATTTGTAAATTGTTGCTGGCAAAAAAAAGAAAACGCTGATAACAAATAATTATACTGATATTATCTTTGCTTATTAACCTAATCTTGATATAAAATGTTGCATATCATACAAAATGTTGTATTATCGAATTGGCTCACCTCACATTTATAGAATCTTATTTTTAAATAAAACAATTTTAATTTTTCAAAGATTTAGATTTAAATTATTAAAGTTGCAAAATACCAAGTTTTTTCGCGAAATTCTGCAATATTTTTATGAAATGATGAATCATGACGAGCGTTTCATTGAAGATATGCAAAGTTGTTAAAAGAAAAATTAGATCTTAATTTTAGAATTTATTTTTTTTTCAGGAAGATCTATCTATCATGTTTAAGAAATTAGTGATAAAGTGATGGATGTATTGATAAGATGTGAATATGAACCTTCAAGGTTACAAGCGCGTCGAACTCTATCCTAGTATATCAGAAAATGCCACCGAAAATCACCGTATGTCTACTTTTTTGATATAATTCATTTTTTCGGATTGATTTTGATTTTGTCAGACTGTTGATGTTTAAGTTAAAGCCTTTTTTAAGATTCTTTGGCTTCCTTTTGCATTTTAAAGCTTTATTGGCTATGATAAAAAATGACAATTTTATGCAAATAAAAGTCCATTGTTTAAGTTTAAACTTAAAAAGTTTAGGCCATTGGTTGTCATTTAGACTTTTTTTCGGATTCTTCTAGATGATGCTGTAAACTAGTTAGGCCGCTCATTTTCAACTTTTCAAATTTTAAAATATTTGTTAAATTTTTCTATCAAAGATTGCTTTAAACGAATATAATAAATTGCATAAAATAATCATTAAAAATGATTTATTACCATTGAAAACAAACAAGAATCTATAATCCGAGTTAAACGAAGGCTCCAACGCAATCCCTGAGAGTCGATGGAGATCCCACAGAGACCGCTGAGAGCCAGTTTGGCGATTATTGATTTAAAGGAAGCCATTTTAACAGATCTCATTTTTATACTTTTATGGTTTCGCTGATTCCAACTCGACGAAATGGAATGTAGCGTGTATCCAGAATATCTTTCTCCGGAATCTTAGTGAAAGTTCCATTTTCTTTTCATAACTAAGGGACATTTTTTCACTATTTTTTATAATTCATATTTATTACTTTGCTTAAATTTTATAGATCTGACAAATTTATTTCCCTCTTTTCCTTTCCTTTATCGTTTATTCTTTACTTTCAAAATTTATTCGAAAGAAATTTTGGGAAAAAGCGATTTAATGATCATTTACAATTAAATAAGCAATAAATTTTATTCAATTCCGCAACATTATTCATGAAAATAAATTTAGGATTTAACAATCAATGAAAAAATTCATTTAAACCTGTTTATAGTTCGTTCGATAATTAAGTTGCAAACTTATTTGTTTCCGAAGCACAATGGATTTTTAAGGCATTTTTAGGCATTAAATAAAAATTCTTTTATCGATTAACGACAAATTTTATTCATTTATAATAGCAGTATTTTTTGATAGTCAAGTTGCAAGCTCATTTGTTTTCATACTTTAAGGTACCCTTAGGCCTTCCCATCAACAGAATCATCCTATCGCGGGCAAAAAACACTCAATCTCATCCAAAATTTAGCTTCCACATAGATATGTAATATTATTATAAAATAGAATTATCTGAAAATGTTCTCAAATATTAATGATAAATGAACAACTATAAAATACAAATATTGGTGAATAAATAAATCGTCACGCCATTTTTTCATGCAAAAAAAATACTGGAATTTGGAAAACAAATCCAATAAATATTAATAAATAAATATTAAAAAAATCAATGTGCAATATATAAAAAATCCTTTTTTAAAATAAAATTTAGAGAATTTTGAGGTATATTCTTATTCTTTTATAAAAGGCAGGAAAATAGTAGGTAGTAGGAAAGGCGAGGGTCGAGCTACTGTCAACAATAGCTGTGTTTAAAAACCCAGATGATGCTAATGACCTACTTATATTTATATCACCAACTGGGGAAAATATTTAATTATTATAATAGCCAGGAGCGAGTCTAAGCAAAAATGCTAAACGCTAGCCGCTTATTTATAGGTGATAAACAATATAGTTGGTATGAAACAGAACAATTGAAAGAATATATTGATGAAGGGGCTACCGATGAGCTGGAACAATATGAACTGGACGATCATGTTGGTGAAATTCCACAAAAATTTGCACGCCAGTTTCGAAACGTATGTTTATTTATTTTTTATTTAGCGGTGCGGTAGTCGAATATGCGCTGCTTTAGTTGAAATGAAACCCCTCGGGGAAATGAACCTTTTAACAAAAGTGAAATGCGAATGATACTAACCATCTATATTTCTCTCATGATCTCCAAGTTAAGTGGAGGAGTTTCATTCATGATCACCATTACGGTTTGTCAAAAACGAAATGGCAAATATTTCTAATGACTGATGACACTATTTTTACTTTCTAAAAAAATAAATTGATTTTTGAAATTGAAATAAATTGATAATAAATAAATTGAAATTTTTATATTGGTTTAAATCGCAATATTTATAAATAAATTAATATCTGCTTCGTAGGTATTAATACAGAGACAATTAAAAAGATTTTTTGGACCAAATGGTGATAATGAATGGACCGCTTTACTTATTCTTTCAGCGAAATGATCAATTAATTAATTAAAGAATATTTTCATATTTTCATTTCTTCACAAATATTACCATTTATTTTAAAAGTCCTTTCAGAATGTGTCACGCAAAAAAACAGAGTGCACTGCTCCTAATTGCAATTGGGACGGTCCTATCTCCATTAACGTCCCACAAAAATTAAGTTTTCTTATAAATTTACTTTCTTATAACGTTTTCAAAAAGTTTATTGTTTGAAACGAGTTTTACTAAACTCAGAGTCAGCGAATTCCAGAGAAAAAGTGGTGGTGATTTCCACTCCCTTTCATTGACATTAAATATGAAATCTTTGATTTTGTCCTTCACATTCATTTGAGTTTTTAATAAATCCATTTATTTCTTCTTCTAATTATAAAAAATTGTCCCTATTTAGTGTTTACCTTACTCTTTGGCGCGGTTCATTATTAGTAATTTGATGACTTTAACTTATCTAATTTGGATATGAGCAATTATATGTTATATTGATAGACTAGAGGAAGAATTTCTTGAATTTTTGTTATATATTCGTCTAAAGCTATACCGATGTGAATTTAGAAATATCAAAAAAATCGTGAACCTGGCGAAACTTCGATTTTTTTTAGGAATTTTATGAGGCCGTATCAGGAAGCGATGAGGAGACAAAAGATATGGATGAAGAAATGGAGGTGCAAGGTTTTAAAAAAGTAATTTTCTTTCTGCTTTTTTTTTTTAATTCCAAAACATGAATTTGCTTAAATTTTAACACTTTAATTTTAACATAAAAACTTTAAAAACATGAATTTGCTTAAATTTAAGCATTTTTTCGAATTCTCATCGATTATCGTTGAAGTCCAAGAGAGTAGGTCTATTACTAATTAAATTTGACGAAAATTTTAAATTAGATAAGATTTTAATCGAAAAAAAAGTTGATAAAATAATAATTGAAAAAAAGGCAAAAATAATTCTGCGCAAAACAACCTTAAATTTTTGAAAATATCCAACAGCCACCATCCAGATTTCATTTTTAACGACAAGTTTTGATGGCTAAGAGGCAGAAATTGAACCCATTTTTGTTCATTGACAGGCACTATACATTGCTCATATTGTAAGTGCAAAACGGCCGAATGGATAGTGGCTTAGATCCTTACTTATTTCATTATGAAATTCTTTAGTGGAGTTTTTCAGTATGCGAAATTAATTCTACCACATGTTGGACTTGTAGTTCTCACATGTGCTTATACAATACTTGGTGCCTTGATTTTTTATAGTGTCGAGCATCCTAATGAAATGTTAACGAAGCGACACCAGGTAATATTGAAAATATTGGAAATATACATGAAATATATAATATATTTTTAAAAAACATCTGGGAAATATGGGTAAAGACTTAAGATATGCAAGATTGCCAGGTCATAAGCATCTTGCTTACTGACAAACGTTCGAATATATAATTCTTTTCTATGTAACGTTAAAATGCAGTCCCAAACCATAAACGATAAATTTAATCGATGAAGATTCAATTCGATTTGTGAGGTGAAATCGGTGCATCTTCGGGAAATCCTCGTTGAGTAATTCATCGAATCATTTGGGCATTCTCAGTGCGGTTAATGGCTTTAGTCAAAGGTATTTGAATCTTGCATGTCTTTAGATCTAAGTACTTTTTATGACATTTTTGCAGTTAGATATGATTTATAATCGTCAAGAGGAATTCGTAAATTCGTTATTGAAATTATCACAGTCGAATGAAACTCGTTCTGAAATTTGGATAAAACTTACTCACGAACATATGCACAATATGAGCGATCATTTATTCACTGCATTTGAAAAATTTTTCTTGACATCTACCGAAGTTCGCATGAATGATACTATTCAAATTTGGTCATTTTCTACATCGATTTTTTTCGCAGTTACAGTCGTAACAACTATTGGTGATTAATTTTGATTTCTATTGTTATTATGACCCATTACCTTTAATCTAATGGCGAAAGCCAAGAAAACTGAATATTTACTTAGGTTATGACTCGATTATGACTCGAGAGTCGAGTCCAAACTTCCTATGAAAACCAAGATTTTATTTAAAAATCAGAATTGAGAATAGAATAGAACAGAAGCCGTTTGTTTCCAAGCGACTTCTCTCTGGCAAAAATAATTGAGCTGACTGGAAATCACAGATACTTCCCACTTGCTTATTTTATTTACATTTGATCTTAGACTTAATATGCTATGATTAACGATCATTCAGGCTATGGAAATCCAGTACCAGTAACGCGTTTCGGTCGTATGATGTGTATTGTATTTTCTTTGTTTGGCATACCGTTAACGCTTGTGACAATCGCTGATATTGGCAAATTTTTGAGCGAGCATCTAATATGGATCTATGGGCATTACTTAAGGCTAAAGAAAAAAATGTTGCGCATGCACAAACGTAGGCATAGACAAGAGCGCGTATGTGAACAATGCCAACGGCAAGGAATATCAGCTGGTATGCAGCTTATTGAAGAACAGAGGTATGTTTAGTCAAAACTTTATAATATCAAGTGAACTTCTGCTTTGAACTTTTTATATTTTTATACAAATCGTTAAAGTACCCAGTTTAGTGCTTTTGGAGCTGATTCTTACAATTTAATTCCATTTTTCTTTTTAACTAATCGACATTTACTGATATCAGTAAAAAGCCGAAAGTTATATTTGGAATAAAATCATGAGTATGAGTAATACTATAATGTTATAGCGAAATTTTCATTTGGCGATAGAAGTACCACCGGGTCGTGAACACCCTCCGCATTTCCCTAATAAAGTAAGATTACTTCCGTAAGAAATAAGAGACGAACCCTCTCCTTCCAAGTTGATAATCTAAGCCACTCTCATCATGCTGCACACGCTAATGAATTTTTTCCATTCTTAAATTTTTGTACAAATAACTTTCACTGGTAATCTACTTCAAACTACCAAAGTTTTTTCAAAAATTTATTCATTCAATTTTGGATCAAATCAATTGATATTAATTATAATTTAACTTAATAAATTAAATTTTTTCTGAAAGAAAATATACAGACATTCTCCAACTATTTTTTATTAATGCTGCAAACAAGCAATCGTTTGGTTTAGTTTTCTTGGTACCATAGAATTGACCATTCGTATACTTTTTCGTACACGCAATACTTTTATAATCCTTTTTTAATTCTGTTATTTATAATATCGATTATCAAATTAATGAAACTTATATCAAATTCGATTTAAAAAAGTTGTATAAAGTAATAATTCTAGAATTCCGGCATTTCTTGTATTAACGATTCTCGTATTATATACAGCTCTTGGTGGAATACTGATGTCCCATCTTGAACCTTGGAGTTTCTTCACTTCATTTTATTGGTCTTTTATTACTATGACAACAGTAAGATTCTGTAACTTTTCTGACTTTCTACCGTTTACATTTGCTGAAGTTATGCCATTTATCCATCATATATCAAAGAACAAAACTCCGACATCTGTAGGCTAGGATCCCAGTTTGCTTTTAAAAATGGTGCCATACAATATGTAAGGCTAACATGATAAAAGGTCAATTCTTGAATTGAAAATCTTTAAAATCTTGAAAACATCCCTTCAAGAAAGCAAAAGAAAGAAAATTAAAAATGGACGCTAACCATAAAATTTGTGATAAAATTTTTAAATAATTTATAATTAAATCGTTCTTCTTCTAGAAAAAAATGAAGTTTGTTTTGAAGGTTGGTTTCGGTGATCTTATGCCTCGAAGGGATGCTTATATGTATGTGATTCTTCTCTACATTATTCTTGGTTCGCTTTTGCTTCTGAATTCGATAATAAAATTTTTTCGTGGCTGATTAATATTTCAATTAAATTGCATGTCGGCAATTTTTTTAGATGTTTAAATATCCTGGGTGTCGAATATTTTGAATATTGAATATTCTGGACACTTAACTTAATAGGTTATTAGTTATTTAGATAAGTGCTATTGGATAAGTATGTTAGTTGCCGAAGTAATTATTTTTTGTCGATATTGAAACTTTTTCGCCGAAATTTTATCGCCAAAAAGTTCACTTTTATTTAATATTTCTGTTTGAAAGCAATGTTATTTTAATTAAAAAGAAATATTTGGGTGCTCTCTTACTGAATTTTTTCTTATTTTTCTCGACAGATTTCCCTTATTTTTACATTTACGGTTTGGTTAACCCTACTGATCACTAAGATGTGACCATCCCAGCACAGAGCGACTTCGCTTAGGAATAGGAGTGAGTCTCTAATACAATGTAGACAATGTAGATTTTACAAGAGAGTAAGATTTTAAGAAGAAATTTTGAAATTCTGATAAGAAATTTTGAGAATTCTTCCGAGACATTCGAAACGAAAAATAGACAATCAAAGCAGTTGCGAAAATTTCGAATTTCTCATCTCTCTTGATTTTAGATATTTCTAAAAAATTTAATAGTAAGTTTAGGTTTGGCAATCACTACTATGTGCATTGATTTGGTTGGTGTACAGTACATAAGAAAAATCCATTATTTTGGGCGTAAAATTCAGGATGCTCGTTCAGCCCTTGCAGTGGTTGGCGGAAAAGTAAGGCCATTTCGTGGCTGAAGTTTTTCTGTTTTATTTAAGTATTTTGCAATAAAAACTGTCCCATGCATTTTTCTTAAATTTCGGAAGATGTGCGTCATGAAAATTGTAATTATATTTATAATAAGTTATTATCGCTGTAGTTTTTGCCAAAAGACAGCTTTCAGTAGTTCCTTTTGGTGATGATTTTGTTTAAAATTTGCAATTGCCAGCAAAAAAAAAATTTGATAAAATTCCAGTTTTTATCAGTGTTTTGAACTTAAAAAATTGACTGTGCAAGCAAAATCCACAATGAAAAACAAACAGTTGAATGATACACATATAGTTTGCAATCTCAGTCCTACTTCTTTATCCTACAATTCCCAAAAAAAAATTCAAAGTTAAATTTTAAAGTTTTCTCTGATTTAATATCATTTCGCGGCTACGCGACTGCTAATGAATGATAATCGAAAATTTTCAGGTTGTTTTAGTATCAGAACTGTATTCAAATTTGATACAAAAAAGAGCGAAATATCAAAGCCGAGAAGCTTTTATAATTGAGAATCTTTATATAACAAAGCATATAATCCCTTTTATTCCATCCGATATTCGATGGATCAGGCAATTTTATATTTTTCATGAAAAATTCAATCTTTAATATCTTGGGAACCAAGAAAATTATAAAATGCTTATGCAGAATCCAGTTTTTCATAAAAATCAATTGCGCTGTAATTTTCTCACCGCAATTTTCTGGCTATATAGAACTTCGAAAGTTCATCGAATTTTTTATCTCTGCTAGAAACCATTTATTTGGCAACTACGCAAGGACTTTTTGCTAGCAATACATTAGGAAAAAAGGCATAGATGACTATTCAGGCACTCGAATTTCACTTTTGACGGCTTACTCCTTAGAGATGAATTAATCGAATTTATGCCTCTTGGCATCAGCTAAAGCCACATTTTGTGAAGTTGTATTAAAAATTGTTCCTTAAATATTGCATTTAATTTTCAGATACATCGATCAGAATACGGACTCGCTTTCTTCTTCATCGACGAGCCTTGAAGTACAATCCTGTAGATTCTGCCATTCACGGTTTAGCATATCACATCATACATGATCTTTGCATATTTTTTTTAGTGGCAGATTTCCTTTAAAGCTGCCAATTTGGTTTTGTAAGCATGGGAATTTCTGATAAATTCTACCTAACATATTTTGATATAAATTTTCCAATTTGATAAATTTTTACAATTGTTCTGATTTTAAACAAGTGCTGATTCAACAAATGTTGAAAAATGAATAGTTCCCATGTGAGACCAATCTTCTCAGTGTTATCAGTGTTATCAATGAGTATACTATCTTAATGAAATTATCGCCTCTTTTTTATAGAAAATGGTAAGTGTTTATTTCAATGTATTCTTTCATGAAATTAATCTTGTATTAACGTCGATTGAAAACATATATTTAAAGAAAATTTGGAAAAATATTGTAGTATAAAAATATACTATATAAAATATAAAAATTAAGAAACAATTTCAAGAACCATTAAATAGTTATAAAATTATACAAAATTTATCACCGAAATGTTTGTTTTACCTTATTTGCGTTCAGTCTTTCGATTAGTGGAAACTTTTCTGCCATTCCTTCCTTTCCTTCCTTCTTCCTTTCTCCTTTCATTTGATTTGTTGATTTATTGTTGGTGAAAAAATAAAATGTTTCCATTCTCGAGTAGGAAACATTTTTGTTCGAAAATTTTGGGCCATTTGATCATCAATCTTATATTTCTGGTCATAAGAAAGAAACTGAATGAATGAGAAAAACTCAATGAAAGGACAAATGCTTCCATATTGATCGGTCATCTGTAAGCTGAAGGAAAATAGTTAAAATTCCACCACATAATAAATTTTCATCTTAAAATAAATTGAAGAAATTTATACATTTTAATGAAATCTGACCCAAATATTGCTGAAAAAACAAAAAATGATCAAAAAATTGGATAAAATTGCTGAAGCAAAAAAGATGAAGTAAGATTTAAAGATTTAACTCTGATAAATTCTATTGAAACTACTGAATCTTCCATCACAGCACCATTTGCAAACAGAAGGATGCAATCAATATTAGCATGGATAATGACTAACGACTTGTTTTAGTCAAACAGGACCCTCATCCATGTTGTTCACCCTCAGAAGTGAACTTAAAATGAGAACGGTAAATAAAAAAGTAAATCTGACCGATGAATTAAGAAAATTTCAAAGGTCATTGAGCACCCAGTTTATTTAACTAACTGATTTAAAAATAAATTACTTCTGAAGTGAATAGGTATAAAACTAGGAAAACCAAAAATCACAAGTTCATAAGGCAAATAGGAAAAATCCATTGGAAAGTTTATAATTATCTCCAGCATCACGGATTGGATTTTGTTGCCGACAAAAGCAAAACTATTGTTAAAAAATCCGATTTGATGCTGGCGATTCATCCATAATACTTCGAGTATTGAGTGATTCTTTGACAAAATTTCTCATCATGCTGACAACCAGAGAGAGGAGCCAAAAATGGTGAGTGCAGACTACTACAATATTCCTTGAGCAATTTGCAATTTCGTATTTAGTTGAAGAATATGGAAAAATGTGAGGTATTATCACTAATCGTATCATTATATTATATCATTTACTTTTAAAACTTTCTATAACTTCAGGCCACAAGGTAATTTACTGCTTTCTCGAGTTCTACTTCGACAAGTATTGAGGAAAAATGACATATCGAGAATTTTTATGATTGTAATTAATGAATAAATTGTATAAATTATCGGAACTAATCAATAAATTATTTAATAAATATAACAAACAGCAAAAAAAGTAATTACGAAATGACCTTTGACACATGCGAAAATTATTCAAAAATATCGTATCGTAACTGAAAGAAGCCATCATAAAATATTTGTCGTCATAAAATTCGATTTTTATGACAGAAAATAGCTTCGCTTTTAAAGTAACTAAATTGAAAATGACTCTCATTTTGATGAAAAAACTTTGCTACGAATGGTGTTGAAAATTTAAAATCTTTCATTAAATATATATCCTCGAATTTATTTATTCGAAATCCGTATTTCCTTTCTTTATATTCCTATATTCACCACTTTTATCCATAACTTTTTTCTCTTTTTTTATTATCAACCAACAAATTATTTATTTTTTATGTAAAAATATGTTTGATTAAAAATTTTTTAAATAACAAAATTTATTTTGCTATGCTGAGCTGTGATGATTATGGTTCGTAAAAAAAATTATTGATGAAGAAATAAAAATTTTTTAAAAATTTTCTAAAATATAAAGTGCAATAAAAATTTTTGGTGAATATTAATAATTTTTGGTGATTATATATATATATATATATCATTGTTTAAAAAGAGCCACTGGACATAAAAAACCCGGTTCAGTTGGCTAACACTTGTTTCATCCAGTTAATTAGTGGTTAGCATTCCTCCATTCACTTCACCATTTCTAGTTAATTCGCTATAGGATATCTATTAGGGTTTCCGCCAGAGAGTCATTTACGGACAAAAATAAAAATATATATCCAATATCCGAAATTGCTTGAATTTCGATCACAAAATAACTTTACTTTTTTGAAAATTTTTAAAAAATTTTACTTTTTTGAAAATTTTATTTTTTTTAGAATTTTATAATTTATTGTAAGAGTAAATATTCGGTAGCTACTGTCAAAAGAAAATGAAATTTTATAATTGCCATTTTATCTTTCTCCTTTCTTATTTTTGTCATTTAATGATGGAAATACAACAGCATTACCAGCATTTCAATGACATTTGTTCGCCTTGTTTTTTTGTGGAAGGAAAGTATATTTATGATAGCCAGAAAAATTGTTTTTCTGAAGTGGAATTTTGATGAAGTGGCTTTTCCTAAAAAGAGCAAAAATGAGTAATTTCTGACGTTTAGATATTAGTAATATTATATGGTTCATTTATTAAAGTTTAGTGGAGATTTGTCGAGTGGTCTAGTAATGGAATATGAAATACCACGAAAAAAGAATATTTCAACACTGCGAATTTCATCAGATAAATAATATAGCATTAGAACACTAAATGTATTCGAAAGTAGTGGGTGCGAGGAAGTACCAGTGGTTGCTGATTATTTCAATTTAAAATATCAAAGATCTGGTAGACCTGATGAAGATTTTTTGCACCTTTATTGGATGATATCGTTAAAAAACAAGTTATGATAAGCAAACAATTTTTCGTCATCTTCATGTCAATGGGAAGTCAGATAAGGCTTCTATTTAGGTTCCACATCAGCCAAATGAAGAATAGCATCAACAATCGACAATATATGCTTCTTTTTTCTAGAGAAAGAAGCATTTTTGGATAAAATTATTAACGGCGATGGAACGATACGTTACGACAATTCTAGTTGCAAATGATTATCATGATGACCTGGTTGCTAATAGCATGAAAAATACTAACAACAATTAAACTAGATAAGCAGAAAATTTATTGTGTATGTGTGGTGAAAAATAAAGCGAGCTCAAACCTGGTCAAATCATCACCTGTGATATCTGACAATTGAATAATTCAATTATCTTCAAGAGCGAATTTCATCAAATGCCTACAATAGCTAACAGGAAAAGGCATAATCCTAACATATTTCGGTATTTTCTAAACCCACATGTGGAACCTCCACAAAAGAAAGCAAGAAAGAATTTATGAATTGGTTCCAGGTGAAAAAAAGTTGTGACAAAAATCGTTATTATAAATAATATTGCGTAAATTGTCTGATATTTTAAATCAAATTTTTGTTAAAAATACGGCATTATTTATTTGATAACATAATTATAGACTAATAAATACGAGTAAAGGGAAATACCAATATACGATTTGTTGAAAATGCACCAAGCTTCATTAAATTTACCAGTTGAGCCATGGACGATCGAATTTTTTGATACTGAGGTATTTTTTAAATAATACTTTTTATGAAAAAATTTTAGATATTCTGGGCAGAACATTTTACCAGCCTTTGCAAGAAAAAAGTCTTAGCATGCATTGTTCATTTTCATAATATTAAGCTATCTATTCTATTCTAGTCCACCTGGAATTAGAAAATTAGATAAAATTAGAAATTAATTTTCTTCTTATAACAGCTCATAGCATTGCTGATTAGGCTGTTTCCACTGGTGATTAGGGCAATACCGCTGTTGATTCTTGTTTTTATGATCGGCTTTAGGACTCAATGAAAATAAGTCCAATTGCACAGCGATTTTGTTAATATAAGACATAAAATGATTGAAAAAAAGATCTTAGTTAAGGTTTTCGTTCTTAAAAATTGATAGTGCTAAGGGAAATGATGCCAAAATAGCTGGTTTAGGCGGTGTAGCAGCAATACATCTCTAAAAGCATTCGAATTTCCCTTTTCCAATCTTTTTAATGAATCACTTAGTGTTTGCGTTATGTTTGCAGATTTTCAATAGTTTAAATAATTGAAAAATTCATTAGCTATACGAATTTTCCCTTTATTCAATTGTTCATATACTGGTTCGATTAAAAGCTTGTTTCATTCATAAATTATAAATTATTTTGGTCATTGAAACTATTTTCTCAAAATAAAATGCAAATGGAAAATTTAATGTAATATTTTTTGAATAGCAGATAGGCTAGTGGGTCAGAATATTATGAGCCACTAGCTTGTTGGATTACTGCTCCTAGCACAAGAAAATCCGGGTAATGCTAGCGATTTACCAATGCTATGTGCATTTTTCGCAAAAATTTCTAACAGCGGAGGGAATGGTGAAGGAAGGCTAATCACTTATTTATTTATGGTATTCTATAGCCTCTGATCCTTGGTTTTTTCTCACTCGAAAAAACAACTCATCGTTTCTTTTATTCGATAAAAATTTTTCAAAATTGAAAAATCCATGTTTTTTGTTTGTTTTGTCTATTTATTTATAAAAATAAATTTTTAAAGACATTTTCCATTGAAAACAAAAAACAAAATTTGCTAAAAATGAAATCATTTGAAGAGTTAAAAATGAACGGAAATTTTCCGTTTTTTTCTTCCGCACAGGTAGCTGCTTATCATATCATATCAGACTTTACCCGGACTTTAATCCTCTTCAAGGATAAGCCACATGGATCATCATGTTTTTATAGTTCAATTATCGGAGAATCTCTAGAGATATGAAAGTAAGGAGAGGACAAAGTTTTCAATTTTATTTTATTTTCTACGTCGTAAATTACATAAATAAATTTCTATAAATAAATGAGTTCAATTTAAAAGGTTTTATTAGTTTAGTTGCCTTTTAATGAAATATTCAGATTTATGTATTCCACTTTTCTGCATAAATTAAATTTAAATGGTTCATTTGATGAACAACTTGATTAGTTAGTGAGGATTTATTTTATTTATTTTTAGAGTAATAACCAAGCAGCGCAAGAAACAAAGACCAAATTAATATTCATTGAAAGTAATAAACCCACAATAACTAAGCAGATCAAGCAAAATTGTATCGTTGGAAATAAAAAGGCAATAAGATAAAGACAGAAATTAAAAGTTAACAAATGCACAAGAAGTACTATTTATAGGTTGAAGACATGGAAAAATTAGAAAATGGTGTTTCACCGAACTTCCCAAAAATTGATTACTCCTAAATACTTACAAATAGCCAACGAGGATTATTATCCAGTTTATCCAAGATTACCATCACTTTTATTCCGAATGATGCTGGCGACCCATTTGTATTTCTTTTATCAAAGGACCTCTTGGATGTTTGTCTAGTCCAATAAGTTACTGAAACAAATCTAACGAGCAATGGAGTATATTTTTAAAAAAACTATCATTGTTATTAAAGGTTGCTAGAAACGAATGTAATCCTCCAAAAAATGAAATTTTTATTAGAATTTTCATTTTATTAAATTTTTATTTTTATCAGAAATTTCACATTTTATTGCCAGGTTACTCTCTGGCATAAATTTCCAATCGTTCCAATAACTAGTTTTGACCGATTTTAATTTTTTAAAAACTCACATCTTTGCTGAACGGAACGTCAATGCTTTTTTTGCACTATTTTTTCATTAAAGCTTTTTTGCAGATTCAAAAAAAGAATGAGAAGAATTATTTTTTAGTAAAATTTTTTCTCATTTAACGATTAATAATTGTCTTAAAATAGCTTTAAGAATAAAATACAATTGTCGCCCAGATCGATCATTTTGCTTTGAAAACTTTTATCCGATATAATCTCAGTCAGCATAACACTACCACCACTACTTTTTTCCTGGAGAAATTTCCACTTTTTAATTTTAATTTTAATTCTAATTTTAATTTATTTCAGTTTATTTCTACTTTTTTCTTTTTTTATTATACACAATCATCATCAACTGAGTGGAACATAAATCGGGCAAATTTCACATTTCTCAAGGGATAATTTTATCAAACAAACCATTAAAATTCATCATAAAACATGTTAGATGAGCGAAATTTGTTTGTCTAAGATAATTTATCGCTAATTGCAGCAAAGCTCTTCAGAAATGCCATCATGGAAAAAATATGCGAGAATAGTGTTACCTCATATCGGGCTTATATTACTTTCTATTTTATATATCTTTGGGGGTGCACTTGCATTCTATCAACTCGAACGTCCAAATGAGATACAAGTACGCAAGATGAACCTTCAAAAAATTGACCACTATCGCAAATATATGCTTAATGAATTATGGATTATGGTGAATGATAACTCAACTTCGGACGGTATTTCTTAATTTAATTTAAAAAGTTTAAAAATCATTTCAAAGAAAATTTAATTTTATTCATTCTCTTTTTCATCTTTTCTGTTTCTTTTATTTCCATCTTTTGAGGCGAAAATATGAACAAGATTAATGAATTTTTAACATAAAAAATTGAAAATATGAAAAAATGAACAGATAAATGTTATGTGATTTATTACAATAATTGGCTGCGGAGGCAGGATAGTGGTTTGTTGTTCAAATTATCGTGCAAGGATTTGGCTCACGTTCTCGACAGGAGTAAACCTATTGTTTAAAAAAGCTTGATAGTGTTGACAATCCACCTATGCTTCTCTCGCCAAATTTTAATTTTTTGACAAAAAATTCTAACCGCGTTACCAACAAATAGAGCGAGCTTCACCAAAAATTTCAAGCATTAACCATTTCCTTCAACTTACGGTTTAATTTAATATAATATAATAGAAAAGCGATTTGGAGAGTGGTGAAACCCGACAATATTCCAGAGAAGATCATTCGACTCATAAAGAGGTATTTTATCAGCGTAAGTGTATATGGGGAAGGCTGACAGACTCCTTCGAAATAAGAACTGTTGTCCGTCAAGGGCGCCCTTTCCTCTATAATGCTAAACAACGTGTCACCAGCTGTAGCGAAAATCGGACTCAGAGTCAATGTAAATAAAACGAAAATCTTTTCGTTTAATGTGCAAAAAATGCCTATTTGATAAAATGCCTATTTTTATAAATTCATTGCAGGTTGAGAAAATACCAGACTTTAAATACCTTGATCCACTCTAATCCCAAATGGTTAGGGAAAAAATAAAATTGCCCGGATCATGGCAGCTAGAAATGCATTCTTCTGGTTGACGAAACCTTTATGGAGTCGTCGTGAAATCACCATAAAAGTGAAAGCCCGCATCTATATAGCCATGATTCGTTGATATGCCTAATGACAGCGGAGGATATTAAGTAGTTATCTGCACTTGACCACTCTTATCTAAGATATTTTATTGTTTCGCCGAGTGGATAAAATATCACAAAGCGTCTCCTTCGGTGGTAAAGACACGTTCTCCGTCGTCCACCACAAGAATTGTTGCATATTTCGTTATTTGCTAAACTCTGTGATTGGTGGCCTCAAAAGCCAATCAAGACCTGAACTGATAGTCAGGAAAGATTTTGAGCATATAGACGGACCAGCAACATACTGAGCTAGACGATGGAAAAGGAATATGATCTTCTATTATGGTCAAAATGGCATCAAATCGCTCATTTGGAATCTTCTTATGGAACCTTTGTGGAACCAGCCTAATCAGTAATGGTGAGAGCTGTTATAAGAAGAAGAATATAATCAATAAACTTAAAACGCTTTGATAAAATCAAAATAAATCAAAATCAATCAAAAAATTTCACTTATGTGACTATTCACCAACATTTTTAATAAAATCGACGAGAATAATTGGTTCATTTGAATTCTTTTAGTGGATTTTCATGATTTAATCTTCCTATTTGTCCTCTAACAGCATTTTCTGCTGGAGAACCATTTGGGAATAAAAGTACAGTGCTATCACTGTCATTTTGAATGACAGATTGTTTAATCACGCCAGATTCGAGCTCACAATAATTCTTTTCAGCGGTTCAGCTATGTTCGTCTCCAGTTAAATTACAATTAAATCAATCTTTATGTTTTATTGTAAAGCACTTTTTTTAAGACAAATATTTCGCCTAAAATTTTTTTACATCTGTTTTATTTCTGCCTTTTTTGCAGAAGAAGTTGAACGACTTACCATGGTTCACTTAGATCGAGTTACGAGATTGTTATTTGATGCCTTTGACACTCATTTTATAACTTCATCACATTTAAACGAATTTGCAAATGATGATGAATGCACTTGGACACTGACAACAGCGCTGTTCTTTACCACAACTTTGTTGACAACTATCGGTTAGTATGGCTGATTGTGGAGAAAACAGAAATTTTATTTTCTTTTTTTCTCGATAGCTTTTCATTCGCTAAACGGTTGTGAGAACATTTTAAAAAAATTGCAGCTTCTGAATTTCTATGGCTACTGACAAATGCTTCTATAATGAATATTAGTCACCCACCATATTATAAACACCATATAAATTTGCCGTGCTAAATTCGAATGCTTAACTGATATTCAATAGCTTGACAGGTTTTTCAGGCTATGGTAACCTGGTGCCAGTAACAGTGAATGGTCGCATGTTCTGTATCGCTTATGCATTGTTTGGAGTTCCGTTAATTCTAATCACAGTAGCAGATATAGGAAAATTTTTGAGCGAAAATATCGTTTGGCTTTATACAAGGTTAGTGTGTATACCATTTTCAACATATTTAAATATTCGAAATCACATTTCGCATCAAAAAAAGAAACGAGAATTTTTTAAAATAACATTTTTTAAAAAACTTGTCTTGAATTTATTGTTTAAAAAACTTTCTCAGACGAATTAACTTTTCGATTAAATTATATAATATTATAAAATTTTACTTTTACGTTTTTCATGCGATGGATTCCTCAAATTTTATTTTCTATCTGTTAAAAACAGCATTAAGTAGAATACAAATGGTTATCATATACCATTTCTGGTTAGGGTCGCTCCATCCAATATATATGGCTAGAAATTTTTGCCGAGATATTGCTTGGCGGCAAAATTACGGATAGATTACTAGCACAATTCGCTCTTGTCGGAATCTGGAGCAGAATCACTTGTTCTCTACTCAGTAATCTGACATATTAACAACTCTGCTATCCTTGCTCTGGATTTGCGGTTTTATATTTATTTCACATTTATTTCGTATTTTATATTTATTTCATTAAAATTTTTGTGGTATTTTGCGATTTTTTAATTTTTATGAATTAATTATATTAAAAATCAGTTAATTCCTTTTTAACATAAGGAAGCAGATTCATGGATCTCACCGATATTTCTTATTCATTTTATTAAGGAAAATTCCATTTTTTCATGGATTTTGGTTGCCTAACTTTATCCGCAATTAATCTCGCCAATAATACTTTATTGCTTATGGAACTCTGTGAATAGTTTCCATTAAAAGAGGAGATGCATCTGCAATGGTGTCTAAATTCACTTCAATATGTTGCATTAACGAATGTTCTTAGTATCTTTCTTACTGTATGCATTTTATTCCTCAGGCATATTTTTTACATTTTATAATAGATTCGCACAAATGAAACAAAGATGGAAGGAACGGAAGAAAATGCCGACTACTTCAAACTGCATAACTGATAACACTTTCCATATGAATAATTACTTAATACCAGTAAGTTGAATTTTCGTTATCAATAAATTAATTATTACTATTTGCTACTATTCTTGCTACTCTGCTATGGGGTTCAGAAATAAGTTTCTGTAGTTTTTTTTTAAATTTACTTAAGTGCTATTTATTTAAGTAAATTTATGTCGTTTAATCTGGGATTTAATCTCCAGGTATCTAAATATTCTATCCATCCATCCGTCCACCCATCCATCCACTCTGTCCATTCTTTCTACTAGTCGTAAAAACTACGATGAAAATAATTATTGGCATCTTTAATGAAATCTATCAATTTTAATTTTAAGCTGGTTCCCTCTGAAGTTTCCCCCAGGATAGCTGGGCTCATTACAACAGCTATTATATACTTGATCCAGGAATAGAAATTATTTAAAATTTACAAATGTGACATGGTTGGTGGTGAATCATCACTTGGTAACTGGCTTAGCCTTTGAGATAAGCATATGACCGCCGACAGAATCAATCGGGGACGTGATATGGTACCCAGATTTTTAGCAATTTAGCGATTACTAAAAGCAAATGAATTTTTTTTCGCTTTTTTGACACTTCTTAACATAAAGATTATATAACATAAATTATATAACATAAAATAAAGATAAAGTAAAATATAGTATTAGAAGTCGTAACTGGATTATTGTTTATTATAAATGAAAATCAATAATTATTATTATTTAACAAATTAAAATGGCAATTATTAATTAAAATTACAATTATCAAATTTTAAATTGAAAACATGTGAAATAAAAAATTATTCTTCCTTCATCATCATCCTTTATCATCTCTTTACAAGGCAATTTAAAGCATTACTGTCGTATGGTGTGGTTTAAAAAGCTCCTTTTAATGTCGATCACCTATGGTTATTAACCAGTTAAAACCCATTGCCTCTTAACTCATCAAGTATCAAGGTGTTGCATTAGAAAGAGCTAATTACTGTTTTTAGATAGGTGGTACAGAGAGCTTCAACTTAAGTGTTTTAAGGTTAAGCTTTTTTCAAAAGGCCTCATCATTACTGGCTAGGCTCGCTCCGCTGGCATATTGTACTGGACAATAGAAGTGCAGGTGAGTCGCTAGCATCACCTGGATTTTTGGACAGATTTATTGTTGTGAGGAATAGAACCTCTGCATCCGCGCTCGAATTGAGAGACAACCCACTGAGCCATTCTTCCCCAGGTACCTCAAAATTTTGCTAAATATTACCAAAAAAACAATAAAGCGAAGTTTAAAACGAATGATGAAGTTTAAAATAAAAAAATATTAAAATAGTTTCGATAGAAAAAATAGGCTAGAAATGATTTACCACAAATCCTATTTCTTCTTATATCTATTGTTTAAAATAACTTTAAATATGAGAATCTTATGTTCGAAGAAAACGAATGCCCCATGGTCTCTAATGATGCTGGCCTTGATCATTTGGTACCAATAAAATGTTGCTCAATTTTGGCCGACAAGAGAATAATAAAAAAATCTGCATTTTCATATGAAATATCAACAATTCGCGCTTGTTATCAGTTATACGATTGAGACTTTCAGTTTAAATTGTATCACACAGCATCAAAGTGTTTCAGAAACATTTTGTTGATGCATGCGTTCATTTTCTCAGAACACCATCTGTAAGAGGTATTAATGATGTTGTGGCTATCTGACTTTAACTCACTTATACATCATTTTTAGATGAAGTAGAAAATAAATAAAATATATATTGAAAATTAGTGAATGAAGTAATGAAGCAGTTTTTATATCTTTAATTCGCCGGAATATTTTTCGTTAAAATTTGCCTTCAAAAAAAAAATTAAATATGAAATATTTGCCTTCAAAATGGCTCTTAAAGATGTATTATCCTTGAACTTTTACAGTTTGGTTATAAATAATAAAATTTTTTTAGTGCTCTGACAAAAACATTAATATTCATCCATTTAGCTCAAAAAATTCTCTTTCTAATTTTTATTTCTTAGATATATTCCAAATATGTTTTTCTCAATAAAACAAATTAAGGGGCAATGAAAATAGAAAGTCAAAAAAAAATTAAAAGTTTATACAGAAGCAAAGCTTTTCTAAAGATTCACAAATTCATGGCGAGCATAAAGATCTTAAAATTCTATATTCACCGCTCTATGCTATCCACTAAGACTCGCTACATTGCTTTATTAGTTTTGTGTCCCCTCAGCAAACCTGTTATATTGTTCTTTCACCCGCTAAATCTTTTTTTTAAAATTTTTTCTCTCACTTTTTCTTGTATCCTTTATACTTTATAAAAGATGGAAGCAGTCAATTTTTATCAAATTGGCTTTAAATGGCTAATATTAACGATAATTCAGTTTGGTTTCGAGCAATATATTTCAATTCCAATGTCATTAATTGTTGGAATTTTAATTGGTTATGTTGCTGCTGGTGCTATTTTGCTTGCTTTGTGGGAGCACTGGGACTTTTTGTCGGGATTTTATTTCGCTTTTATCACCATTACTACCGTTTGTTTTTCCGTTATTCTTTGCAAATCCAAATATTTTTATACAAAATTTGTGGTTGTAAATCGTTTAATAGATCAATAGATTTTTTTTTAGATTGGTTTCGGTGATATTGTACCAGCAAACCAACAATTTTTCTTATTTGACTTGCTTTATATAATTGTTGGCTTAGCAATTACGTACGTTTTTTTTTTCATACTCTATTAAATTAAAATTGGTAAAGGACTAAAGGACAATTCATACACTTTTATTTTATCAAACTGATAAATTGTTTACGTTAAGACTATATGAAACTGATATTGATGCACTTAAGTGCCAAAGGACCAACTTGCACTTTTATCACCAAATGTCCTTTCTTAAACTGAAGGATTCGAGACAGAAAGTGCATTTCAAACCGAATTATTGAAGCACCTCAGTAAAAATGAACATCAGTGACATGGTAAGTAACGACGGATGAATGCTGGTCCCAACCAAATGCACGTCCCCGAAAGTCACTTCCATACTAAGATTTACTGATAAGAAATATTCATTAGATGCATGGTGTCGGAACCATCCAACTGTCCGAAAAAGCTATTAAAGCATGAATATCAGCAATACAGAAATCGCTATTAGAGTGATATGGCTTTGAAAATGGAAACGAGAAACGATTAAGCAACAGGAAATTACACTGTCTTCTTCATAAAACAGCTATAACTCAGGGACGTTGAAATGATAAAGGATAGAAATGGCATTCTCGTTAAGTCTCTCGCCGAATAGCGAAGATAGTTGTAAATATGAGCAGATTATCTGTTCTCCGCATCGTCCCTGCTCCGCACATCTTTTTTCCAGCGAGAGCATTAGAAAAATAAGAGAGAAAAGATTGGAAAAGATATTAGAAAATATCGCAGAATAACAGTAGAGTGCCTCATGAATGAGAGGTACAATAAAGATAGCTTTTACTTCGAGAGAATGGAAAGACAAACATGAATCTTCCCTCTACCCATCTCAAATTGAATATGAGTTTCCATTTTCAAGAGACCATTTTCTACTATTTCGAGTTTGTTGTGGCGAAAGGAAGGGTAGAAATGGGGAAGAATTAATGTGGGAAATGGGTTGGGTACTTGAAAAATGTCGGGTAGGGGCGTTATCCATTGTCATCGTTCTTGCGTGGCACTAATGAGTACCCTGTACATCTCTCAAAGATTTTCATTCGGGAAATGCATACGTCGCTCCAGTGTTATGAGACTTGCTAATAGAGTACCTCTATTTTTTCTCTAATGTTAATATTTCTTCTATTCTTATGTTTTTATGATTATATATCAAATAAACGGTTTAATCCCTTTACCCAAATTTGAGGGTAATTAAGTTTGAAGATACGAACATTCGCAGTAAGATTTATAAAAGAAGAATGCTGGCCGGAGAATATATGGTAATTTTTGTCAGTTAAAAAGCTCCGCGTGGCAGGAAGTTTACACAGACTGCGCCGTGGAGCGGACTCACGAAACTTTAGGGAAAATATATATATATATGTATATATACTGGAAATAGGAATCGCCGAGCTCCAGACATATTATTCTCTGTAGAAAGGCTATTAAGGATTACCTTACAAGGTAAAGGGATTCTTTGAGATCAGGCTTGGCCACGATATGTCTGTCATCTGTTGTCCCTGATGCAGCTGACCAGTTTGAACCATATGTTTGTAAATATAAATCTCCAACAGAAGAAGAAATAATCTTTGTTATTATTATTCATGGGTTATTGCTCAATTGAGAGCGCCGATGCTGAGGCTCGATTCCCACGGAAGTACAAATAATCCAGGCGATGCTGGCGATTCATCTGTATCTCTATCGCCAAAGGACTCCCTGACATATTGCCCAATGCGACAAGTCCTAGGAGTGAGTTAACTAGGAGATAGCGAGGACTCTTAAAAAAAAAGATCATTCATAAGGTCAATAAAATCTCGAGAAATGGCCTCTTTAAATGTTGTCCTTCTTCCTTCATAACACATCTTCAACAAATATGTTCTCTAGTATTGCAGAAAGAAATAATAGACCAGATGACTGGAGAAAAGCAGTTCCATTCCCAGTTTCTAAGGTGAATCAGCCTACTAAACATTTCCCTTCTAATTCCCCTTTTTACTCCCCTTCTACTGAATAAATTTATGGCAACACGGGACGTCCTAACCAAGAATAGGACGCGCTTCAGATATCTGCAATTCACATATTTAATCGATTCTCCAGCTGTCTTCGATCCTAGCACAGCGGTGCTTTGGAGAGTGATGGAATATGATGGTATTCCAGAGATGGTCACTTGAGTCATAAAGACATTTTATCAACGTACATCGGTGTATATATGAGGAATTGACAGACCCTTTCGAATAAGAACTGGTGTCCATCAAGACTACGTCCTTTCCTCTATAATATCCAACTATGTGATAAATTTGATAATGGAAACCTCAAGAGATGTGCAGATGTGCAGATGTGCAGATCAGTCCAGAGCATAGTATCATAGATCTTGAATACGCTGATGATGTAGTTCTTTTTGCTAATAGTTATGGCGAAATGCAAATAATATACTAAACAATATGTAATGTGTAATAATTGGAATGAGAATCGGATCGGGCAACGGTAGCTCGAAATGCTTTCTTCTGGTTGTTCATAAGGCGAAATCGCGAAATTACCATAAAGACGAAAGGCTGCGTTTATATAGCTACAGTACGCTCGATCTTGCTTTATGGCTGCGAGATATCGCCAATGAGAGCGGATATTAAGAAGTTATCAGCCTTTGATCACTCATTTCTAAGATAAATTTTACAGGATAAATTTTTGCGGAGCGAATAAATTTATATCCTCCATTCATTCAAATTTCATATGCATTAAAATTGCCATCACGCTTCACCCTCATTGTTTAATACTATGGACATGTTCTTCTTCATCCCGCACCACAGGAGTTGATAGATATTTTACTTGCTAAATGGGCGGCATCAAAAGCGAAGTGGGCCAATCAAGACCTGGACTGATAGAGCCAAGAAAGATTTTGAGTATAGATGGACCAGCGATATATGGGCTTGGACGATGGAAAAAGGAATGGCTTCTATTATTATCGACAATGGCGTCGATCGAAAAGCTTACTCTTTACTATCCTTTATTATCCTTGTAGTTAGCGGAACCAGCCTAACCAATAATGCTGAGAGTTGTTAGAAGATCTCCAACTATGATCTCCAACTATCCGAAGAAAGTATTTAAGTGGCTCACAGTTGTAACCAGTGGAAATAGCCAAGCCAGGAATGATCCTGTTGAAATCACTTAATTACAAACGACTGAATTTTCTGGGGGTTCGATTTTTAATTTCTAATCGAGTAATTTAAAAAATTTCTATTCAGGACGATGTGCATTGATTTAGTGGGTATACAGTATATACAGAAGATCCATTATTTCGGAAGAGCGATTCAGGATGCGCGATATGCGTTGGTGAACGTTGGCGGTAAGATGGTTCATGTACCCGATTTGATGAGATATGCTGCTGTTTTGCAACAGGTTGCACGAACTAGTTATAAAAATTTAGCAGAATAAAATAGATTTGGCAAATCAATCTGCAATATTTCTTTAAGTTCGATGAGAACATTTTACCTATTTTTAATGTCATTTATTAGCATCAGCTAAAATTAAGTCAAAAAAGACCTTCAATGAAATGATTCAAGATACCAAGTACGGCAAAATGAGTGAATGGTGCTGTGTTCTCATTTGCAATTCTCTAACCCCCAAGCGAATCGAAAGCGAAAGTGTTTAACAAATGCGAAGATTTATTGGCCTTCTGTTTTCTTTTATTTTTCAAATTTCAGAAGTACGGTGATCGGAAATCGAAAGCAAACGTATACGTAAGGGGTGCTTTTATACCAAAAAATATTTCCGCAATCCGATTTATCGATCATAGCGCCCAGCCAAGTTCAGACAATATTTATAACTTTACGGCGAACATTTTTCTTAAATCAAACGAACTGGCTGAAATGGCTTACGTATAGCTTTATATAAGGGCTTAAAGTGGCGATCTTACTTACAACCTTACTTTCAACTAAGATTAATTTATTAACTGCCAATATGACTCAAAATTTGTGTCAATATTTGCCACATTTGTTGCAATTATTTCAGCAATCGCTGAGTGACCGCATATTAATTTTTCTATAAATATTGCTATCTAATTCAATATTTATGCAAATTTTTTAAATGTTTATAAATGTTTTATAAATGTTTTTAACAACTCTTATAAGTGGTATAAATTAATTTGTTGCCGTTTATGACCTGTCATTTGCTATTGTTCCCTTTATAAATATAGATAGTTCAATGAGTCCAATATATGTATCTGTATTGCGTTGTTCATGTAAACTCTCTCTTTTTTTTTCTTTTCTTGTAATTCACCATTTTTTAACATATTGCCATAATTTTAATTTAAATTATTAAGATTATGCAATTCTTTTAGTAACTGATCGTCTAATAAACTTTAAACTTCTGATAAACTTTGTTTAAAAACATTTATAATAAAATTAATATTTATGCTGAAACATATATTTAATTTCAAAATAAATAAAATAAATTTACACCAGAAAATAAATCCCAATAATTTAAAACAGAATAAAATGTTGAACGATTGCGTCTTTAAGCGATCTGAGATTTATCGCTTTTGGACCTTTTCCATGAGCCTTGAATAAATCAAAAATACCAGATTCTACGTTCAATTAAAATATTAAATATTTCTGAAACTTGAAGCTTGTTGTAACCAATTAGTATAATATGTAAAAAGATAATATGTAAAAAAAATAGAAAAAAGAATCTGAAGAACATTTGCGATAAAAATAATTAAACGATTTCAAATTTTTCGGTTATAAGTCGACTTTCGCACGAATACTGCATAGCATCATTCGAAGTCATTTTATGCACTGAATTAACCTAAAAAAAGTTAGTTATAGATATCTTCACTGTATACATGTTGTTGGTACATTTGAATTTCGTCACCATATAATAGCGTCAAAAAAAATATGCAAATAAGCTGGATAAAAATATGCAGGTAAATACCAAAATAAACTTTCGTTCATAAGATTTAAGAAGAATAAATTTTTGCCAACGCAAATAACCTATGAAACATAATGAATTATTATTAACACTATTATTATTAAATGTTAAAATTGATAAATAATAGATACTCGAATATCACAGAAGAGATCGGCACTCCAAAAACGCAGATTAATTGGAAAAAAGTGGTCGGTTCGGCCGTTTGGCGTGTTAAATTCAAGTGTACCGCAATTATTCGATCCGTCAATAACAGCAAGAGACCACAACAGTTGCGATTTGGATTTGATATATTCGTATGATCCTTCACATTCAGCTATTACGGGTACTGTTGCAGGACTGCAATAATTTACCAATAGTTTTTTAAATTTTTTTGCAAAGTAATGATGACCTGGCAAAAAACAATTTAGCATTTTAAAATAAAATATAATTTTCAAAAAGCATCTTACGGCAGAGGTATGGTAATGAGTACGTTATTAAGCGTCATATGTTCTGCTTGCAAAGTATACTCGATATTAACCACACAGCCATCTGGATTTTCACTCGGCCAGCAATTGACTGAAATGGAACAAAAAAATGAATTTAAGGAAAAAAATGGAAAGATATTCAGCTAATAATTTGACTTCTCAATATATTTATATTTATGATTTGTATTGAAGAAAAGAAATAACGACTTGATACTGGAAGCGATTCCTCATTTGTTAATTGTAATCGCCATTTTAAAACACCAACGTCAACATTAACTGGGAAAGGTTTCTGCGCGGATTTCAATCTTAACAATGAATTTTGTTGCCATTCTTTTCTGTCCAAATTTGGATGAACCTAAAATTTAGAAACTGTAACAAAAAACCACTTTAAAAGTTTCATTCAGATTCTAATTAGAACAAACTAAATTACTATTAAATTAGTACCTGCAGCTGCGCGCCATATTTGTCCCCATTGACCATTTGAATCGCAATATTATTGAATTCAGGATCAGATAATAACAAGGAAGCACTCCCGATAATCTTAATTTTTTTGAATAATACCAGCAAAAAGATTTCAAAAATTTCAATCTAGTTCTTTATGTTTAAAATATATTCTTTACTTCAAAACTTTCTAAGCCACCATCTCTTGATACCACAGCATTTATTTTCTCTTCTAGCTTCAAATGAACAGGTAATCGTGATGCAGTTGTAGCGCCAACATAATCATCTGATGAGATTTTGGTACCTGCGACTCGTTCCGCTGATGTGACCACTTGACCTATAGATTCAGTTCACTTAATAAATTGGAAAACAGATAATAGTATGCAAAAATGAGGAAGCAACTAAGTATATCAAGAAAAACAAATTCGAAACCAGTTTTAAAAAAACTCTGGTACCTTCGCTCTTCAGCTGGTTAAGAAATTGATCTTCATCAGCAGTTCTGGATCCAAGTTTAAGCGCTTTACCACCTCCACGTGATGAAGGTATTACAGACTTTGGAGCATGACGAACAGTACTATCTTCGATAGGAACTGATGTCGGAGTGCTCGAACTTATAGCAGTTGCGATCCCCATACCAGATAAAGCTATTCCTAAAATTTATTATGTTGAGTTCTATTTAAGATAAAAAAGGCAATTAAATAAGGCAATTAAATAGAAATTAGAAATATTAGAAATTTAGAAAAAGATACAAAAAAACTGAAGTTATATGAAGAAAAAGAAGGCAAAAGGCGAATCTCAATTCTCATGGATACGCCGGTAGTTTAGTGGCAAAATGGTTGCCAATAAGAATCAAAAATGACTAGGTGCGGCCGACGCAACACCTCGTCAGATCGTCCGATATATTCCCGAATGGTGTTAGCAGAAGAGGATATCTCAGTGGGTTGTTGTTCACGCTGTGGTTTTATATCCCGCAAGAAGTAAATATTTCTTTCAAAAATCAAGGAGATGGCAGTTTACATAAGTTAACAGACTGTATCTATCAACGGCAATCGCTCTTAGAAAAAAATATTTCACCTCTCATAGCTTTTTTTTGTTCTGCTTTCAATTTTTTAAGTTCGTTTGCTTTCTGAGTCATGACTTCTGTTGCAGCTCTCTCTTGCGCCTCAAAAAAACCAGTTCCGACAAAAAATTTTGGAAAATTCCACGAAATTTTATAGAAGCCCCATAAAATTAAAGTTGAAACAAATTAAAAAAAAATAAAACGTAATTCCTAAAATCTTCGCAAGAAAAGATTACAATCTTTATTTGATTGAAAACTCTTTCTTCATGAGAATCCATTTCAGTGAATGTTCGTATTTGTGCAAGATTGACATTTTCACGATAACCTAGAGCTACGATTTCATCGAAAGCAAAAATTAGATCATAAACATTCGACAAAATTTCTTTTTCATCATTTGAACGACAATATTCGGGAATCTTAAAGAAAAAATAAATAAAAAATAAATAAAAATAAATAAATTATAATAAAAAATAACAAAGACTCAGAGTACAATAATTTTTGCTTAAGGCTATTGATATTTGCAACAGTAATAATTACCACACGGGAAAATAAACGGAGAGTTTCAAGGTCTTCAAGAATATTTGAGGCCTTGGTCGTTATTAGAACCATATAAACATTATCGAGTGGATGGAATACATAACGGACACTATCCGTTTCGACAAAAGTATGTTGACGTTGAGCTAAAATTTCCATAAATCGATTTAAAAAATTTTTTTGAAAACTCAAATCCTCAAAAACGAGAATAATCTGATAGTTCAACGAATATTAATAAATGAAAAAGTAACAAATAAAAGGGGTATTACTGCAATGGACGGTATTTCGAACACAATACATGTCAAATCAAATCAAAACATGACTAACATCTAGCAAGAAATAATTAGGCCGTTCCCATTCTTATTTTTTTGGAAGCACTTATCATTTTTACTTTAATGAGCTCCACTAACTAAGGTGAGAAGATGAAATTTCCATTAAAATCATCTAAAAATGTAGCTATGATATCATTAATGATACGTTTAGTACAATGAATCGAAACCATTGATGACTTTAGTTAAAACGTCACACCAATTCTAGCCCGGTCATGCCAATTAAGAAGATTGCAGGGCAGTTAATCTGCCAGATCAAATTAGTTCGCTAACTGAACGATAAACCACCACGACTATCAGAATCGGACGAAAAAAACCTCTGGTTTAACGGTTCGCGGAAAAAACTAATAGAATTCACAATATAATGGAAAGAAAGTTAAGAATTAAAAATCTCCTAAAAGCAAAAATACCGAAAAACTCACATTTTTCGGAAGCGATTAGTTTAGGAAAGGCATCCAATAAGCCTTCCAGCCTTGCCTTTGTCATGTCCGAAATAAAAATTCGAGCAAACAGAGCTATAAGCAAACAACTTAATTAGTTAATCGACGCCATATGTTACCGCTGGTTCTCTTTTCAGAGAAAAAGCACCGGGATGCAGCAAGAGAGGAGAAGTGTGGAACTTTACTCTCAGGATGAAAGAGAGAAGCGCTGACGCCCCACGTGTCTAGCTTTCGGGGTTTTATTAAAGAACTGGGAAAATGAAAGGAACAAAAAGAAACGAGGAGGGCAGATAAAAGGGAATAATAATGAGGAAAAACTCACGTTTCCCAGCCTTCGTTATGACAGAAGCACCGATTAATACCATTTTTATATTTTCAGACCTACAAAAACTTTTAATTAAATAACGCAACATTTCACAAGATAAGAACATATTCGGACGCAAGACAAATATCCCGCATCTTCCCAACCTGAAACTGGAACCCCTTTCGAATTTCCTCCCTTATATTCCAACTCACGCGATAAGCTGGAAATGTGCCAGTGCATTTGAAGTCGAAGCTGCAACATAGAAACTGGAATTAATCGGTCACAGCAGAATAGTAATTAACGCGCCTTCTGCGACGTTGAGGTGAGGATCTTTTAGAGTTGGGTCATCATTTGCGGGCAGAAGTGGAGACGGGTTCCAGGAGCTGTGTTCCAAGTCAGAGAAGATGGAACTTTTAAGTAATACAGCCACCGTAAATTTTAATTTAGATGAGATAGTGATGATATTTTCAACGTCAAGGAAGATTGAACATAAAAACTGCACACACACGCGAAGTAGCGCACTACAGGCTTAATAGAGATTTTTATAAGAGAAATGTAAGAGAAAGTATTACGAAACTGGATTTGCGCCCATGGATTTTGCCGGAAATCATCCTTGCCGACCGCTTTTTCCCATTTTCGTTTTATAACGAAGATTGAATCCCAAAAAGCCATTAGAATTTTGCTTTTATTGATATATCTATTTCGAGAGTCGAGAATTATGACTGAAGATGTGCCATGCCACTCATTTCTTTTCAAGACAATTCCAGCAGTGCCCGAAGACCACGTGAAAAATGCCATTTGTCGCTGAACTAGTTTTCTACATCACATATCTAATAACGCAAAAAGGATATAAAATAAAGTGGGTTATCACTTCTTCTGATGATTATCACCGGAACCAACAAAAATCAGCTAAAGCTTATCTCTCCACCACAATGAAAACTAATTGCTTAACGAATAACAAAATTTTTGATTTAAAAAATACAGTTCGTTATCATAACCGCGACAAAGAAAAAAATTTTTTAAAATCCCTCGTTTCACGAGCAATATTTATAAATTTTTACAAATCTGCACAAACATATTTAATCAAAAATGGAGAAAAACTAGCTCGGATTTTTAAATTGGTTTACTTCTGCAGAACTTCAGCATTAATGCTTAAACAACCCACTGAGCCATTTACCCACATAATAAATGATTAACATTCATCGCCAATTCTGATCAGATTAGCTCAGATGGTTGTCAGGTTGTATGGTCAGAAATTTTTGCTAAAGGGAAGACATTTTTTAATGTAATAAGAATCACCAATAAGATAAAAAAAAATTAACAGTAAAAATAAAAAACACAATGATAAAAATAGAAAACGAGGAACTTCCTGAGCACTGACAAGTGATGTCCCTTCAACATACAGTTGAATATTGTAGAAAGGACGCAACCTTGATAGACACCAGTTATTTCGAAGTACCAGTTCCACATATATACCTAACCTGTACCAATGTGTGCTAATAAAATGCCTTTATAAGTCGAATGATTTTCTCTGGAACACTCCTCGAAAACTGCAGATCTATCAATCGAATCGAAAGCAGCTGTCGATGAAACTCATGACGATGGGTTGCAGACATTTCAACACCTTCCTTAACGTGAATGTTCGGTCAGTATAATCGCGTCCCGGTTTAAATTCAGTTAGGGCTGTCTCGTACTACCATACGTTTATTGAGTAGAAGAAAAGCAAAAATTCTAAAAAAATTTATTTTACAATTTATTTTACAACAGACAAAAAGATTTTGTGAATAATTATGAATAGTTTTTAAAATAATGAAAGCAAGTTTGTTTTCCATATTAGAGATGATGGAACAAAAACATTATCACCCGATAAATTACTGTAATAATTAACATTTTTAACGAAAGAAGAAACTGTGGCAAAAAGCGTTTTGTAAATCGGTTAACGTAACTTCAGTAGTAACATTTAAGTAAAAGTCGTCATAATTAAAAGACTACATCGACTCCTCGAACAGCTGAAACAATAATATTAATATCACAAAATAAGTGAATATCGACACTGAAAGCCACTGAATTCGCAATATTTATCCATCCTAGAATTATGATGGCGATAAAGCTTCAATCTTCTGAAGTGCCCGTGATAATTCATATCTAAAGCGAAAAAGAATAATTTTTAAAAAGTGGGAATATGAAAAAACAAATTATAAAAGACAGGAAATTGACAACTCTCATTTATTATTACAAGAGAGAGATTTACGCCCATTTTTATCACATAAACGGTAAATTTACGAGCAACAAACAATATTAATAAGCATATTCATAAGCTTTAAAAGACAAATGACTAATTATATTTATTTATTTTCTTAATTATTTACTTATTTATGAAAATTTATTTATGCAATAGTATTTATGAAAAAAAACGATTTCTTATAAGAATATGAACGATGAACGATTTAAGAGAAATTCATATATTCTTCTGATAGTTCGGGAAAGCAATGAATATCTCCGTAAAGGAATTCAATTCAGCTGAAATTTTAAGATTTTTTTGTCATTTAATGCATGTAAAATTCTTTAAAAATTACCTCAATAAAGCGAATTTACTTAAATTCATTTCAACTTTTTCATTACCAATAATCATACGAATTTTCATATTTAAAGACCGTTTTGCACTCGAACTGCCAAGTAGAACATCGACACTCCACCACTCCTTCTCACTTTCCATCTAAATTCATTCGCTTTAGATTCAGTGGATTTTTATTGAAAAATAACGCTTTTACGGTTATCAAGCAGTGGATTACCAGCGCGTATTGGCTTTTTGTTGTAAGTCCTTTCTTTTCGCCTTTTCTTTTTTCACGCGGTTTCCTTATCAAAGGTGGAGATAATTCATTCATCCACCCACGCATCTCCAACTTCTCTCCAGCGTTAAGCACGTAAGTGAAATGAAGCACGTGTTTCTCGCACTTCTTCGCTCATTATTTCTATTTTGTACCGTTAGCTATTAGTGTGATAAGAAATTTGTAATAAGGAATCACTTGGTGATAGGAGTGCACCTGGATCGCCACCGTCCTAACCTATTATTCCAGTAAAAAGCAGAATAGCATCCTTAATAATTTGAACATTCACTATCAATAGAACTACGCTGCACTGCCAATTATTTTACGACTATTAACGGTGAGCAAGTGGTTAGTAGTCACCATTTCGCCACTTCCGGGGATATTTCGAGTGATATTCAGTCATAATACACGCACCATAGTGCGACCTACAGCTACGGCTAACTCCCTAAACTATAACTCGCGCCACATGAAGAACAAGCCTAGAATCGTCACATTTTCTCTTTGCACGCATTATACTACCACGTCAACGACAATACTGACACCCTATATAACCTGTTCTTCCAATAGTCAATCACCCCCCACCAAGACTATAACGCAGGAACAAAAATAAACTCCGCCCAGTACGACAAATAGTGGGTAAATACAAATGTGAATACTCCTGATGGTCGTCGTACTAATTAGCGGCTGTTACGCAGCTGGTTGATTAATTTATATATCGGTTAGCACGCTCTGTTTCCAAGAGCTTGTGGTGTTTTTTTTGGTGTTTTTTGCTATATTTTATGTTTTAGAAATGTGCATTCAATTGCTCAACTGTATTTAACAATTGCAATTAAAATAATTTTTATTATTCTAAAACAGCTAATAATAATAGACAATAATAATAAACAATAATAGCAATAATAGTAATAATAATAATTAGTAATAAATAATAATAATAAAAATAATAGTAGTAATAAATAATAATAGACAATAACAACAATAGTAATAGTAGAATATTTAACAAGTTTACAAATTAGTAGTATTCCACATTTTTTAGTTTTTATTTCTTTTTTTATTTTTCGTATATTTTAAAACCCTTTTTGTTAATATTTATGTTTTGCTTTTTATGGGTTCCTAGCAAAGTTAATGCTAATCATTTCCTTCGAAATTAATAAAATTTGTATGTTAATTTATTTATTGTACATCTCCAATTTATTTAAATATATTTCAGTTATCAGTTTAATATTTTTTTGGTTCTATGCGGGCAAAGGTTTAGATGAATTCTCGGCAGTTATCCTGAATTGATAGTTTTTTATTAAATATCTTTAAAGATTGATGCCAAACTGGTGTGCAAGCGAAAAAAATGGCTTCATGGTTTCGAAATATCCAAGGGCACTTAACAGATTTTGCGAACGAAGTTTTTGATGAAGCCACTGAAGAAGTCACTGATCCAGATTCTGAGTTACAGGTTTTTTTATCTCTATTGGTTAAGCTGGCTTCGCCGACTACAAGGATAAGACGTTTCCAAGCTGAGCGATTTGATGCCACTTTTGATAGAAATAGAAGCCATTCCTTTTTCCATCGTCTAACTCCATTGCTAGTCCACCTATACGTTCAAAATCTTTCCTGACTGTATCAATCAAGTCTTGATTGGCCCACTTCGCTTTTAACACCACCCAATACATGGTTTAGCAAGTAACGAAATATGTGCCATCTCTGGTGGTGGGCGACTTATCTTAACCAGAAGACGCTCTGTGATGGTACTGTTAATGCAAGTGATATTTGAGCGAAGGTGGATGCGATCATGTGATTTTATTATTCGAACCCGTACCTTAGACATGAGTGGGCAAAGGCAGCTTCTTAATATAAATCCTGCACTCTCAGAGGTCATGTCTCAGCCATATAGCCAGATCGAGCGAATTCCGATTAGACGTGCATTTTACAGTGGTTTTGCGATGAATCCATGAAGGCTTCATCAACAATTTTTAGTTGCTACCATTTATTTATTTTATTTATTTTAAACAGTGTGACAAACGCCATGTGCTTGTATTAATGACAACAAGGTAAAAGATAGGTATTTTATCAATCAGTTTCTTGTCAATAAGACGAAAAGGCTTTCGTTTTATTTATATTAACAAAGTCCAATTATAGCTACTGTTGTTGACACATTATTTAGCATTGTTTGCATTTTATCATAATTGTCAGCAAAAAGGACTGGACTACGTCATGAGTGTATTCAAGGTCTGTGATATTACGCTCTGGACTGATTTGCACACTTTTTGTGTACGAACCAGCGATGTCCATTATTCTGTCTATCGCATATTAGACGAGAGGATGCAGCCTTGTCAGACACCAATTATTATTTCGAAAAAGTCTGTCAATTTCCCATATATACAGACCTGCGCCGATGTTGATAAAATGAATCAAATGACCATCTCTGGAATACCATCATATTCCATCACACTCCAAAGCATCGCTATGCTAGTTAAATCGAAGGCAGCTGGAAAATCGATGAAACATATGAATTGCAGATGAATGAATCTGAAGGGAAGAACAATGTTCAAATACCCATTTTAACGTGAATATCTAATCAACTCAACTGCTTCTTGGTTAGGAAGTCTGTCTCGTACTGTCATAAATTTATTAAGTAAAAGGAGAAAGAAGAATTTTCTCGCAAATGTTTAGTAGGCTGATTCCTCGATAAATGTCTCAACATATCCAGTCATTTTAGAAATTGGGAATAGAATTGCTTTTCTCCAGTCATCTGATATTTTTTTTTTTTTTTTAATACCAGAGAGCATATTTGCTGAAAGTATGTTATGAAGGAAGAGGGACAGCATTTAAAGAGGCCATTTCTCGGGATTTTATTGACCTTAAGCTGTGAATAACAAAGATTATTTCTTCTTCTGTTGGTGATTTGCAAACATATTTGGTTCGGCGAACGGCTATATCGACGAGAACAACAGATGGTGCATCGTGGTTAAGCTTGGTCTTAAAAAATTCCACTTTATGAGATAATCCTTAATAGTCTTAACAGGTACGCCATTTTTGTTCCGTATCATTTCACTGATCATTCTCCGAGTTATAACTGCTCTATAAAGAAGGAGGAATAATTTCCTTTATTGGCTAATCGAGCCGCCATCTTCATTTTCTAGGCCATATTGCTCCAATAACGATTATGCCATCTAGCTGCTGTCGTTGTAATTCTTCGGTGCATCCGGTAATTAAGGTCTTCTGAAATTTATACTCTAGCAGATATTTCGGACAATTGGACGGTTGTTTCTGATACGCACATGGTTTTTAAAAAGAATGTGGACAATGATTGCTTGGCTTACAATGTTCTGTTTTGACGTTTCATGCTTCTACGGCTAACACCTCATTGCTCGTGCAGTTCCTCTTGATAGATTTCGAGCAGTTGCCCTGGTAATCGCATTTTATTTATTCAAACGCTAGGATATTTATCGCACTATATCACTTGTAACACCGAGAGTATTATGCGCGTCGGAGAACATGGATACCATGCCAAGAGAACCAGATCTTTTCACCATAAGGCCACAGGGATGAAGTGAGTCCTCAGCAGGCTCCCAAATTTCCTATATCACGATAATTTTGCTCCTGTCAATGAGAGAGATTTGGGAAAATTTCATATCACGATAAGTTTGCTCCTGTCAGTGAGAGAGATTTGGGAAAATTTCAAATAGAATAAAACAAAATAGAATAACAAAATATTTGGTTTGGTTTTATTTAATTTTTGCCTTTTTTATAAATGTTTTTCAGGTACTGAAGAAAAAATATATGGAAATTGAAAAGCAACTGAAACTGGAACAAGAAAATAATGAAATGTTAAACAAAAAACAAGCCATTCTTGAGGATCAAATTTATTCGAAAGAACTTGAAATTGAATCACTCAATAGCAAATATGGTATTATGATCGAAAGTCGTGATACTCAAATTCGTTCTCTTCAAGTAATTATTTTTATGTTATCAGTACCAAAGAAAATTATTAAATAAAATTAATATTTATTATAATAAGTAAAAATCATTTCAACTTTCTAGTTTAACCTGATTCAGTGAAATCTCGATTTTAGCTGTTTGAAATTTATCTTTCTTATTCTTTATTTTGGCGTTCATTTAGTTTCAACTGATTTATTTGATATAATATAATATATATATATATATGTATGTATATATATTTGTTCATTTTGTGAGCAGAAATGAGTACTAGTCATCCATCCCAATCTTATTCTAAGTCTCTTCTTTTCTTTTCCGATCTTCTTTATTTATAATACCTTTATTTATAATAGCTCTTCTTTTCCGCTTAGATGGCTATCTGGAGGAAGGACAGTGGATTCAGCCAAGGTAAAAATGGTGCATGCTATGAGAATTACAATATGATCTCTTAAGATTTGGATTTAATTTATAGGTTGAACTGGAACGCGCACGAAGTCAGTTTCGTTCATATGAAGGTTTTGTTGATGATAATGAACATTCATTAGAAATGGATTTCGAAAATAAGCGATTACAAGACGAAATTAAGCAAATGAAAGAAGAAATTTCATATTGGAAGAGTTTGCGAGGTGAACAAAATAATTCGAATGAGGTAAACATCATTTTGATATCTCAGTATTTTTGGCATTTATAATATTTAACTCTTTTCTAAATTGAATTATGTTCAAAAGCACAAATTGCTATATAGAATTTATTCAGTTCGTTCGATTTTTCAAAATTTTTCTCAGATTTTTATTAATTTATTAAATGATAAATAAAACGGGGTTAAGCAAGATTAATTGTATTTGGATGATGCTGGCGGCTTACCTCTTCCATATTTCTGTCTCTGGCATATTTGTCTAGTGCGATAAGCTAGCGGAGCGAGTTTAACCAGTAATGGTGAGGACTCTTAAAGATTACATCTGAGAAGATAATACAGATATTTACTTTCTTAATTGGGTGGAGAATCATTTTCTTTATATATATATATATATATATATATATATGTAAATCCTTGTTACAGCTTACAGTTGCAACTGATAACGAGTGTGCTGCCAATAAAAAGGGACCAGTAGAAATCGAGATTCAGGTTTTTTTTATAGAATTAAAGTATTAAAGATTAAAAAAAGTTTTATAATCAGATGTGCGGCCATCTTCAGTCAGGATTATTTTTCTTAATAATATAATTATCATTTACACAAAATTTATATAGAAAACATCATTTTGGCAAGTGGGAAGCGTGACCGTAATTTAATTTTTTTCCGAAAAATTTTGTCGTATGGTTTTTTCTTAAAAGGAGGAATTTAAAATCTTATTGGTCGATTGGGAGTTGCACTGCAGTGGAAAATTTATCTTTTTTTAAAGTTCTGTTCAACACCAGCAGTTCGGTGGATTTTCATTTTTAATGATTTCTTTTAAGAATTATTGTGTTTTTTTCATTTTATTTTTTTTTTTTCAGCTAGATGATCAATATTGTAATAATAAAGAAGGACATTTTCAATCAAATCTTTCGATTCCACAAAAAGTCGATATAACGTTAGATGGAAACCAAGAACATCTGTTAAATACATGCCATCGCTTGCAGAAAGAAAATGAAACCTTGGCTGAACAAAAGAAAGATCTTCAAAATGCGTATTACCGCTTGCAAAATGAAAATGAAATATATTTAAAAGAACTTCAGACAGCGAAGTTTTTTTTGTTAAAAATTATTTCAGCGTGCATTCGTTTAATCAATCTGAAAATAGTAAAATTAATGATCAAAGATTTTTTTGTTATCTTTTTGTTACAATTTTTAAAATTTTTCTAGGCTACATTTTAATGAAATATTAGCCGAAATGCAACAATACAAAGGAAATGATGAAATGAATGAGAGGGAACTACTGGAAACGAAGTAATTTGTCTAATTTTTCGAATCTTTTTGTTAATGCCTTTTGTTCAGTAATATTTTTCAATATAATGAATTCGAAAAATGTTAATCAAGAAATATTTTATCCTTTGAAAATTATGAAAGTTTTTTCTTATCCTTTTTTTTATTCTTATTCTTTTCTCATTCTTTTATTTATTTAATTTTTTAAAGGAAACAATTAAATGAAGCAATAGCTGAAGTTGAACGATGCAAAACTCTTTTCGAATCATTTGGTGAGACTGGTTTTGTATGCTTAAATTCACGTCAAGATATTCCCTCTGCTAATGAAACGAAAGCATCTGAGTTGCATACGAATTACGAAATGGAGATGCCCATGGAATTCGGTCAGGCGACCTATCAACTAGGCGAAACAGAAAAGGATAGACAATTAGAAAAATTGAGGTTATTAATTTAATCTTTTAACGGTTTTATCGTAGTTTTATTTTCAAAAATGATCTAAAATGATCTAAATAAGCTTATTCTTAAAATTTTAGGAGAGAAAATAATGAATTAGCCTCAGCTTACAATGATTTAAATGAGGAATTCGAAAGACATAAAGCTGAGCATGGTTCAGTTGTTGTTTCAAACCGTGATTTGACTAATAGAATAGGTTATTTCATTTTTTTTAAAATATAATTTTTAATTTGTTCTATAATATTTAATGTAATATTTCAAAAAATCTTTATATTAATAATGGTCAGATTCTTAAAAAACATTTTATGAAACAAACTGATGGAATGAACTTTTTTTTATTTGGTATGAAGCATGTGCAAAATAATTTGTTTTTTTTAGATTTTGTTTCTTTTATTATTTCTGCAAATTTTTGCAGATGCTCTTAGGGCGAATTTAATTGAATATGAAGAGCGATATGAACTATGTAAAGCTGAAAATGCTGAAACCGTTCAACAATTAGAAAAACTTTCCATAGATTTCGATCGGTTGCGCGCATCCTTCGAAGCTTCTAAAGGGTCAAGCATTGCTAATGCTACGGTATTTTCTAAAAATTTAAAATTATTTTTATTCTTTCTAATATTTTTGTTTGAAAATTTAAAAATGAAAAATAAAATTTTTCCATCAGAGTTGAAAAATTATGAAAAAAATTTAATTTTAATAAATTTGAGGATGAAGTTGAAAAGCTACGTATTGAACTGGATGCATCAAAGATTGATAGGGAACGTTTACGCGCCGACGTTGAAAAATTTCGTTCAGCAATTGGTTCGATTGATGAGGAGCTAAATAAATTAAGGTTTATAAAACGCAATGCATGTTTTTTCTTATTTTTTTTGACCAAAATCATTCTTTGAAATATTGTGGAATAAAAAATAATTTCTTAGAGAATCGAATGAAAGACTTGCAAGAGATAATAGGGCAATGGGAGAAAGTCTGGATAAATTCAATGAAATTCGAGATATGTTAGAAAGAAGTGATAATCAGCTAAAAATTCTTCGCGACAAGTTTGTTCAACTTCAGCTTGAACATGCAAGAAAGGTAGTTGTTGGTTTTTATTTTCATTTACCTCGATCATTTCAAATTTAATCAATTTAGCAGTTTATATATGTTTTTAAAGCATTTATCCAGGAAGAAGAATGGAGATCCCAAATCGAATTTTTGAGTGAATCACGTGATGAGAACAAAAATCAAGTGAAGGAATCAACTACTGCGGTGGATGAATTTATTCCGACACATTGTCGATCATCCGTTGAAATACAGACTGATAGTGAGTTATGTCTGAATGGAGAAAATACTTTATCAAATTTCTATGAACCGGAAAAAAAATTTAATGAAGGATATGGAGTAATCTTTTTAAAAATAAAGTAATCTTTAAAAAAAGAAAAGTCAGATTTATACGATTTGTATTTGCTATATGAATCTTTTATGAATTTACTTTTAAGCTTATTTTTTTAACAAGATCTTGGAATATTTCAGCAAACAAATTTTAATGGTTTCAATGAGGATCTTGTCTTATTCAGACAAGTTATGGATAAAGGCCTTGATCAGAATGCACAAATGATATCGGAAACCGGCGTAATTAGCGTGGAAAAATATGAAAAACTTCAAAATCAGAATCAAGAACTGGAGAACAGTGTCGGTTCTCATTTTTTTGTCATCATTTTGTTTGTATTTTGTTTAATCAGCTTAAATTTTTTGAAATGTTTACAAGTTTCTAAACAATTGCTACTTTATTTAATATTTATTTAAACAAGATTATATTCATATATTTTTAGTTACATGCTCATCTTCGTTATATCGACCAATTAACTTCTCAGTTAAATACTCTTCAGAATGAACACAAATTTTGCGTGAAAACTGTGGATGAACTTCGTGAGACAGTAATATTTTGCTTTTTTTATGCTCTATTATTGTTATGATCTGTTATTCAAAGTTTATCCTGTTTTTTTTTTAAGAGTCCACCATTATTGGTTAAACTTGATCCGCTGGCTTGTCGCATTGGACAAATATGCCAGGAAGTTACCCTTGGCGACAGAAATACAGGTGAGTCGCCAGCATCACCTGGATTTTTGGGCAGGTTTACTCCTGCAGGGAATCGAACAGCGCTCCTAATTGAGCAACAACCCACTGAGCCATCCCTCAAATTTTATCCTCTATATAAAACAAAATAATTTCTTAATATTTTAAGAAATTATAAGATTCCTAATATTTTTTGCAATTTTTTATTTTATTTTAGAATTCAGAACTCTTGACTTTTAATCAGCAATTAAATTCTGATTTAACTTCTGTCATGCAGCAATTGCAATCATTTGAAGCAATTAATCAGAAACAGTCGATTAACACCAGTGAATTTAATAATTTGTCAGTCAGAGTGGAAAAACTTCAGAAGGAATTGGAAACGTTTGTTTTTCCAAAATTAGGTCATCAGAATTTCCGATTTAAATAATTGAACGTAATCACTGATGAATATAATCTATTTAAAGAAAAATTAAAGGAAAATATGATTTTTTTTTGTTCTCAAATATTTGAGAAAATTCTCTCTCAACTCAAAATTTTAATTTAAGGATTTCGCGTGATAAGGAAAAAGCATTAAGGGAGTGTGAAAGATTACGCGAGCATTTAGTAACTGTCGAAGATACATCTACTAAAGAAGCAGTAATGGCTGAGGAAAGAGAAGTGGCACTTCGTGCAAAAATAAAAGAATTGGAATTACAAATCCATGAATCGGCGGATAGTGCCATATCATCTACTAGTGTATTGCAGGTTTACTGCGAATTGATTTTTCTTAATGGATTTTATTTTAGTTAATTTTGATTCTTTTATAATCAAGTTTTTTAAAATTTATTTTTCAAAATATATCACTTTATTTTGCTACTAAAATTTCCTTTTTAAAATTTTATTTCAGTTTCTGATTACTTCAATCCTTGATTTTATTTTCCATTTTAATGCTTAAATTTAAGGAAAACCTTATAAAACTATCGGATCAACTTGAAGCTACCAAAGCTGAGAAGCAATTACTAATGAAGCGTTTAGAAGAGACTACGACTTCTTTTAGCGATAATCAGATCGCTTTGTCTAATTTACAAAAAGTTTTCCAAGATATCCGACTTGAATATGATTTAGAAGTTGCCCAATACGAAAAAGATATAGTAGATGTTAAAAATGTTGTCGAGGTAACTTTTTTCAATTTTAATCTAAATTCTTTTTATTTTCTTTAAAATAAAATGGGTCTGTTATCACTGGTTTCTTTCTTTATACTGCAATAATTTTGATCTTTTATTAATCATTTATTAATTTTGATATATCAAATCTTAAAAGTGAATTCTCTAAATCTATTTTGTAATCTAAAAATTAAGCAGTGATTATCGAGCAGTTTTATAGGAGCAAAAGAGACAAATGATTTTGGCACAGGACAAAGAAAAAGCTATTATTGGTGAAAAATTGATATTAGAGGATACGATTGCACATTTGAATGAAACTATTTCCAAGAAAGATGCAGTAAGTTGCAAATTTACCATTCTTGCCATTTATTGATCATTTTCTAAGATTCGAAGCTGATATTCGTATTTTTCTATTACCTTTCTTTGAAAATTTTTTCGATCTCTATTTCTGGCTTACTTTTTTGTTTTAAAGAAAATTTTTTTATATTTTTTATATCAAATGTCATTTTTTTAAAATCATAATTCATAGATCATCGAAGAACTAGAAACTCAATTAAGTGAGCGCATAGCTGTGTATTCTACGAATTCGGTTTCTCAAATTGATCATGAAATATTGAAACAATTGTTTTTGTCCTATTTTACCGCCCAGCCTAATAAAAAACCTGAAATCGCAATGTTACTTGCATCCATTCTTGGTTATAAAGAAGAGGTGAGGCTATCATTTATGAATTGCAAATATTTTTGGAAATAAATGTAGCTAGCAAATGCTAGTGGAGAAAAGGAAAAAAATAAAAGAGAATCAATAAGGTCACGAATGGAAGGGATAAATTAGTTAGAAACCATTATGAAAAAGGTGGAGAAGATGAAATAATTTGTAGAGAGGAAAAAATTTATATCCGACCCTTAGGTACTATTCATTCTCGGTTTTGTATTTTAGGATTTAACTAAAATAGAGATTGCTAATGGACTGAGAAATAGCAAATTATCCAGAACGAACAGTTCGTCAAGGTATGCTGCAAATAAAATATCATTGGCTGAGCAATTTATTCGTTTTCTCGAAAATGAATCTGTTACATCTGCTACCTCGCATTCATTGCCAATCGAAGTGAGAAAATTCAATTTTATTTTAGAAAAAAAAATTTTTAAATTTTTTTCAAAAAAAATTCTTATTTATCTTCTCGTAATGATGAAATTTCCCTTTATTTCAACTTTCATTACTTTTTTAAAGATTTTTTTCAGGTATTGAAGGAGAAAACGACACTTCGGTCTTCTAGTGTTCCTTTAGCACCTGTGGAACCAGCCGATGCTGAAGAATTGCGCTCAATTCTTGATACATAATTTCTCTGTTTTAAAAAGACATTTAGCTATGCGAGTCTGATTTAGGTTGAAATGTTCTACCAACATTGTAGTTTACTGCGTGCACATTTTTCGATTGGCATAATTTTTATATTAGTGGATTTTTTGTATTTGCCAATATTTTGAAGAGTTTAGAACAATAACTAATTATTTAGAAACTTTAAGTGTCAGTGGTTTGGTGTTGTGGTCTATTTTCTTTTGTGGCAATGCATCTTATATTATTTTGTCAGTTTTACTGGTGAATACCTTGTTAATGCACGCTGTATGAGGTCTCAAATTTTCGTTTAGATATTTTTATAAAAACTCCATCGAATATCGTTTCTCTTAATTTATTTTGCATTGTAAAAAACAAAAGGCTTTCTTCCGTATTTTATGCTAATAATGTAAATTTAATATTATAAAATTGAATTAACAGATAAAATAAAAAAATCTGGAAATTCAAAATTCAAAACTCAGCAACATCAACAAAATTAAAGAGCTAAAACCATAAATAACAAGCATTAAAGCAATATTTATCAAACCAGCGGTCACTATTAATTGAGAAAATCCCTTTTATTAGTTATTAGTTTTCCAAGCTCACTCTATGCTCACTCTGAAAGAATCTCATTCTAGGTAGAAAAAAATTTAGTTATTTTTGATTTTCTGAAGTAGCGATTGTAAGAAAGTTTTATTATAGAATACCTATTTTATTAATGCTAACATTCTTCTAACGGTTCTCACCATTACTGGTTAGGCTGACTCTAATGGCTGCAAGATGCTTCCAAGCGGCGTGGTCTGATGCCATAGTCGACAGTAACTGAAGCCATTCCTTTTTCCATCGTCTAAGTCCATATATTGCAGGTCCACCTATAAGTTCAAAATCTTCTGACCGTATCAGTCCAGGTCTTGATTGGCCCACCTCGCTTTTGACGCCAACCATCATACAGTTTAGCAAGTAACGAAATATGCGTCAACAACACCTGTGGTGGGCGACGGAGAACGTGGACGTGCCCTAACCAGCGAAGGCGAGGCTATGTGATAACATTAATACAGGTGGTATTTAAACGAAGGTGGGTACGATCATGTGATATCCGTTCAACGGATCCGTAAAATACACCTTAGACAAGAGTGGTCAAAGGTAGAACTTTTTAATATCCTCCTATGTCATTAGCCATGTCTCAGAACAATATATCAGTGATCATTTATATCAGTAATAGTGAGAGCTGTCAGAAGAGACTTGAAAAAATATAGCAAGATCGAACGAATCACGGCTATATAGATGCGAATTTTGTTTTTATGGTAATTAAGGGTTTCGTCAACCGGAAGAAAACATTTCTAGCTGCCGTAATCTGGGCTATAATGCTAACATTAATTATTTTTCATAGATACTTATCTCGCTACTTGCTATCTCTCTATAATATATGATATTCAAATCAAGATGAACTAATCAAGACTTGAATTGATATAATCAAGAAATATTTTGGATGTAGGCGGCGGACTAGTGATATTTTAGTTCCAAGGTATTGGATCAAGCGGGTTGGACACGTCTTGCAACCTAATCGGTAATAGTGTCTCAGAAGATAGGAAATTTATAGAAATAGGAACTTGAAAAGGAAATTTTTAAATACCAATATTTTTGAATATTTTGAAGTAATTATAATAGCAACTTAGAAGAGAATTTATCAACTTTTCTTAAATTCGCATAAGGCTCCAATGTACATTGGAAGAAATATTTATGTGCAACAAATTATAAATTTCAATTACAATTCTTAAAAATAGAACGGCTAATTAGGTAATATGGTAATTAAGTAAAATAGAGATCCTTAGAGAGATCACATCCTTAAGCCACTAAAGCCATTATCCTTGACCTGCTGCCTTACCGTTGTAGCCGATGGGGCCAGCCTAACCAATTATGGTGAGAGCTGCTAAAAGAACCTGCGGTAATTGGGGCCAGGGCACTAAAGAATGGTGCATCACAAGCCATCGGTACACATTCAAAAGAAAATAGTACAATGGTTTTTAGCTTTCTTTTCTATGTGCATAAAGTCTCTTATCCAAGTTAGTATATTGTTATGCCTATAGTGGAATGAACAACATAAAATGTGCCTTCAAGCAAAATCTGGCTTAATATTGTAAATTTTTTCCCAATTCATTATGTTTTCTCATCTCATTAAGTTTTTTTCTTGAAAATACTTTTTCAATTAACAATTGACTCAAAGAAAAAAACAATGAAAAGTTAGAGAAATGTAGTCTTTCCTTGAATAAAATTGTGGCAAATAATGTAACTTAGCTCTTCCTTGGGAGAATCTCAGAGAATTGTGCTACCAGAAGGCAGCCATTTGGATTTCATCCTTCATACCTATCCGAAACAAAAAATTCGAATCCATTTCTAAGTGTTAAAATATTTACGGAATTTACTTATTTCGTGAATATTTTTTTATAAAATAGATTTTTGACTTTCATTTTTCTTCATGAAAATTTATAATAAATAATCAAATACACATGGAAAAAAGAAAGAATCGAATCATTTCGGATACTCCAAAAGAAAACGTTCCGCCAATTTTTTCGTTAAATATTACAAAAATAAAAATAATTTTTGCACTTGTCTTTCTCTTCATTCAATGCACATACGTTATTTGCTATTTGTTTCCACGAAAGAATAAATATTTGTTTCGGGGGCCATTTTTCTATTTTGCGAGTGGATCTTTCATTTTAAGAAGGAGAGAGCAGAGTCGAATGGGCGACCTAAGGTCCACTGTTCACAGCCTTTGATTTGATATTTATTAGGCTATTGCTAAGGGTGAGCACCAGCGACTCTCCTCTATTTCTGTCTGCAAATCTTTCGCGTTGGCGGATTTCCAAGAGAACGTGATGATATGGGGAATGGAAAACAATGCAACAGGATTCAAAGCAGTGTGCTAAAGAATAATGGGCTTTGATGTGAAGGAGAAGGGGTATGTCCGAAATATGTAGCAGTCGGATCTGCATGACTTCCTTTTTAACTAACAAATATAATAGTTTTCTGAGCCAATTATGGTGTGAGTATGGTGTTATGATCGTGATCATAGATATGATGACGCCAAATTAAGAAATAAGAGGTAAAAGAGGACAATCTCCCGCGAAATTTCGTTCTATCTCCTATTATTTTTATGACATTAAGTTCTTTTTAAAAATCACTTTGGTTCAATCTTAAGGATTTGATCAAAATTACCTTCATTTTTAATGTAATTATTTGTCATAGAATGATGTTTTGTTCTAATGTAATTTCTGGTTTAGTTGCCCCCAATTGACTACTAAGGTTAGGCATTTTCATCAGAGACTTATACTTGACAACAAGTGGACTCCCTGAACTTCTCGGATAAATTTTTCTTTTAATGGTAAGTTAGCCAAGAGAAATCGGCCAATGCTATGTGGTCTAAATCTGAATCCGAATCAATGAACCACTTAACAATCTTTCCCTAATGTAACAATATATAATAGGTACTAAGGCGTATTAACAGTTGATTATGAAACAAAACATAATACGTCAAATGAAAATCGATGATAAGTGTAAGGGAACTTATAGATTACGTGGCTCCAATGACCATTTAAATCAATGTTTTTCGAGTGACCTGGGTAAATTGTTCTCTCTTGTGCTTTATATGGATTAAAGACAATGGTCGCTCATATATTTCTTCGTCATTGACCACTACCACTTTATAATGAATTGTATAAAATCTTTTTCAAATGTTATAATATTTGTGTTTTTATGATTTCTAGTATATAATGCTGTTTTAATTAATTTTCAGCTTTGATTTTATCGAATATCTGCAGTTTTCAGATTTTTCAGATTTGAAGAGAAAAATTCCGTACATGTCAGTGCCTTTGCTAAATCCGATTCTGACAAAGGAAAACAAGGATTTTTTGTACCATTTAGGTATCGAAAAAAGCACTACTGATCTTCCAAAAAGATTTGGTGATGTTAAGGTATATTCATCATAATTTATTACAAGATATTTTATTGCAAATAAAAGAGTACTTGAAGGTACTAAGAGTAAAAGAGTAAATAAATAGGTGGTTAGCGTTCATCATTTCTCGCTGTGCTCGCTATTTATAAAATGTAATGTGGCCTTGTAATATGGTTTTATTATTATTTATTACATTTCTTACAAGTTAACAAAGTGAACAAGGTAGTGCTCCCAGTTTTTTTAAAATTATTCTATAAATCTCTTTATCACACTGCCGAAACCAATCTCTTTGTAATGTTGAAATGTGGTAAAATATAAATTTGAAATTTCAAACTTTATCAGTTCGCAATGATACAATTTCCAGTCATGCAGTACTTTTTTCATTCTAAAAACATTCGAATTTAAGTTTGTATGTACTGGTGGCAGCTCGACACGACTTGCACTGTATGCAAAATGGTTTGCGAAGGACTGTGGATTAGATTGCAGTGAGAATCTCTGTAATGGTGACCGTTTTGTCATGTACAAGACGGGCCCCGTTCTTTGGATCAATGTAAGTTCGTTGACTGTAGAAATGTGCCTTATTTCAAATACATTGAAGGGTTAGACCATCGGTAGTGTACATACATTTTCACTTGATATTGAGGACAATCTACAGGCTTTTTTTGATATTACTTTTTTCCATGGAAGTAACAACGATGGAATCGTCCCAAGAGTTATCTCTTTAAATATTTTAAGAACTTTCGTATTTTCTTTGGAAGGGAAAAGTCCACTAAAAATTAAATGGAAATAAATTACAACACTATTTTTTTGTAACAGTTCACAGTTTATTTTTTTATTTTTAGGAATAGGCGTTGCATCGTTGAGTATTGTGCTTATTGAAGTCATAAAACTTTTGCATTATGCGAAAGCCGTTGATGTTACATTTTTCCGCATTGGTACTTGTGGTGGAATCGGTATACCACCTGGTACCCTAGTCATTTCAACTAGCGCTGTAAATGGTGAACTGAAACAGGAATACGTCCAATACATAATGGGCAAAAGAGTATGATGATTTTCTATTTGCGTCGGACTTCAGAGATAAAATCTCAGATTTTCCAGTTTTTCAAAGGAATATTTCCTTATAAGTTGTCGAAAATTTTTAAGAAGTAATTTTTACGAAGTAATTAAATAATTTTAAGGTAACACGGCCAGCGATTCTTGATGAGAATTTACGCAAAGAAATTGGTGAATTTGCACAAAAAATAGATATATCAGTGGTAAGCGGTAAAACAATGGCTTGCGATGATTTTTATGAAGGTCAGAATTTGTTCGTCAACTAATCTAATGAAAAAAGCCCTTGAACAAGCATGGTGGACTTCGTTGAAGCCAAGCAATATAGGTTTGATTCCTTTCTCTTCGGGAGTAAATCTGTCATTAAAAACCCGAGAGAGGATCTGCTTCTATTATTCCGAAATGAAGCGATATTATCCTTTAGTTCATCCCAGTCAGCCAAATCAGAAACCCTTTCCCATTCAGAAGAAAAGGAAAGATTGTTCTATAGATGCTTTTCTATTTTATTACCTATAATTTTGAATAAAAGGCTTTTTTTAGAAATTTTTTGAAAAAAAGAAAACTATAGGACAAGCAAGATTGGATGGCGCTTTTTGTGACTATACAGCCAACGAGAAAACGAATTTTTTAAATCACTTGAAAGAACTCGGAATAAGAAATATCGAAATGGAAAGTGTATGTTTTGCAGCATTGCTTCATCGGGCGAATATTAAAGGTTTCTTATTTAATTTTTCCTGGACATCCAAAATTTAATTAAAATAGGGAATCTTGGAATTTATAGGACGATGGGAATTGACACGTTCGATTTGGAATTTTTCCCAAATTTTTTCAGTCTTTTTCAAATTTCATTCCTTATAAGAAGAGTAAGGGGAGGATACCCGAATGGATAGGTGATTTAGATCATCGGGATGAGAGGCAAGGATTCGGAAGAAATGGCGTTAACCATTTTCTTTATTCAATAGAGAAACGTATTTATTAATAAATTTCATTCGTAAGACGTAAACTGAAATATGAATGAGATTTGTTTTCATAGTTTTAAAGCTATATGATTTTTAACTGAAATTTCATCTCTTCAGCAGCCATCGTTTGTGTGACTTTAATTGATCGCACGAAAGGCGACCAAATCAAAATTAATAAATTACAGTACGAGGAATTCGAGTCAAAGCCTTTTAATCTTATCAAATTATTCATTAGACAAAAATTAAACATTTAATTTAAACGATTTTTATTAGGAAGATTCTTTAGGAAGATGTAAGCGATGAACAATGCTTTGAGATCCACAGAATTTATCATTTATTTTTATTCTTTATTACTTATTATTTTATTTTATCCTGAATTATTTTTTATATGCAGAATAAGCCTTAATTTTTAGTCATATTCGATAACCCTAATAACCGATTCGCAATAGCATTTTTAAAAGTCCATTGGTTTTCATTATTCCCTAAATTCGACATATTTTGCCAAAGATTTATTTAATAGCATAATTGATTTATTTTTCTTAAATTAATTTCATTTTTTTTCTTATACACTCATTTTCAGTTTGACTGTTAGAATGGGACCTTTCGTTAGAAAATCACATAGAAATAGATGAGCCCTTAGTGCCATTCGGATACCATTTTTAATGACAAGGGACGGAAATCGAAACTTGCTTTCAGCTGAAGGAACCTCAGTAGGAGTCTACAATCTCAACCCTTTATACTTCATCTAAAATATTCGTTCAGATTCTTCAAAAATATAAAATACTGCTTTCATTTAAGTAGCAATAAAATCTTTTATTACATCATTCTTGTTACATTGCTTTTGCGCTCGGTCTTGATCAGAATTAGAATATCTGAACAAATGCATGCTGCTTAAATATGTTTAAATTTAGTTCGAAGAAACGACGGATTAGTAGTAAGGTGGTCAACAATAATGTACCGAGAATAATATGGGTTCCAATTCAAATCCAATACGCCACGATTCGTCGGGCGCGGTGTCGCCAAATGGCGAAATTAAGAAGTTATTGTGGTAGCAAATCAATTAGGATTCGAACTGGCAGTTTATACCTGCAGTCAAAATTATAAATCGAATCAAAATCAGCAATACAATGCAAGTGTAGATATCAGTTGCAAACAAGTGACAGTTGGTCAAGGAAAGACCGATGAAGAAGACCGAAAATGTAGTATAACAAATTCTGACGGGTTAAATATAAAGAAAATATAAAAACCAGTGGGTTAAGAAACTACTCAACGAGACAAAAAATGTAGCCGATTTCGAAAACGAGCTTGTTACTCTTCTCATTCAACGAGTATGTATAAATAACAAATTTTGAATGATCCGCTCATTATCGCCTGTTCTAGCGCGAAATTATATATTTAACATTGTTGACATACTTGATTACTCAGGAGTAAACCCCTCCGAAAATCCGAGTGATGTCGGCGACTTACCGTACTTCTATCGGATATTTGTCCAGTGCAACAAGCCAGCGGGTCGAGTTAAGTAATGGTGAGGAATCCTAAAAAAAAAGTCGACATAATTGATGGCGCAAACGATTTTCTATCCTTCCTTGGAAAAAATTTCCAGTCGTACGGACAGCCAACAGAGCGAGCTCAATAAAAAGTGGTGAGCGCTGGTCACTTTGTTCGCGTTTAATAATAAAGTGGACACAATAAAATAAATACTCATGAAATTTGAAATTTGAGCCATTCATTTCTAAAAATAATTCATTCGAAATTAAAAAATTCAAATAGCGTTAGAATAGCGTCCAAGTTTTTGAAAAAAATTCGTATATTTTCTGAAGAAATTTAGCGAATAAATTTCAAGTGTAAAGGAAAGATGAATGAACCTTAACCATCATTTTAAAAAAGCGTCCAGGAATAAATCCATAAATCCATTCGTAAAAAATTTTTTATTACACTCGAACCATTTAAAAAAAAAGGATTAAGCTAGATAGGTAGTAAAAATGATAGGAATTTCCAGAATTATTCCATTAAATCAGATGGGATTTTTATAATTTCCATGACAACGATAAGATAAACATGGATTGCATGCAAACAAATCAATAAATTCGTTTTGTTTCGTTAAAATATCGTCTTATAAATGCAGCTTTTAATGAATTTAGAGCTCTGGTGTAGAATAGGATTTAAATATTGTCACTTACTTAGTTGGCTTTAATAATCTATCGTGGTTTCTTTCCTACTCCATGGGCCCCTTCGGCAGTTCACCTTCCCTAAAGTGGGAAAAAAAACGAAAATACCAAAATATTTGTCAATTTCTGTTGAGTAATAAAATATTGTAATATTGCTAAAATTGCTATTCATTACCATTAATAGTTGAAAGAAATATTAATTTTATTTAGAGATTAGCGAAAATAAAACTCCCATTCTATGCTCGCGGCTTGCATGGCACTTTATCACTACTGGAATTCACTACTGGATTCTGGAAGTTCGTAAATACCTTAAGTCTGTCGCCTCTTGAATTTTCGGAAAAGAAGAGTGGTATGAAATGTCGACACTATTTCATAAGATTCAGCAACTTCGCTATTAGCTGACCTGAATTTCTTCAGAGAAAATTGCTTTCCTCATTTTGAACGTGATTAAGTTGATTATGTTTTTTATTTCCTTCGGATTCTATAGATATCTTCATGAAAATTTTAGCTTTTTTTATAGCTTAATTTGTCACATTTCGTAATATTTGGTGTGACATTTTGGAAAATAAAAGAAAGTGTTGGAAAATATGGAAGGAAATATTTATGGAAATTATTAAATGCTAAAGAATAAACGTGAAATAAATTATTTTTATTGCAGCTGATCGCTAAATCTACATCTATATACATCTATACATTTTCGAGAATTAAATCGCGCTAATAGTTGTTATAATGAATTCGGATATAGTGGCAATATGGACTGTGCCTCTATACGATAAGATGCATAAGATTGAATTTGAGCATGGTACTACAACCGGGAAAAGAATCATTAGGGTTGACGGAAGGGCTCGTTCTTTTTTGAATTTTTCATGTTTTTTTTCATTTTTCCTTAACCGTAAAAGATGTAGTTCATTCGTTTTAAATTTTCTATCTATCCATTACTTCCTCTTTTTGACTGACTCCCCCTTTCTGAATCCACTGATTGTTTGTTCGGGGCCTTTTTGAAAGCTGTTCGGATACTTATTTATCTACCAAAAAAGATAGGGAAAAAAGCTGATCATCAAGTGCGGTTTTTTTCATGTATCATAAGCCACAAAAAATTCCTTGACTTGTCTCGACCGATAATCGTTTCGATGAAAAAAACTATGCAAGAAATTCTGCATGGCAAGCGGTATGGATGTATAGATAGATTCCCTAGATCCGATTTAAGAATGAAAAATTTCAAAAAACGAATCTTTAAAATAAGTGACTGTGGTTCTTATTTCTTTAGGAAGTCCTCAGAAAAGATTGGATGTTTAAACTCGTAGGTCGTGAAACGTTTTCCATCGAGAAAATCAAATGTGCAATTACTGTAGAAGCTATTGGAACATTTGATTACGAGTATAGTTTGGAAGTAAATGGCAAAAGTTACGAAAAATTTCGCGAAGAACAGAAAAGGTCGCTAAAAATCTGGTTGGCGATTATCGATGGTGAAGAGACTCGGATTTGTCTCGGTTAGTCCATTTATTTAAATAAAGATTTTAAAAATCTCCCAATAAATAATATTTTGCTAAATGAGTAGCGATAGAAAAATAGACGCAAAAAACGAAAATTTTATGATACGGGGATGCGAATTAGGTAAAGCAAATCATTACAAAGAAATATAAAGAAATAGCAAGCAGGTGGCGGGGTCGCGCATACATGTAACTTCGAAATAAAATCAAGCATATATGAATCTCATTGGAAAGAAAGAAATTATGATTTCATAATTCTATTTAAGCGGTAAAGAACAAAATACTTTGCTAAATGCACAAATGTATCGAGTACCAGAAGAATGTGGCGCGCTCTGAGGATTTGTCTCTACGGGTTTTCAGAAGGAAAAGGGGATTTGAGGATGTGAAATAGAATTTGAGAGATGCTGTGAGAGCAAACGGGGAGAAGCCGTGAATTCAAGGAATTTTATTTAAACATCACGGTGATTGATTGAAACATTTGGAAACATAAGCGAGTTAACGAAAACCAAAGAGGATATTAAGGAAACGGAAATAATGGTGATAAACAGCATAATGGGAAAGGATTTGTAAAGCAGTACTAAGAAGTTCGAAACATTAAATAATGTCCAGAAAGAGAAAGGTATAAGGTAGATAAGGAAGCACAGAAGCGAATAGAGAGAAAAAAGAGTCAAAATATCTCAGTTACCTTAAGATTCAAGAAAGCTTTTGAGGTTTTGAAGAGGTGTGCAGGGATGCAGGTACTAAAGCGAAGTCTGAGGAGAATATCGAAAAACTATGATGAGATTTATGAACTGGAAATATAACAGAGAACGCCATGATTTCCAGTTTATGAGTCCCCTTTCCGTCCCCTTTCCTTTTCAGTAAAGAGATTACAGGAGAAGTTAATAGAGCACATAGCGAGTTTCGAATTTTAATAGAGCAACAATTCGTAACGACCGCAAAAGCTTGGAAGTTCCACCTTATCTCACATTTAATGAAATTTTTGACAATCTAAATTCTCAAAAAAATTTTGAAGCTAAGATCAAGGAGTTTTTCAGAAAAGGGAACTATGGATATATGGGTAAATGATACAAAAATTGATTCAGCTGTTAGTGCTTTACGATTTTTTATGTCAATATTCGATTTATTTCACCCATCAAGCAGTTGAATATGGAACCAATTCCATAAGTCTCAGAGCTAATAATACAGAGAGAATGGAATTTTTTAAAAAAACAGCGATCTTTTAAAAAAAATTCTGTGAAGATTTCCGAAAATTCCGAAAATTGTAAAATTTATTTTGAATTTCACTGGTAGGGAAACCGTTGTGCGCGAAACGATTATAGAATTTAGCATAAACTGACGAAGCTTGAAAAGTTTCTAAAAAATGTAAAAATAAAAAAAACGTTTTCAAGGGTGAATTTGTTGAAGATGGAACAGAAACACATTTCGAAGTCGGTCGTAATATTTGCTGTATCAAGGCGATAAGCAGTGGTAGAAAGAACATTGGTATTGTCCATCGACTTTTTGTGAATGAAAAGGAAATACCTTCACTCGACGATCAAAAAATCCAAACGTAAGAGGGGTCCTAATAACCACTCTCAGCGCATTGCACCCCTATCGTGCCTGCCAGTTTCGAATGATTTCTTCTAGTCTCGGCAGTATTTAAATTCATTGCCGATGAAACCCCTGGTGATCAACATATTTTCGCTCCTCCGATCCTTTTTGCTTTTCTTTGCCTATTTCGATGGATTTTATTCCATTGTCAAGCAATTATTGAATAGATATAATTTATCCAATGATTTCTGTGAAGAAACACAAACAAAAATTATGAAATAATCCGCAAAATTTGCGTTATATAGCAGGAAATCGGGAAGTACCACTGCAAGGAATTAAAGAATAGGAAAAATATGGTGCCGCCACCTTTAGGAGAAATCACTGGTAATGTTTAAAATTCTTCTAAAATCTCTCCTAACCTTCTCGACCTAAGTCTTGATTCGATCTTCTTACTTTTAGTGCCATCCACTGGAAGGCATGTAGCAAGGTAGCACGAGTTCCTGAGGGCTCGCCCGATCTGTCGGTACATGTGGTACCAGAGTGAATACAACACAACCAAGGAAATCTTAATCGCGCGGACAGCATGTAGGTCGAACAAAAAATATTAGTCCCAGGAAAGTGATCTCCGATTCCTTTTTCCGTTATTGTTCAATTATTGAAGTGTTTATCCATGATTATAATTTCCTATGCAACTTTTTTGTTTTAAACCATTTTAACCGATGTTTATTATTCAATAAATATGTTTGACTTTCGAAATTATGCCGAGATTTCATTATTAATTAACTTTAAAAATACCCATCGTTTTTGGTTTGGATGGATCGGTCGACTGAGGTCTCTCGGTCGCCGAAGAATCGACTGGGGATCGGATTTCCAGCCAGAGAATCACCCCAGACAAAGGTTTATTGCGACGTCGGCTGAGTTTCACTTCTAAGGACATATTCAGCGTCCCCACTGGACAGCACTTGAAACCACGCAGCTCTCCTGTAAGTCCATAACAAAATTGCAATGCTGGTAAATTCATTGAGAAACTCGTTGGGTTGTACAACCATGTGGGGACCGAAAATTATATTCGACGAACTGTCGAATATTACATTTCTGGGCAGACAGTGGCCAATGGTTCCCCACTGTTTTTTGTGTTCTTGCCTTTTTCATTTTTTATGGTTGTTGCGGCATGTTTCCCAACGCTCATTTGTTGATAGTTACCTGGTGGTTCTCAGATTTTGTCAGGTTTTTGAATTTCCTCCTCCCCTTTTCCTCTCTTCGCCCTCTTTTCCTTCTTCCTCTTTCCCCCTTTCCCAGATTTAGCCAACACTGGCCAGAATTACACGAGGTTTATATGAACTCTCATTTGCTGTGTGTTAAGAGGCTGCGGATCTCTGCCTAATAATTTGCCATTTTAATGTTTGTCCGACGATCACAAAACTGTAAATATTGGTCCAAAAATTAAATTCCAGGTTATTTATTTAATCTTTCTTCTCGTTTCGTAACCTTGCAGCCTTTTTCACTCGTTTCACCTTTTTGTCGTGCGCTTGTCGTCTGTGCCTTATAGATGGAATATGCTGTGGACAAGGTAGCCAAGAAGTACAATGGTTAATAGTTTCTACGTTAATATGAATAAGTATGTATGATATTTTTGATTATTATTAACGCTCGAGTTAAACTATTTTCGCATTCAGCTTAGCCAAGAAGTTTCGATAGCTTATTCTTCTGGAATTAAATTAAATTTCATTTGACTGGCTACATTTCTTCTTTATTTAATTTTTTTTGCGGATTCTGTCGGAGATTTCTTTTCTTTATGGCGTCGAAAATTTTCCCGAAAGCTCTAAGAAAATGATTATCGTCTCATTATTTTGAATACAATCATTGCTTTCGCTGAAGGATTCGATTACTTTTCTTCGACAGAAATAAATTTATCATTAAAAATGCATTTCATTCACTCGCTGCGTCATATGTTTCTCAAGGATCTCCAGACGACTCCGCGCCGGAAGCGGTGAAACTCAACTATAAAAATTCAGCAGGAAGCTCAAAACCTGAATTTTTTTTTAAATTTTGGTAGACATTCTTCTAACAGCTCTCATCGTTACTGGTTAGGCTGGCTACACTGGCTTCAAGACTAAGGCGTTTCCAAGCTGCGGGATCTGATGCCATCGTCAACAGTAATAGAAGCCGCTTCTTTTTCCTTCTAAATATATTGCTGGTCCATCTATACGTTCCAACTCTAAACTTTTTCTATTCAGAATCTTTACTTTTTGATAATTCTATGAATGTCAAGAAAATTAAATTTTGCAAAAAATTTTTTTTCTAAGATTTTCAGTTTTATTTTTTCAGTCTTTCCAAAGATTTTGGCATTAATCTAATATTAAAAAAAGCATGGCATTGAGGAACCAGACTTCGTCAATTTTACATCAAATGGTAAATAATTTTGCCAATTTTTCCTGGTTTTATTTTAATTTTCTAGTTTTAAAATTTATAAATTTATTCTTTAAATTACTTTAATATGTGGTCTTCAGTTTATTTTTTGTTGCCACATCCATTTCCAGCAGATATGAAATTTATATTTATGGAGGAGTGCAAGTCATACTGAACTGTACGATAATTACTTATTTTTTCAATAATTCTGTGAGTATCAAGAAAATTTTCACAAAAAATTTTTTTCAGTTTCATTTTTTCAGTCTTTCCAATTTTTGAACAAATCGGCTTATTCCATAAAAATTTTAAACCCATCAGCTGAAATTTTGCCAATGAAAGGCAGAGATGCTGCTAAAAAACCAGTGAAGATAAAATTGGAAACTGGAGAGAAATATTCTTGGTGTTCTTGTGGTTTTTCTAGTAATCAGGTTGGTTATTTTCAAACACATATTTTATCGTTATTTTTATATCTTCTAAAATGTTTTTAGCCGTGGTGTGATGGAAGTCATAAGTTAAAGGGGATAACTATGTTGAGACCTGTAAAATTTGAGGTTAATAAAACTGCTGAATATTCAATATGTTTATGTAAACAAACCGATAAAAGACCCTTATGTGATGGAAAACACAGAGAAGTAAATTTTAATTCAATTTCATTTGTTCATTTTTTCTTCATTATTTATTAATTTTAAAATTTGTTTGATATTTTAAGTTTTTTTTTATTAAGTTTTTATTAAATTTGCTGTATTTAATTATTCCTTGAGAAAAATATTCTGAATTATCAGCTGGTGATTATGTAGTCGTGAAATTTCATTAATAATTTTAAAGATTTTAGTAATATTTTCGCACTTTATGAAGATTTGAAATTTTGTTTCTTTTGCTTCTTTCGATTTAGATATTCTTTTATTTTGCATTTTATTTCTAAATTTTTCAGATTTCACAGCGTCCGCGTTCGAAAGATGCTTCTCGCTTCGTATTGTTCTACGATTCGCCCGTATATGATGGAGTCGCTCGCAAACTCGGATATAAAACCAAAGGTGGTGGTTTTCAGTGAAAAAATTCTCTATAAATAAATAGTGGATTGTAATATTTCTATAGAATAATTTTTTCGATGTAATTTTATATATTTAAATAATTGATACTCCATAAAATTTTTTTCATTATTGTTCATTATTAATTTAAAAGAATTCCCTTAATTTCAAAGAAATGGAAAATAGATTTTTCGATAAGGTAAGATTTGGTGATTTTCTTATTGCTATTCCTTTATTATCGAATATAATGATTGTAGAATTAAGCTCATGGTAGTCTAATGGTGGCAACAAAAAAAATTAGTGAAATTACCAAAATCAAGAAATTGGTTGAAAATTTTTTTAAAAATTTTTTCAGCCATTTTGTTTAAAATTTATTTATTTAAAATTTTCCAGTTAGGTTATTCTCTGCTGACTATTAATACGATTATTTGGAGGGAATCGGTGGTAAAAAATCGGTGCAAGTGAGCTTGATTTTTTCAATGAGCTTATTCCTGTTGGAGGTAGGGACAAAACCTCCACAGTGATATGGACCACTATTCATTTAGTATGCCCTCATTTTACTTAGATTTTAAGAAATTTTTTGCAAATTCACAGATTTGCTTGGTGCCACTGTATTTCAAAGCATTCCATTACTGAACTACATCTAAAGTTAACAGCTACCTTTTCCGCCAATACGAAATTAGTTGGAAATTCGAGGAGTTGTAAATTCAGTTATTGAGGAAAATTCTTAAGGCAGGATGCACTGAATGATTGAGTAACATGTTGTTATCTTTATATCTTTTTGCTTTAATACAATTCGTTTAATACTTTCCTCATAGGAAAAACCATTTAGATAGCAGTGTTAATAAGGAGATGTATTTTGTATAAAAGAATAATAATTTATGAATAATTTCAGTAAATGAAATGAGGATTATTTTGAATTTGTTGGAATTGATGTGAAATTTTTCCAACTTTTCGAGTATTTAATCTATTTTTATGTGTGGCGAAAGGATTATTAAAAGAATATTAAAAGAATAAGTTAGCGGAGTTTGCTCAGATTATTCTTTCTGCATCATTCGGATACTTAACAGGAAAAACCCGAGTGATGGCACCTGTAGTTCTAGCGCGAGTAATTTTTTGATAAAGATTTCTTATCCCAGTGGGACGAGTTTGATTCGAATAATCTCTGATATTTCAGCAGAGTCGTTTTATTATTATTGTTCAATGGAAGCACCTAAAGCAAAAATGCTATAGGAAGAAAAATGGCTTAAATGGTTTGATTCCTAATTTCTGATTTCATATTTGACGTAATGCATAAAAAAAATAAGTACAAAAGTTTATAGTTCACGCAAATAAGCTACTAATTTTGTTGGAATAAGGATGCGACTTTTATGGATATCTTTCCTTTTTTCTATATTTAAAGCTCGTCTTATGCTAATCTTGAATTGGAAAGGCGTTTCCATACGCTATTGCTTGGCAATGTGATGTTCATAGATGAATTATTACCAATTATTCCAAAGTTTTGCCAGATTTTGAGATTTTGTTTAATCTAATCCAACTTCTCGTTCTTCTAGCAGTTCACAAAATTACCACATAAATGGGTTTGCTTCGCTGGTTAAAGCAGTTTCTAAGGTGCTTATCAATCTGATGCATCTGGAAGTAAAGAATATAATTTAATAAATTTTATTAATTTATTAGTAAATTTAAATAAAATGATTCGGAAGAAATGGTCGAGACAAACTGAATGATTGGTTTGCACACTTCATAGGAATTTTATGGAAAAGTTTTGGTGAAAAAATCTGTAGAAAGCGAAAGGAATAAGCTCAAAATCCAAGAAAAATCCAAGCTCGCTTGTAGTTTTACCGCCGATCTTGTGCCGATTCATGTATATGCTTTGAATTCATAAAAATTACTGTATAGAATCGGATGCAATAATCGTTTTAGAATCTTTCAGTCCTATTAATCCTTCACTTATAGTCAGTTATTTATTATTTATTTGCATCATTGATTTTAAAACTAATCGCAGGTGGATTTATGCGAATTTATTCGACGGATTTTGTTTATTCGTTGAGGTTTGAATCATTAATGATGTGCATAATTTGTATAAATAAACCAGAGGGTGCTTTAATCTCCGATTCATTATCTTTTCATTTTCTTATATGGCTTCCTTATTAGAGGATGGATTGGTGAAAGAGGTGCACTTAGGTCCGTGGCAGCCACTCTCTTAATGACACTGAGTTATTGCGATTTTAAACACAATCTTGTGCCAACTTAAATACAATTATCATTTCTTGCCGTCCAATTTTCTATCCTTCCAATATTCGATTGGCTCTATCAGAGAAGTTTTTTAATTTTTAAGTACCTCTGTGGTTTAAACACTTTTAGTATTTTTCACTCTTCTTGTAGAAAAGTCGTTTCTTTCAAAAAAGTATTGAGCAATGAACTATAAATGTTGCTCGAGTTCAAGCTCGAATTTTGTCGCTGTTCATTTTCTTTCTCTTATTAATGTATTGAAAAATGGATTTACTAAACTAGGCACATAGTACTTGGTAACCAAATTTTTCAGGTGTTAAGAGTTCAGTGTTCTTTGATTATAGATAATGGTAATGATAACTATCGAGGTACATAATGATAATGATTATAGATAATGATAATGATAATTATCATTATAGATTTGATACGAATAAATTTGCGTTTAAGAATTTTTCGATGCACGCCCTATATTTTTAAAAATTTTACTTAAGCTTGAGCTTAAATCTGTTCTAAATCAGCAAAAAAAGAGAAGTAAAATGGCACAGCTGATAAGATTATATTCTGGGATATGAAATTTTAGGAAGATAAACTATTTGCACAATAAATTGCTTTTATCAATTACTTAAAAAATTTTGCCACGTTATCAGGAAATTTTTCCCCAGTTTATTGATTATATCAGTATGTAATATATTATATACTGATATAATACAGACATATATTTAAAAAAGAATTTAAAATATAAAGTATTTTCCATAGAAAAATAAAGCGAGTCTTACCAGTTTCACCGCAGTTTTTGCTTCCTTTTTCTTGCTGTGATGCAGAAAAAATGTTTAAATGTGATAGTTACCAATTTTTGTTATTGTTGGTTTGGCTGCCTATAAATTAGTGCGGCTAGAAATTTATGGCAAGGAGACATTTGGCAATGGAGGCACAGATGGGTCACTATGGGCCACGTGCTGAAAGAGTCCACATGTTTGCCTCTCAATACGACAATCTCTCGGTCACTATCCACTCGGTAATCGTGCCTCTGCTCCAGCGAAATGAACTTAATGCTTAAGTGTAATTCTTAGTTTTTATAGGCTTTGAATCTTCGTATATCGAAAAAGTGATGAAAAAATTTTTATAGCCGTTATTTTGCAATATAAAAGAGGAGATTTGTTGGTTGGTTGGCTAATTTCTTCGAGAATTATTGGCAATCAGTTTAAACTAACAAATATAATACAAAGAAAAGAGATTTAATCAAAAAAAAAGAATTATTGGGAAAATGGCAAAGCGAAGTAGGAAAAGTAGAAAGTAGAAAATTTTTTGTCCTCTTTATTTCAGAATATAAGGAATTTATAAGGGGTAAAGACTTATGTGTTATATAAGACTTACATAAATCAACTTCGTTCACCTAGGATATACTGCAGCATTATGCACTCGTAAGTGAGGGTCGCGGATCTCGAATTCTGGAAATTCGTGTAGGATTAAGTCGCTCCGCATTTTGGGAGCAACCATACCTTCATAAAACCCTCGTTTAAACTTTCTGGAAGGGTCCAAACTCAACATACAATCGCCTCCCAACATACAATCAGTTAGCTATTCGCTTAAGAATTTTTAACGTAATTTTAAAATTTAATGTTATTTATCACATTCTGATAATTGAACGGTTCGGTCTTGTGTAAGCCTTGGCGCAAGATGAATTAATTCATTCATTGTTAATTTTTCTGATGTTTATTTTATTTTTTAATATTATATTGTATATATATATATTTTTCATTTATCAATTTTCAAATTTTTTAGTCGTCGATTTATATTTTTAAAAAAAATTTTTAATGTAATTTTAAAATTTAATGTAATTTTTCAAAAATCATTGCATAATCGATGGATGATAAATAATAATTAATGCGTTGTTGACTCGTCGATTTCTATTTCAGCTAATTTTTTAAAGCTAAATTTTTGTTGCTTTTTTGCTTTCTATTCCAGAAGGGCTACTCATTTTCTTTCTAACAGCCCGTACCATTGTCTCATTCCAATGAACAGTGCTAGGAAGCTCTCTCCTGAGAGTTTCTTGGGAGAGTGTAAAGATATACCAGCGGTTTCACTATTCCGATTTCACATTCCGACCAGCGGAAAGTTGTTGAAAATTTAGTGCTTTTTTGAAAAAAATTGATAAATTTGTAGGTTTTTTGTTCGCCTCATAAATGCAAATAGAAAATGCGAATTTCGAGAAATACTATTGACATATTTCGTTAGAAAAATCTAATCGAAGGCGAGTGTGAAAAGAAATAATGAAGTACGATTTGTTTGATTCGTTAGAAAAACAAAAAATTTATTTTCTAATTGGAAATATTCACAAGTTTCTCAATAGATTTTTATTAAAATCACAGAGATTAGCAGTTGTTGCTGTTGTTATTATAAAAACAGCTAAAAGAACGAATGAATGGATGAGGAAACAGGGCGGCGACGAGATGTCGATGTTGAGATCAATCGTGTAGGCTACGGTGGCATGCATCTGCTTCGAGTTAGTTCTTCCTCCTACTTGGTTGTCGCTCGACTTTAGTTCGACTAAGCAAAGCCAAATTTCTTAAATGAACGGTCAACTCCGATGCGCCCCACACTGTAAATCGCCCGAGAAACGCGATTTTATGGATGTAAGTCCAGAAAAGTCCGAATCTGATTTTTTTCGAAGCTATGATCCAATGGTTGGTATTGGTACCGCCGCTATATTGGTTCTTTTTATTTTCCTTATCACTATCAAATCATTTGTGAAGTGGATTATAAGGAAAATTCAAATTCTTCGTTATAAACACTGTAATAAAGAAACAACGGCAATAATCACTTCTACTTCGATTGATAATGGACACATTAACAGTTAATCGATTCAAACAAGTTTTTTACCTCATTTGATTCTATTTTTTATTTTCTATTTTAAAAACACCATAACTAACAATTTTCTAGCAAAATTTACAAATAAGATATCAAATGCTCAACTCTGGCATTGTAGCCACCATTATTCTTCTGTATTTGTGTAATTGTTCTGTACTGATTTCCTGGAATCCACTGATTGTCGCTACATTTAGGTCCTTTCATCAAAGAGCCGTTCAGTACCAAAGATGCAGCGGAGGTGACAGCTGTTCAGAAGAAATAAATGATATATTTCTTCACTTGAAATTGGACCTAAACTATTATTCACTATGCTCTTTACAACGGATATTCTTCTTTACAACGGATCTTGTTCAAATGCTCAACTAGCAGTACATTTCTACAGCATATCGCTGTTGAAAATTACAATCATCATTGATGCGTGGCATTTAGTTTTTTAATTAAACCATCAACGGTTGCGTGAACCAAAAAAGGGGGAAAAAATAAACGATGATTCTCATACGAAAATATTTAAAAATAGAAAATAATATAATTTTTATAATGAATGCGAAAATTTGTTTAAAATTTTTATTCGTATTTATTTATTGTATGAATTCCATTGGGAATTGAATGGAATACTTATTGCTTAGTGCTTAGCGACAAATTTCTACTAAACTTAATTTCAACTGTTCTTTACAATGTTTCCATTCCATTCCATTCCATTCAGTCGAAAATGGCAAATCTGGAGATTTCATTCCGTTCCATTTCGTCAATTTTATGCTTCGATGGAGGAAAATAAGCGAATTTTTATAGTCGACTGGTGGCGACGTTCGTTAAAAAAATCATCCGTTCGGAGGACGCGTTCACTTTTAATGATCGATAAGATTTAACCGAATTAAAGCATTAACCGAATACAAAGTAAGTAAAATTCCAGTTATCATTTATTCCTTATTGAATTAGTGCCCTGTTTCTCAGAATATTCACCTTTTTTCTTCTAAGGGCATTTATTTGTTAATTTGTTACGTCTTCGAGCAAAAGTCGGAGATTTATTTGCAGATAGGTGGATCCCTGAAAGCGCCTGGATTTCACTTCCGACAATGACAAGTTTAGACCAGTGAAAGGACGAGGAGCGATGGCTTCAAAGCGATATACCATACCACTTGTCACCTCTTTACACATTTCTTTATTTATTTTACAACTCACGCTTCCCAAAAAACCGAGGTCAATTAGGGGGCAACTTAAATCACACTTGCGCAAAATAATTTTGCTAGTCTTCCGGATTTTGCTAACTTTAAATCACGATTTAGCTCTTTTCTTAACGATTAAAATGACAGCCGACACAAGCGTCGTTCAAATGTCCTAGGAGTCCTAAAAATGGCTGATGAAGTCACCCAAGCAAACCAGCAGTGCTGGCTTAGAATTAGCCTGGAACAAACCATTTTTTTCATATATTTCCTTCGTTCTAAATATTTTCGTACTAATGAAATCGATAAACAGCTGGCACTTAGCGTTGGAGAAGTAAACGCAAAATCAAATTTTTATTAAACTTATGATTCAAATAAATGATATTTCTCACTTAAATCACTGGGAAAATATTTGCTTAAATTCTATCATTTGTTTATTCCTAAAATTTGTCCATAAAAATTATTAGACTTTTCACCGTTTTTTTTAAAACCGATCAATCATTTGCGAAAAATTAGTGTGAATCGAGGATAAAGGAAACAAGTAATGTGAGTCGAAGGTGGAGGAGATGGAGAAGACGATTTAGACTGGTGAGGAAGCGAGGAGCAGCGTGGAGAAGGAGACGGACGAAGAGCAGTGTGGTCTGAGGAAAAAGGAGACGATTAGGAACTGAAGAGGAAAATGGAAAGGCAGTCTCATCCAGGAATGAGAATCAAAAATCGATCGGAGATTAGCTGAAGAAGAAAAGAAATTTAATTCTCCCCTCATAATAAATTTTCATTGGAAAATATTTCAACAGATAAGCAAAGTTTCTAAAAATTGTTGCCGAAATTCCACTTTATGTTTTAATTTTCATTTGTTTCCATTTTTGATGAAAACGTCGATAATTTTACGCTTAATTATTATTTGTGATGAATATTCCGTCAAAGAAATCCCTAAAAGTCGTTCGAATCTTTCCGCTTTTACAGACAAATTTACGGAAGGATTGATTTCTCGCGGACGTTCGGTTTAATAACGGCTTTACTACTTCTTTGCACTGTCGTGGCCTTTGAAAGGGGCCTCGAATCAAAGGATTAGCGGCAATTTCTCGCGCTTGTATTTCGAGCTCGTTAAAAGCCAACTCTTCTATTGTGTTAGTGCAGTTCAGCTCGTGTTTTTTGTCTTTTTGTGATGGTGAAAACTGAGAAAAAACCAGCGTTCCAGCGATTACTTCCCTGCGCCATTCATCCAATTTTCTCATATTGCGCAATTTTTTTAATATTTCTCGAAGAACTCCATAAAGGATTTCTACTAATATTTTAGGCGAAAACTTCTTAATTTATTTATTCAACAGAGTGGATGGACTAAAGAGAAAAAATAAATATTCAATTAATCATGGAACACATGGAACATTCGCCCAATTTATAAGTCCGCAAGAGGAAAAGAAAAGTTTGCGAAAAGCAGTTCGCTAATTGTTTACCATTTTAGTTATTATCCAATTTAGCAAGTCACCTACTATTTAGATTATTTTTCGTTGAAACAGAAGGAATTTTTTTGGACCTTTTTCCACCAGATACCACCACCGGTCGCGCTAAGAAATTCCTTTTAGAAAAAGCGAATGAATTGAATCTATTCGCATGAAAACTACTTAAACTGGAAGCAACTGACGAGTCGTACTTCTTGGAAACATTTTACTTAGGAGTAAATTGTTAAACACCAATCAAATTGATTGCAACCTTGAGGCTCAAAGAAGAGGAAGAAAAGCCGAATGAAGCAAAACATTGTATAAAATGCGAGTTTTTAGCTAAGATTTTAAAAAAAAATGCAGCAAATCTTGAAAAGTATCCATTAAAAATATTTGTAATATAAAAATATAAAACTTAAATATAAATATATAAAACTTTTTATTAATTTTTATGAAAGGTTATAAATATTAAAGGTTTTTTTTATAATAAATCTAAACAAGAAAGGCGAAAAAAAAAAAAATTAATCTTGTTCTGCATAATTAAATTAGCATTAAATAAAAAAGAAAAAACACGTTAACTTTTTAATATTTTTTCTTGATTGCCACTCCAAGTGGGATAAGCGAGTGGACAGATAAGCGAGTAGTTCAGATCATCATGTTGGTTGGAACCCTTTCTTTGATAGGAGTGTCGTAAAAAAAGGAATTCTGGAGCTAAAGAACGATCTAACAATCTGGGCTTGATTCCTTGTCAAAAATTTCTAACCAAACCAACAGCCAGCGGAGTTAGCCTAATCGACCATACATGGGCCTTCAGTCTGTCCGTTTGAAGGAAACAGGCATGATCAATAAAATTTGAATTAATGATACACCCTATATCTTTATACCCTTTTTAAATTGAAGTTTTCTATTTTACCAGAAGTTTTGGAAAAATCAATTTCGAAATATGATAATGCCGAGATTTATTAAATTATATATGGACAATCATTTATGTTTTCACAATTCAGTAGGAGAAATCATTTATAAATTCTATACATTTAGCTTCTCCCTTTTTGAATAATGCCTTTCGCGGTAAGAAAAACCATCTAAGGGTAGGGATTCAGGCGAATCGAAGGCACATCTGGACCGCCCGATACAACCGTCTGAAACTTTACGTTAATTTGAGTAGGCAACCACTTCACTATTTTGCCCCAATAATTGTCCGAGCACAAGAAACTTTTAGTTTTTTGAAAAAACGCTAGATTTTCTCCATTTAATTTAAAACTTTTCGGAAAATTCTAATATATTTCTTTACGCTAATTTACTTTAATGAATGCCACTAATACTACTTATTTTTTTAACAAATTGGCTTCAAATTAGCCTTATAGGATTATCAGTTGAGAATCACTTAGTGGACGAGAATGTTGTCAGTTGTGGATGCAGTCAATGATCAATAAATTCAATAAATATTTGCGAAATTTGAAAATGCCCTTAGAAATTAGAATTATATTATTCTAAAACTCAAAGAATCAATCATAATTTTAGTATTTGACAGTATTGAATAGTTGTAATTTAGTCTTAATTGCTGCATGAAGTCGAAAGAAAAACAAGAAAAGCAGAATAAAATAAATGGTATATGTTTAGTATTTAAGCTAAACCTGCGATGCAAGTAAAGAGAAGTTAGTACCATCTCTGATTAGACTAACTCCACTGATTAAAAATTTTTGTCAAGAAAGGAAAGGAAATAGAATAAGGAATTATTGGCAATAGAAACACAAGTGCGTCTTCAGTACCATCCAGAAAATGACTTGTTTACTGCTGCCGCGAACCTGTGCCTCCCTTAACACGGTCCACCTTAGCCATTGTCCATTTGTCTACTGCTGCCAACAAATCTTCGAGTAGATTCATCGAATAAGGATTTCTGATTAGTCTACGTGAACTAATCTCGTTAAATAAGTTAATATTTTGAAGATTTGAAGATAGTCTAAGAAATATGTAACTACGACAGAAAATCAAAGAAGGTAAAATTCTAATTTCTCAAGGAAAACCACGGTTATCAAAATGGTACTTTTCCAATATAAATCTTCATAAAATATTTTTCTGCTTTCTTTTTTCGCTTTTCTCGCAGTGTGCAAACACTTCAAAAGTGCAAAAATTTCTTTCTTTCATTTTTTATCAAAAATAATTTTCGAAATTTTCATCTTTTAGAGGAAAACATTTGCGCTGATTATGAAATTTAAAGAATTTCGCAGAAAACCAAATTACTTTCGATGAATGTCGAAAAAAACAAACTTTAATTCGGGGAAAAACTGACTCGGTAAATAAATAAAACAATTTGCACCTTTATTTTTCGATGCTGGGAACCCATATGTGAATGCCCAACTGATTTGGTGAAACAATTTCAACGAAAACTTTCCATCGCCGTAGTGCCTCACATTCCGTGACCGGTGATTTTTCCCGCCTTTTAACCGGGCATATCAGTTACTATTTAACTGGATGCACTGGCTTTCAGAGTGAAACCTCCTCAAACACCTAATAAATTCTGTAAGATGCTGGTTTAAAAAAAATCCGAAGAAATAGTTAGTAATTACCATATACTAACATATATCTTCCTTCGCACCAAAAAATTAATGAATAAAAAAGTATTTTTATCACTCAAATTTATCAAATTCAAAATGAAAAATAAGATAAATCAAATCTGGACCAAACTGAAGTTTTTGCGATCCTGATTAAAGTTTCTGCAAGGTGCAGACAGTCATCAAAGTTAGGAGGAAAAACACAGAGATTAAAAATTGCCAAAAATTAAAGCAATATAATTAACAAGAAATTTTGATTGCTTAATCTCAATCTCAATTGCTAGAGAATTGAAATGCATCTAAACAACTTTCTACGAAAATTTTTACGACTAAACAAGGAGAATATTCAAAAAATGAGATTTTTTAAAAAAAATTTCTTAAATTTCCCACTTTTTCCCCACAAAAACACAAAGCAATAATAGGTATCGAACCACAGTGCTACCAAACTAAATGATAGATTCAGTAATGCATTTTGCATCGCATCTTCAGTAATATTGTTTATACTGATCGCATTAAATATATAATTTTTAAGCCTAACCCTCCGACGTCGTGCGTGGCTGTTTATTGAGTTAAAGATGAGGCTAAGGTTAATTTCAGAACAATTCTAATCCAAAAGCATTTACTATGGAATGCTGCTTTGAGCAAAAAGACATATACATTAAATGCAGTAATATTTTATCAGTAAATCTGCCTATAGCTCAATTCACGTCAAGAAGAGGGAGTGGAACCACAACACTTGAAATATTTAGAAACATTTTTAAATACATATATAACATAAAAGATTTTTTCACTTTAAAATATATCACAATGCAACAATCCTTGAAGAAGGAAAAATTTCATCATTGAGAAAAACTGTCAAACAAAAGAAGGAAAAGACTACATAATTGCACATGGATAAAAATATAATTTAGTATGGATTATTATCGATGCACCAGTTTATTTAATATAACCTAATGAAATTTACGGGCAATTAACGGTTTTAAGTGCTGAAAAGTTATGGAAAACCAAAAAATGATTGCAAAAAATTGCGAAATTCTAAGACAAACTGATTCAATAAAACGATAGGTATGCATAAGAACAACTGTATAAAAATATCTAATAGCGCAGAAACCAGTAGTTCCAGATTGGTTAATGTAAGGAAAAATTCATGAAATACCCTTATAAAGGAACACCACGCAACTATCAACCAAAAACCTGTCTCCGCATAACGTGGAAACATTAGGCACCATAACCATTAAATTATGAACCAGTATATGAGAATAATTCAAAATGTCATTAGGAACAACACCAAAGGTTCAAAACATCAGCTTCTCTGGCAATCTAGATATAGCAGTCGTCCAAACTATGGAACGCTAATTTAAATGAATCAAGTGCAATATATATCTCTATTGTTCCACATAGCCTAAATTCCCTTTCCCTCACAAATTACCATCAGACACCTTCTTTACATGAATAAAATTATATGCTATAATCGAATACTGACTCCTCATTTATCTAAAACGCATATACAGCGAGGACATTGGGATGTCATTCGGGTTGGAGAAATGTGGCCGGATGGTAGTAAAGAAAAGAAAATGACTGCAATGACTGATGGAGTTGACCTGTTATTAGGAACATATATACTAGCAATAAGCACCTCGATATCCCACATGGCAACCACAATGAGAAGGCACTGCAATATCTAAGTATCACCACAGAATAAGACAAATCCTGAAAAGCCCAGTGAGAACACAATCCATGATATAATTAGCACGCCCTGATAGCTGGCATAATGAGATGGAGATGTGAACACCCGAACATTCCTCAAAATGCACGTAAATTTTCAACATCCTAAAGATTGTGCAGCCGGAGAAAAGGCGTATGAAGGTTTATGAAGGTTCGTGAGTATGAAAGCCACTACATTAAACGAAGCCCGAAGCATTCAGGAATAAATCAACAAGATGGCATCAAAGGATGAGCTGTTGAGAAAATGTCTGAAGCACCTACAGATATTAGAAAAAGTGGCAAAGGATGATCCATTATGGAATCTGCCATCGAGAGACGACTGATGTTGAGAAATCTATCAATGGTTGGAAAAAGGACACTGAGGCATTGCCAAATCCATTGAAGCAAGAATTTGCCACATCAGACAGAATTCAAAGTGCAGGCTGCAAATAAACTTCAGAAACTACCCAAAACATAGTGGCAAAATGTAATGAAATGCAAGCAGGAATATTATTAGCAAATATTAAAAGGCAAGATGCCGCCATTGTCTGTAAGAATATCTGATATGAAATGAAGACCCGTATAGATTTCTTCTTCTTCATCTTCCATGTCCAGAAAATCATGGAGAATAAGGCCAAGATCCTGTGGAAGTTCTCCATCCAGAGGGGCAAACAAGTTCTGACCGATCAAGTAGACATCGTGGTAATATACAAGAACCAGAAGTCAACACTGGTGAAAGATGCAACAATACCAAGTGACAAACGATATCAAGAAACATTAGGAAGAAAGCTAAGAAGGAATATGAGAAGTTAGAGAAAGAACTGGAAAGTGAAGGCCAAAGTAGTCCCAATGGTACGAACACTAAGGTATTGCGATAGAAAAATGGTTCCAAGAAATTCCAGGAATAAGAGATACGATCCCTGTTCAGAAGAGCGCACAAGACATTGTGCAGAACCCTCAATCTACCAGACCTCTGGCAGAGGATCCGAAGTTGAGGATGACTTGTGCCACCCAGTGGGGGAAACGAAAGGAGTCTTTTAATTAACCAAGAAATAACAGACAGCTCAACGAAATATTTCACCAAACTGTGAAAGGAAAAATATGAAGGAAGAAGTCTGAGAATAAAGTCGATAAATAACAGAAAAACGACGGTTCGGCGAAAAGTCGCCGTATCCGTTTACTTTAACAAAATTCTCGAAGTGGGAAATTATCGTTTCGGTTCCGTTCCGTTCCGTCGGTTGGGAAACGTTTTTTGCGTTAATTACCCGAAAAATTCGAGCAAAATGCAATCCCATGCAATTTACAAAAAATTGCTCTGAAAAATTATTTTTTACTGAAAATTTAATTTCACAAGAATAACTTCGGAATGCGCACCGCAATGAATGAATTTATATCGCTGCCTTTGCAAGAATTTATCGATGGAAATTCACCAGCACTATCGACTATATTAAAACGCGAACTTAGAAAAATAAAAAGGAATTCGCGACAAAGCGGACTGCAAGTTGATTTAAAATTTTCTACACTTGTTTCGATTCGAATCTGCTAAACGAGCGTAATGGTTCATCGATTCGCCGCAACCCCCGGTAGTGGATCATTGGTGACGAAACACTATGCAACTGAAAGGGTAGAAAGAAAGCTAAGCGGGGCCGTCCGGCTTACCTGTTTTGCCAGTAAAGGAAGTTGTCCTTTTTCTTCATCCTGTTATCATGTAATAGTTCTACTCCGATTTTGGCGGCTACGGCTGCATTTAATGGCAAACGGGCCGTAGTTAGCCTAGTTCCAGACACCTTTCTTCTATTTCTCAGTCCGCTTTTTTCACAATTAGTATTTTTAGTTCTTAGTTTGTGGAGATTATGGAAAGGTTTAATTGGGCTGTTAAACTATCGGATTTGTGTCAAACAGAGAGTTTGCTAAAATTGTTGCTTACATTGCCTTTGCACTAATTGCCAGATAATTTCTTTGTCTTCTGTCGTCTGCGGGGTTGTATTTCCGATTTTGATCGGCCATTCCAATTATTGGTCCGCAAGCTCGGCCTTTTGCTCTAAAATCATAGCCCGTTCCTGCCAAAACGTGGTCCCATTACAGATCGTTTTCATCGTCGACCTAACAAGGTAGTTTTTTTTCAGTTCATTTATTATGCAGAAGCAGCAAGTTGAAGCGACTTCGAATCAGCAGCTGTCAGCACGATTACCTCTTCCTTCAGTAAGTCACGTGATTGCTTCGTCTTCGTCACAAATCTCTTCCAATTATTCATATCCGAATTCTAGTAAACCAACGAATTCAACTTATTTCAACGAATCTCCCAACAGTAATAATCAAACTGCGTCGATAGCGCAAGCAGTGGCACAAAGAGATTCATCTTCATTACAAGTAAATCCGTCAAATTATCGAATTTGTTCGAACAATATACCAACATCAACGTCAGCGACCGCCGTTTTCCAACAGTTTAATTCGCCTACACTACTCGATTCGTCTTCGAATATTTCAAAGGAAAATTTAACCGATGAATATCGCGAACTTAAAAAGCTTTTTAAGCATCTCGTATACGTAAGTTCTATTTTTTTCTTTCAGCAGCAAACATTTCGTTTTTGCTTGGCCCCATTAACTGCTAAGGCTTCGGCTGCTTCGCTGGAGATTCGTTTGATGGCAGATGACAGAGTTCGGACTCTCGGCGAATTGTTCGGACGAAAGGACAAACGCCGAATCTTTGCTACCGTCGGTTTGACTAGGAAGTAAAATATGACGACTCAAAAAGATGGCGAATATTTTTAATTTGTGTAGTTGACGAGACGAATATTTATTTTCAAAGTGGATTGCGAATAACGTCAAACAGTAGGATAAATGTTCACTGAAATCAGAAGATTAAGCCTTATTCTTTCGTGTAAAATATAAGAAATTTCCGCTTATTCACTGATTTTTTTCTTCTTTTTCTTCATCATTATTGAATTGTTTCGCTGTTATTTCGAAACTTTCCGAGCCAATGCCATTTCTGAAAATAACTTAAGCCAGTTCTTTTTTAATGTATAAGCCATATATCCCATATATCGCTGAGCGAGCGACTGCACATTCAAAACCTATGCTGGCCGTATCGATCCAGGTCTTGATTGGGTTCTCTTCGCTTTTGACGCCACCCAAAATATAGTGAGTGAAATAGTGAGACGTGCAATTCCTGTGGTGAGCGACGAAAAACGTGGTCAAACAATCAGATATCCAGATAGCATTCAAGTGAAGGATGGATGCAGTTATGTGAGATTCTGTCCGCTTAATATCATGTCCCTTAGGCAGCAGTGGTTAAAGGCAGGTAACTTCTTGATATCTCCCATTCTCATTGACTGTAAAGTTGGATTTTGCAGATATATGAATATTGCAGATATATGCGAAACATTTATTTTGAGGCTAATTTCTTCACAATTCCAGAGAGGTTTTGCCAGATGAAAATGATACCCTGGCTGCAGTTGACCGAATTTCATCTGTATTCTAGCCATTAGGTATGAGAGCGAATTCGATTTTTTCTTAAGTTTGATACTTCTTCAACCTTTCATGAATATAGTTAAAAGCTTCTTATTAATCTTATTAACTGGTATATATCTGGTATGGTACTGGTATGATGGTTTATTGGCAAGGTAATTGTGGATAATGGAAGCTTGGATTCGAATCCTGCAGACAGGCTCTTTTTCATCGGGCGACATTGTCGCCTAATGGAAAAATCAAAGGAAAGTAGAATGGCTCAGCAGGTTGTTGCTTGGTTTGGAGCGCCAATATTGAGGTTCTACTCCTTTATGTTATTTCAGTACCAATTTTTTCAATTCTGTTATCGATATCAGCGTCCGTAGCAATTCGTAGCTATAAAAAGGAAATCATCAGCAAATTCAAGGTTCAAGGAAATCAAAAAATTCAAGATTCATGGTACTATGCTCTTGATTCTCATGTATTTCCTAAGCAGGCCATGTCTAGTCTGTCGAATAGTTGAAAACTGTAGTTGATAGTTGAAATAGGGTAAGAATATAGTCTTGATGCGTATTAATAGATATTTTAAAAGGGTAGGTATATCCCTCATACATATATATCTCGCGCTATCCTAATAACCTGTGCCAATAAGTCTGATTAATTTCTCTAGAACTAAATGCTATATGACTTGACAGAGCCTCTCTCTATTGATCGATTCAGAGGTCGATGAGGCACGTAATGATGACTTGGCGATAACAGTATTCCAATTGATCCAGTCACAAGGCATTTTCTCCTTTTCTTCCATTATAATCGCGACAGGTATGCTGTAAAGGATGCTGAGCAGCATTTGAAGAATTCAGCTTGCAGGCTTTCTCTCGAGGTTTTGTTGGAGTTAAGCTTGTGAATTATATAAATTATTTTGTGCTCTGTTCGTGAAGTTCAATTCCAGTCTTACTGTTCCACTCATGACTGAGATGCTGGAGGGCCCGTAGTTAAGTTAAGGTTCGCAGAACTCTCTCCATCGTATGATCGGATCATTAATAATTTTAATAGTTTTCGCGCGCTCTCTCTATATTGAAAGTCATATCGATTTTTGTATATTTCGCCACGATCGTTGCGAGTCCACTTCCAACAGGTAATATCTCCGGATATGCGCTGTTGTGCTATCAGACAGCTGGGTTGTATTCTTCCGAGTCGTTTATTCTAAGGTAAATTTGGCTGATTCTTAGACATAGGACTTCAACCAGTATACTAGTGCAGTTCCAGAAATATATTAAAATCCTTAGGTTAAAGTCCTTCAGGCATTCCAGTATCTGAGTTTAATAAAAATATTACGCTTCAAATTTTTTTTTTTGGCGAATTTCACTTTTTTTTCCATTTAATGAATAATCAGTGTGCTTAATCAGTCACTTAATTTAAGTGATATTTTAAACGATTTCTCGTTGTTAGGGTCAAAACAGTGGAAAGCATTTTTAATGATAAAATAATAAAAAGTTTAATGAAAATCTGTTTATAGGAGCAGGAGTGTTACCAGTCAGAATTGCGAAATCTTCAACGGATATTATTTAAAATAACACGTGATAAAAATTTTTTGCTTGATCGATTATTACAGTATGAAACAATAAGCGATTCGTCTGATGGTTCGGATTCGGATCCATCTGATACAGATTCAGTTAAAACGTTAGAAGATAAACCGTCTCCGAAGAAGTATGTTATAAGCATCATACTATATGCTATTTTTCATATGGGAATATATTCCGCGCAAAATGATGTTTATAAAATTTATAAAATTTCAAGCGCTAAATTATTGAGATACAATCATATTTTTTCTAGTAATTGTTAATTATAACTGTTCGCATTACTATAAACGTTGAGACATTTTCTAGTGAGAGTCGCTGGAGAATAAAAATGGTGGGAGATCCTTCGCAGGGACAGCAGATTGTTTTTTTCATCTTTATAAAATTTATTATAAAATTTATAAAATTTTGCAGAAAAATACGTCTTTCTATGCAGCGTCGCAAGATGAATGTTGGTAGACCGAGGTCAGTTTTTCTGCCAAATATGAATGATTCAATCGTATCATCGTCAAATTTGAATCGTTAATCGCTTTCTGATCTTTTTTTTTCCCAGGAATAAGCGGAAATTTTTTCTAAAATGCAGCCGCTAAATTTGTCGTTGCCGTTGTCTCGGTTTCAAAATTTTTATGTTTTTACGATATTTGAGTCAAAATTTTCAAAGATGTCATAATCACTTTCTTTTCGTTTTCGTTCTTTCTTTATTGTTTCACCATCTCATATGCAGGGAAGAGGAAAAAAAGAACAGAAAAATATAGCAATATGAAGGGTTTCTTTATTATTTTACCATCTCATGTATGGTAAATAGGTGCTAAGGATATGCCATAAATCCATACTGGTAGGAATATTTAAATCATGTAATTTTTTATTTATCAAAATTATTTATATTATTTATTTATATTTCAATAATCAATAATTGTTTAAATATAAAATTAAGGCAATGCGGAGCGTCTTATTCACTGTTTATATTCCACTTTTTTCCGATGCATTTTTTCTTCAAATGGTGACATAGTGGTCATTGACTGATAAGAAAATATCTTAACGCCACTTTTTTGGTCAAATTAGGTCGGCTCATCATCATTTTCACTATCTGTTAAAGAGACATCTTCTAAATCTGGGAGAGGGAATCTTAATATAGCTGCAATACCACCAAGGGAACTCAGCTGTTCTCCAGATACGTGCATTGACGAAAATATATGAACCTTTGAACCCTGAAATCAAGAAAAAATCCAGAGGAAAGAATAATACCTTGAAAACTTTTTAAATTCAGCTTTAGAAAGGAAACAACTTGAAGAAAAAAATTTATTATAAAAGAATTCGCTTTTTTTATTGAGGGATTTATCTAGATTAAAAAACTATAATGCAAAATAAATAAACTATTCTAGAATGTCTCAGAATTTGACGCACAGAAAATAAAAACCTGATCCTTCACAGATTCCACTAACTCCACATTTCTTTTCCTTGTTTCTAAGTCAATAGACCGAAATAACGAATCTGATAGAAGAAGTGTTTCTATAGCCAGTTGTTGATTTGCCATTGCTACATGTTTCGGGCCGTAGAATGCACGAGCTGGCTCATTGGCCAATAATTCGAAAAATCTGTTCAATACTTTCACCTCGCCTTGTACCTTGAAGTTGATGTTTTTATATTGATATTTTGATTTAGAAATTGATATTTTTTCAACATTTAACCTTTGCCTTTATCCATTTTAAAATGGATTTAAAAGCTAGAATACCAGACTTGAGAATTTCAAGGAGTTTTGAAAAATCCACAGGCAAATTGAGGATTTTAAAGAATGAAGAAACTCAAAGAAAACTGGATAAGCTGTATAGAAAGAGGCCAAAAATATTTTAAGTCAAATTTGGTTAAACATTCCACTTTAGTTTCGGAAAGTGTGCTGGCGATTGTAGGATCAGCAAGAACTTCCTTCAGTGCATGTTTGAATCCATTACTAGCATGAACCAACATAAATTTGCTTCTATTTTCCGTAACCATTTTGCTAACATCTTTTTCAGTGCGTTCGGTTAGATACGTTAAAAATTGCTCTTTGAGAAAACCGGGACTCGCGACTATCACGCATTTGATTATCTTAAATCGTATAAATTTACAAATCATTATTCTTGATTTATTTTCGGATTTCTCACAATTTCTCTATTTACTATTTAATAAATGGCGGTTATTCCATTTTTATTTGTTTATTATAACAGGTTTATTTTTTCATTATATTAATAATAAAATTAACGGTAATAATATTAATAAAAGCAGTACAACACCTCATTGTTTTATCTTTCCTAATCTCTGTGGTTATTTAATTTCTTCGTAGTAAGGAAATTTGCTTTTCTTTTAGTGAAAATAAACCCGTTAACTAAAATCGAATAGCTCTGGAAACGTATTTATATTATCAAGTTATTATGGATAAAGGACATGGTTATATTAGTACGGCGCTTGTGTCCTTCGACACGTGTACTATGATATTCTTAGGCTACTGGCTTATTGGCTTATTGTAAACCGGACTTGGTAAAATGATTCCTAGGGATAGATTGAGTCAAAATAGCTGCTCCACGTCTATTAATCGAAAATTCGTCAATTTTTGTGCATAAGCGGCGAGGTACTATTTCTAATAGCGAGTCGGAATGCTCATGGACATTAGTAATCAGGCGATCCACTCTTTTCAAATATCGCATAAATGTCGTTTGTTTTAGGAAATCCATCTTCCTCTCTGTGTCTCTATTAATTATTATACCTGACTCGGAGGACAAACACTGGTTGTATTATCGTGGCGATTTGATAAATCAAGACGAAATAGTCATGTAAACATGTTTAAAAGAACTCGATCTGCTCTGAAGGTTTGGAATTTGGTTAAAGATCATATAGCCTATGCGTAAGTCGAAGGGAAATTCAACAATCTCACCAATGTTATCAATTTATATGCTTCTATTTTATGCACAGATGACCATGACAGGTTCTTTTTGTGAAACTTCAAGAACATATATTCTAAAATACTCATAATCGTGACATAGTTATAAATGGGGAAGATTGGAATGCACGCCTAGGTCAAAATTCTTGCTATAGTGGATCCCATGATTGGCAAATATGGCTCCGAGGTCCAGTGCACGGATGGATAGCACATTGCCAAAAAATATTGGTTTTGCTATAAATATTCTTTCCGGTGGAAAACAGCCGTGTAGAACTCTATGGGAAATTGATATTCCAAGCAGATTGATTTTATTTATCTTGATTACTTGTCGATGAAACAATTCCATAATAGATAGACTATACGAGCACTGAAACTGGTAACCTTCACGGATCAAATCATGTTAAAATTCGATCCGCATGAAGCTGACAATGTGCAAAAGGAAATAGTATCCCTTAAATTTTCAACCAAAAAATTCATGAACATAAGCGCATTTTAAACCTTGGGAAACAATGAAATAATGTGAGATAATGATGATATGCCTGAAATCAGAAATTGCCTTATACGGTGGATGGAATTCTTTGAAAATAAATATGCCATCTGCGTCCCCGATATAATTCTCGTCGAGTCATATATATGAAACCGTAACCTTCACGGATCAAACCATGTTAAAATTCGAACCACAGATCCGCATGAAGCTGACAATGTGCAAGAGGAAATAATCCTCATCAGTTTAGGGCCAAGAAATTTCTGAAGAAGACATGGGGTGAAATCTTCAAACATGTCTAACTTCCTTCACAAATTATCTTCTAATTTCTGGTAAAAAAGGAACAACTATATCAGAAGATTGGAACAAAACAACCCTTCCCAAGAATTGGAGAATTAGCCTATTATATTTATTTGGAAAATTTTCGACTCCCTTTCAGTGAATAGACTTATGGTAGTAGACTTAAGGAGACAGCAGGATTTACCTGAACAAGCTGAATTCAGACCAAATATTCATGAGTATTTGAATATTGCTTCAAATACTGACAACCCACCATCACTGTTTCATTTACCGCAACTTTCGATTCAGTTGATAGAATAGTGCTCCGGAGGCTTACAGAGTTCGACATTGCTTCAGAGAAGATTGTTCGACTCATAAAGTCATTTTACTAACGGGTAAAATGTATAAATGGGGAATTCATTCAAATTCATTCAAATTGAGAACTGGTGTCAGTTAACTGGTTGTTTCCTTTCCCAAAAATTTAACTATGCGATAGATTGGATAATTGACACTGCTTGCTTGTTAAGAGTTCGGAGTATAGTATCACAGATTTTGAATATCCTTTAATGTCCTTGTTAATGTTAATGTCCTTTATGTTGATAATCATGAAGAAAGGAGATGTTAGACGGTGTATCGACAATTGCAGCAAAAACTGGATTCAGGTTCAGCATAAATAAGATAAAAGTTTTCTTAACTTACAAATTATAGGCTATAATATATAATACTCAGGTTCTTGGATCCACTCTTGCTAAGCGAAAGAGGAAATTATAACCTGATAACTTTTGTCTGGCGAAATCTCGGATCACCGCAAAATCGCCAACAAAATGCAAGTTCACATCTACCTGGCTGCGAAATTTAGTTAAACTATTAGATACACTATTAGATAAACGGTAGATAAACTATTGGCCTTGACTAAAGTATATCTTCTATGTTTGAATAAAGTCTCATATGAATACAACATCCACCTTCGCCTGAAATACCACCTGTATTCAAATATCGTCAAGAGCATCGCCCATCAATAAGGTCTTCGCAACACATCGCAGGAACTGACGCCTATCTTGCTATCTGCTATTAATATTTCAAATATTTCGGGACCAATCAAAACTTGGATTAATACAATCAGAAGAGAGGTGACCCAGCGATGTATTAGCTTAGACGAACACCAAACATAATACCGAATAGGGTTACCTGAGGTCGCCTTACACTTATAGTCAGCGGGTAGGCTTAACCAGTAATGATCGGATATCCGATGAAGAAACCATCTAAATTTCTACTTTCAAGATTCTGAAGTGAAAAGTCCATTCATCTAGAAGTTAAATCACCAAAGAAGTCAGCGAACCTAGAAAAGCTGTGCACTTTCAACTAAACAAACAAAAAACAAATAATTAAAACCATCGAGTAAAAATTATGGTAGTTATATGCTTACCTCATCCATTTTGCTAATGAACTTAATTTTAATAAAGTTACATCTAACTTTCCACAAAAATCGTAATATTTTTCAAAATTTTTGTATTGGCTTTTTGCAAATTTTGTACTGATTATTTAGCATCATAAGAATTACATATCCAAATGATATTTGTAAATAAAGTGAATAAATAAAAGACCGATGAATCCATTATAAAACCCAATAAAACGTTCAACAAGCGAAATTTAAAAATATTAACTGTAAGATCGATATGACGAACAAATGCAACTGCTATAGCTTCAAGGAATTTTTCTATGCCTTTGTCATGTTGACTTCCAAAACCTTTTCGTTTCCGAGGAATCTGAAATTCAACTCAGCAATTAAAATAACAAATAAAGAGCGAAGAATTTATATATCAAGCACCGATCAAAATCATATCCCTACGAAATTAAATAACCTGCATATCAATCTTTGCGCGTATCACTGTCCTAGTATCAGTTAAAAGACATATATGGGCAAGACCTTCATGCATAATAACAGCAGCTACATCGGCATTCGTAACTACCTGCAAGACTGGCTGATGATACCGAAAAAGATATTGAATTTTCAAACTATCTTTTTAAAAGTTTTTATTATACAGAGAAGTAAAATATTAAAATATCAAGAAGAAATAATAAAGAAAAATAGAAATAACTAAAAACTAAAAGAATAAATGAAATAAAACATTAATAACTAAATAATTAGATAAACAAAATTACTAAATAACTAAATAAAATTACAAACAATATTTCATTACTTAAATTCTTAAAGGGATATAGATTAAACAATATTGAATAAATGGGATTACATTTATAGCTAAATTTAGACGATCGATATCAACAGAATCCCATTCAGATTTATAGATCGTAAATTTTCGACCAATTGCTAAATCGAGAGTATGATAAGCACCAATTTTAACATACGCATTAGCTTCAACATTTTTTCCTTTTAGATGCAAAATGCTGCCAACAGTATCATAATCGGTTGCTTCCACACAGATTGCTAAATTCGTTTGCACACGTTGACTAAAAAAGAGAAAAATTTTTCATTATAAATAAACCATTGAAAAAAATAAAAATATTATTACTTTTTAGACTTAAAAAAAAGGAAAAAATTGAATCAAACGATAAAATATTAAAATTTTAATAAAAGATTAATGTTCCCAAACAAAAAACAAACACTTGATATTTAATATATTAATATCCACCCAAATATGAACAAATTGGAACAGATGAAGATCACTTTGTTAGAAGAAAATTACAGATGACCTTGAAGTACTCCCGGTATTTGATTCAGTCGTAACCTTTCGGAATGTCGAACATCGAACAGTATCACCTATACGTATAATGTTATAAACATGCCAAATATCTTCCGCATCTTCGCAAATTAATGTCACATCTCTGAAAAGAACTGACACCCGTAGAAAATGGGAACATAAATTTCTTGAAACATAGCGTAAATTATGAGTTAAATATAATGGCATAAGAAAACGAGGCTAAACTCAGGATAAAAGACTGAGCTAGACTGGGCTTTAAATTACCTAACATATAAAAGGAAACAAGAAGAATATAATGAGGGTAAAGCAGTCCTAAAGAATAGTTCCAGAGAAGCAATTACCACCAAAAAAATAAGGTTAAATATTCAATAAAACTGGGACTTTTCAATCGCCTATCTACAGTTTGCCTCCCACAGTCGCAACGAAAACGGAAAGATGTCCTCCCTCGATATACATTTAGAGACGAGAAAACAGCAGGCGATAGGAAGAGAAACAAAAAAGCACGAAAAGAAAAACAAAAAGGAAAGAAGAGGAAAAAAATTTGCAAAGACTACAGAAGGGTGGACCAGAAAATCGAAAAGTGCCGTCTTAAACCATTTATCGACTAAAACCATTAAAAAGAAAAAATTTTAAACATAACTGAAAATAATTAAAGAAAACAATGAATTTAAAATTTAAATAAATTTAAAAAAACGAACCCAACGCCGCCTTTGTCGATAAATCGTTTTAATTGCTTCATTGATAGAAAATAAACTTTCTTTTGTCATAAAAGCAATGATTTTCTGCAAAATCTTTCCAAAAAGAAACGAAAATTTTCAGCAAATAAAAAATAAGAATTTCATTAAAACTTAATTAATTGTGCCGAACATCTCTTTTTTCCGCGAAAACCTTTTTAAGCGAATTTGTCCAAATGAATTCAAAGTTACTAAATAAATAAAATTTAGAGAAAACGATCAAATAAGAAAAGGAAAGAAATGAAACTGATAAGAAACACCGAAGAAATATTGCTAGAGCAAAGCACAGAGAAATTAAGTACCGTTTACGAAGTAACATTTCAAGAACAAATAAAAAATTAACAGCTAAATATTTAATGGCATCAAAGACGGGGTGGAGCAATCAAGACCTGGACTAATGAGGTCAAGAAACGTCTTGAACTTATACCAGTGATATATGGACTTAGATGATGGAAAAAGAAATGGGTTGAAAAAGCAATCTATTACTATATGTGATGGCGCGTCAGACCAACCAGCTTGGAGACGCCTTATCCTTGAAGTAGAGTAAAGCCAGTAGAGCCAGTCTAACCGGTAACGATGCGAGCTGTTTGAAGAAGAAGAAATATTTGAAAGCGTTTTAAGAGTGTCGAAATTCTACGATCGAAGTTATAATTCTTTTTTTTTTATATTATTTTACTATTTTATTTGCTGGAAATTGTAATTTGCAAGATTTACAAGAAATTTATATGAAAATCGAAGAAAATTGCAAATTGGATGGTTACTTATAGCTCTTTCATTCAATTGTAGCGAATCAGTTCAGACAGAGTTTTGGAACTATGTCAGTTAGAAATATTCTGATGAAATTTTCTTTTTTTTTTTATTTATATTTACATAATATTTTATTTTTATAAGTTATTTTCTAATCAATTCCACCTGTGCATTAATTTTTTATACTGCGTAAGCGTAAACAAAGCTTTTTCTTTACGAACGTTGAACGGTAAACGCAGACCTATTTGGGATTTATCGGTAACGTAAACCCATTTCCTCTGGAACAGTAGCAAGAATTCTCTAGGAAGTAGAGTCTGCTATTTGGTTTTTATATCACCATAGAGAAAAAAGTCAGAAACAGGTTTCTTAGAAATGCTCATCTTGTTTTTCCATAAATTATGAAGCTCCATTACGTCGAAAATTGATTCATTAATAAGAAATTTTTATTAATCATTACAAAAGGTCCATGAAAAAAATCTAATAAAGTTTCGTATGACGTTCTATTCTATTTTTAAACAATAAATTGAAAAATGAAAAAGTTGATATAAAATAGATCATTGGTGCTACAAGAGGCCAACTTGGAAACTATGATAGGTAACAAATAACACAGATCCTATGCGTAGAATTCCTCTAGTCCTACAACCATATGTCATCTATATTTGAATGAAATTTTAAACATCAATAATTTTGAACTTTAATAACTCCCTACTCCTACAAATCTTGGGCGAAATTTTTATTTTAAATTATCGATGATGGTAAATAGTATTTTTTTCGGGTGGATTTTAATAATTGCAATGGCACTTTAAAAAATACATAATTCTTTGGATAAACCATCACCGCCAATGTAAACCTCATTTAATTTCCTTAGAACTGAATTTCAAGGTTGAATGACTTGCATAGCATCAACGAATCACATGAATAAAAAAGAATTTCCATTCGGAGAATTACAAAACTATCAGTTAAATACAGATAAGTATAACTGATCAACGACAAGTATCGCCTCGAGCTAGTTTGACTCGAGTTAAACGATTAATTAATCGATTAGAAAATAACTTAAAATTCATTAGTTCACAATTTAAAAAAAAGGTGATATCAATTGTTTTCAAGCAGAATAACCTCACCAGTTCTTAATTTTCTGCTTACACTTCAATAATTAAATGGGTCGACAGATCTATGGACGAGTTAGTTGTCTATAAATTGTCTATACCTTTAAGCAGAACTGGAACAATTTTCAATGATCAAGTGCGCCGGTGTAGATGAGCTAATTATTCGAAGAATCTTATCACTGGGATATTCGAAGAAAATAATCTCTCAGAAAAACTTATTTTAAAAATTTCGGTTGCAAATAAGATAAATAAGATATGTGTTGGAATAATAAAGTATAAATCAGGTATTGCTATTATCATCGCCTAGCTTTCGTTATTTTATCGCTTTTATGTGTTTCCTTCTCATTTTTGTGGCCCTTGGCCAAGGCTTTGATACCTGCGTCATCATTTGAAATGGCAGAATCTTGGAGCATATAACCTTTAATATAAATAACTTTTGGAATTTTAGAAATATAAATTAAATTTTTTATTTTAAATTTAGAATTCATTTTAAAAATCCAAGATTTATTCGAGTATTTATGATTTAAAATATAAGGCAAAATTATAAAATTTTTTTGCATAATTCTATAGTAAAATTTATCAATATTTCATGAAATAAGTAGCAGTGACCTACCTCCATAATCTATATATTGGCTCGGTCTGCAACATAAGCCCATATTGCATTCAAAACCAGCACCGCAAAGCCCATTGATGCATCCACTTACAGCTTCTGAACCATCTGGGCAGACGCCAACTCCACTTCGCATGACTAATGAAAGGTGCCTTTTTAGGAACAGTAATTTTCTCAATTTATACTTCTTATTTCCCTACTTATATTTTTAGAAGTTCCTTAAATATTACGCAATTAATCAACAGATCATCTAGCATTACTAAAAAATAAATTAAGAGTGACATGTGATTTCTTCGGAAAGTGGGTAATGAGGGTGAGTGAAATAGTCGAGTGACATGTAATTTCTTCGGAAAGTGGGTAATGAGTTCAATTCTTGTTCTTGTTCCTAGATTGTAAGTCTTCCATTAATTCCAGGTGATGTTGAAGTCTATATCACTCCAAACGAGTCTCTGACAAATGGAGCTTATCTTAACAATCAATGCAATTGGAAAAAGAGCGTGTTAAAAGAAAAAAATTCCACAAGCTAATGGGGGGGAAGTAGCCGGAACTTTCGAGACCGAGGTGATAACTGTTCTGACCAATCTGCTTTGGATGAATCATTTCATAAAAAAAATACCGTTATAGTAGCCTCGCATGTTACTGTAGGGCTGATATGACTGTTGGTATGACTGTTGATACGGCTGTTGATATGGTGGTTGATATGATGAAATGTAAGGATTTTGCATCACTCGATTTGCAGCACAACAATCGCCAAATGTTTCTACTGTTCCTGCAGCACAAGGTGGATTTCCCAAGGAAGCACCCTTGCCATTACATGTTAAATAACAAACAGGAGTATTTCCACCGGTGTAGCATTTGTATCCAAGTGGACATAGGTTGCCTGAATTTATCATTAAAGTTTATATTTTGTCCTATTTTTTCTTGTATAAACTGTCCCAATGAAAAGATCATTTAAAATGCGAAAAATAAAGAGATAATTTATTAATAATATGGAAATGAAACCTGGTTCCAAGCATGGGCCTATCGGTTCAACAACTGGACAGCAAGTATTAACAGATGAGTCACACATGAATCCTGCATCAGGGCACTGACCTCCCACGCATGGCCCGATGGCATTATTCAAATTTTTGCAACTGAAGGGTGGCGCCACTGTTGTTGTAACTGAAATGCGTCTAATCAAGAATTAAATTAGAAAAAAATCGGCTAAAAAATAAATTTATCTGATGTGGAGTTTCACTTTACCACGTCAACATAATTTTCGACGAAGGTGCAAGAAAGGATAAGAACTTGCCTGGTCCTCCTGTAGCTGGGCAACAAATATTGCCAGTAGTGCATTGGTATCCCTTACCACAAGCACCGTTGATACATGCTCCCACCGCTTCAGTTCCATCAAGACATTTAGGTGCTTGTGAAGTTTTATTGCAACAAAGACCTTAAAGATCTTCTTTAGACCTTTAAAGATTGTAATGCTTATATTATATCTCCAAGATATTACAATATATAAATCTAGCCACTAATTTGACCAGTTGCCCAAATCTCATTCTTGGTTTATTTACTTTTAGTATTTTGTCATTGTATTGAATTAGTCTACTCCATTAATTTTTTTCCCTTAGTACGATTATTGACCTTTGACGCACGAGTATCCAAATCCGCACATCCCATTTATGCAAATACCAGCCGCTTGAGTTCCGTCGGAGCAAACTGGAATAGTTTCATAAATTCATTTTTAAAAAAATTTATTAATTTGATGAACAATCAATTTTACGTTATATCATTATATTGATAAAATTTTATGAAAAGCCAACGAAGTGGATTAGCAGTAGTTGTTGCTGCTGTAGTTACTGGCATAACAGGACAACAGATTATTCCTCGAATGCAAGCCAATCCTGGTGCACAACGATTAGTAACGCACTGACCATATGGCATACCACCCATAGGGCAAACGTCTTAAATTCTTCATTTTTTCTCGAAAATATTTCTGAGCAATGGATAAAAAAATGAGTCTAAGCAATGTAACTGAAAATTGAAACCTGCTCGAAAGCCATGAGAAATATAAATAACTTTATGCTTTTTTAATCGACTTACATTGCTGTTGAGGTACAGGGCAACACATTCCAGATTGCTGATTGCACTGGTATCCAGCTCTACAATATCCATTATAGCACTGTCCATTCGGTGCGGAACCATATGGACAGCCTGGAAAGATCCCATAATTTTATAATAATTTTATCATGTTCTAGATCGTTGCATCTTGACTGCAGTTTAATTGGAAATATGAACCCTCAATATTTTAAAAATTCTTTAATAATTTCAAAACAAATTTAAGGAAACCAAATCAACGTGCATGGCATGCATTTAAAGCGATATACTTTTTGATACGGATGCGGAACAACTAATTACAACTAAAACAATAAAGAAAAATAAAAAGCAAAAGCTAGTTGATATATAGACAGACTTGTCTGTGGGCAGCAAATGCCTGCAATACAAACTTCACCCAGAGGGCATGTATTGTAGCAGAAGCGTCCAGTTGACGGCATTCCTCCCGGACAGATTTGTTGCGGACAACATGATGGTTGCTGCGTACCGCAACATCCAGAATATCCCCGAGGACATCCCGGCGTGCATTGATATTGTTGTTGCTGTTGATTTAATACTAAACAATATGCACATAGAACACATTACAAAATTAAGAAAATCGAGAATTTGAATCTTTCAGGTGAAAACTTGCATGCATTCAATTCATTCACAGCCAACGAGCGTTTTTATGAAAATTAAAAAATTCTTTTTAAAATAACTAAAAGAAACTAAAGAAATATTTAAACTAAAGAAGCTAAATATATTAATGCAAAGATTTTCCAGCTTTTTTCTCGAAATAATTTGTTATTCAAATCAGGCAACTAAAAATAAAAAGCATAAAAGACGCTCGACCTCATCTAAGAACCGAACAAAAGGTCCATCTAGACAATTTTCTGTTTAAAAATGATTCTAACCAAAACTCTTTGAATAATTTTATTTCCAATAGATGGCTTTCCTGCTTGCTTACCAAATAAATAAAATAATTTTGGCAATAAAGCTATCATATTTTGGTGGCCAATACACTACGAAAAAAATTTATTTGATTTTGCTTGGAATTTTCCACTTTAGATGGTTGAAGCATAATAGTTCCAATCTTTTTTTTTTGATGAATTCTAAAACTAATGTTGACCTCAAATTGTAAAATATAAATTGACATGCTCTATAACCTTGAGGATTGTAGGAGGGCCCATAGCTTGGATTGTAACTCGGGCTGAAACCAGCAATAGGTTGAGATTGTGGGGCGCAACCAGGACAATTAGGTGGTGCCACTGAAAATGAAGGTAATTATTTTTCATCAATAATATTTTATAGAAAATTTGCTTTAATTACCATTTAATAATTGTATTTTTCTGCTGGTTATTCGTAAATTTTCAAATTTATTTAATCAACGAATCAAACCTCTATCCATAAAAATCATAAAAAAACTCACTCATAATTGGAGCGCCTGGATTTTCAGAGATTGAAGGACCACAGCAATAACCATTATTGCATACTCCCTGGGCACATGGGTTGGAACTGGAGCACTGCGTATATTTACAAACTGTAGACGCTTGAACAACTGGATTATACTGAGGTACAGTGGCCGGATTGTACTGAACTGCAGACGTTAGCCCTGGTGCAAATACAAGCCCTGCAATAGTAGCACACATAATTTATTTTATAATATTCATCAGTTTCAAGTCTTTTAATCAATTGAGGATACCTAGTTCTTCATTTTTTTTTTAAATAACAGACTTATTTTCGTCAAGAAAGAGGAATCAAACCCGTAATATTTGACTTTAATCGACACATACCACTCGATTCCGCTTCCTGGATTAACTGGCTTAATCATAAGTCTTTCGAATAAAAAAAAGGTTTATCTTTGAAAAAAATGTTACTTTTGTATTGAGAAAACGTTTAATTAATGAAAGCATTCTGAAAACTTTATAAGAATTTAAAATAGGTATTAGAATTATGATCCATCATTTTTGTGTAATTCTTTTCCTGTGTAATTCTTCCTCTTTTATAAGAAAAAGTATTTACATAATTGTATCTAATGGGCCAATAATATCCAAAAAAATAAATAAAGAAGAAGGATATGAGCATTTAAATAAAGTAACTCATCACTACATACTACCTACTAACGCATCCTTTCCGAAAGGTGATTTCGGAATCAATCATGAAGAGTCAACACGGCATGAGATACGTCAACTATGTTACATATTATTCATAATTAATTTTTTTGCTAAGAGCGTTCACCGCTGGATTGCCAATCGGAACAGATAAATTTTGCCAGAGAGCCACTTGGATGAGGGTTTTACAAGTTTAAACAATTTCTAAACAATTTCACTGAGTATTTCAATGTTCAAAAACCACTACATTTTCTAATAAACTGTGCAGTTCAAATCTGCCATGATTTATGCTATCGCCTTCATTCCTTGCTTAACTGTATTATCTATTTCATTCATATTTCCAAACCTCTCGGTCCATGTTCTATGAATGAAAAAAAGAAATTAATTATTTTTACATTCGATTTTTTTAAATTCTGTGTTGAAATTTCCATGGATTTTTCACTTAAATGACAAAATTCATTAAGAAAATTCAAATGAAAAACATGCAAGGACAGTAAAAATCGGAAATGCTTTAGTTCAGGATTTATTTAACTCGAAAATAATGTTAAATAAGAAAGTGATAAGAAGGTGATAGACAACAGTTGATAGGTTAGATTATATAAAAAAGCAGAATTTATCATTTTGCGTTATCATTTCAATTTTGGCAAAGTTTTAATTTAGCTATAAATTCATCCATAAAATATTTCACTATATTATTTCACTATATACCGATTAACGACTGGTCGAACCTGCAAAATATATCGATTTATAAATCTATTTAAAAGATTTTTTTGATTATTTAGTCAAATTATTGTTATAGTAAAAATCTAATTGTCGTATAATATTCGTTGCGAAATATTTTGATTTTATTCGCTTGAAATAGCCCTAAGTAATGCTATTGCGACTTGATCCACTGATTATTAAAACGAGAAATTTACGAGAAACGAGAACCTTTCGTCAAATATTCATTTGAAGATTATAGCATTTCTAAGTGGCACTTTTGTCCTTCAAAAGGAATCGAATGGTTTAATTCCAAGCAACATGCCACTCGACCCCAGATAATACCTTTTATTGGTCGTTTTTCTAAGCTAATTTACCTAAGCCGAAACATACCGAATCCTTGGCAGTAAAATGTCCCCACACAGCAATATTCCTTGGGACAATCACCAAGCGGTAAGCAGTATTCTGGATAGACTTTCGTGACCATTACCACACAAATGATTGCAATCACCACAAAATACTTTTATGGCTTTCAGCCGATTTTGGTCTTATACTAAATTTTGGGACAATGTCAATTGTTAATTGTTTTTCACTGGCTGGTTAAGTCCTAATTAAATTGACTTTACGAGAGAAAAAAGCGTCCGAAGATTCCAAATATGTTTTTATTATATTGTTTATAGGACAGCAACGTCGTTGATCACAAAAAGCTCCGATCGGACAATCAGATGATCGAATACATTCGTGAGGAAATGATAGAACAGATAGTCCACTCGAACAACGATGTTCATTTAGCATGCGGCAACAACGATTGCTCATGCAGTCACTTGTATTTGGACATGGATTATCTAGTGAACAAGAAAATCTTTCAATTATACAATGATTATTATTCGGTGGCAATTTCTTGGGTATAATTAAGCTCTTCTGGAGCAAAAGAGATGCATACTGATTTTCATTCGGCTGAATTTTCACAGATATCATTGGTTCTCTATCAAACAAAAGAGAAGCATGCTTTTTTACAGCAAAAGGTAGATTTGGCGATGTTTTTTCAGTAGGCTTTTGTAGAAGTTCCAATTTCGTCAATTTAGAGATTGTTTGAGAACTGTATGATTGAGAAAATTGGTCATGATCAAATAACACCTCGGATGATGAGGGCTTGGTTGTTTCATTAGCCTTCTCAAATTTTTCTGAAGAAAAATACTCGTCCAAACAAGCAACCTTCGGCTTGGCAAAGTGTCGCTTGCATGGCATTCCAAAGCTCTTTGCTAAAAATGTGATCCATTGTAACTGTCGCACATCACAACAATAAGTTTGTTTGCATATTTGTTCATTCAGACAATTTATTTTCAATCCCCAGCTAAATGACTTTGACATTTGAACTCCATCACTGTCGCAATTGCACAACATATTGCTTGTTCGTTTTTCTTCTAAATTAGATTGTTTCTTAGATTGTTTGTGAAGGAAAAGATTCAACTTTTTATTAGAACTTCTTCTAACAGTACTCGCCATTTTTAGTTTGGCTTGTTCACCTGGCTAATATGGAAAAACTCCTTCGCCAAAGAATTACATGAAATAGAATTGCAAATGGATTCCTACCCTCATCCAAATTAGGGCTCCGAAATGGATTAAGCGATTTATTTCATTAAATTACTCATTCAATTCGTGGGTAACAAAATTTTAGCCTGGCAGCTATTTTCAGTCCACTTTTATTGGATGCAGAGATTTTAATCAAAAAAATTTTGGTATTTGATTAAGGCAGCTTTAGAAGTGCAATGACCAGTAAGCAAACTTCCGCTTTGAGGAATGTAAAGCTTCTTAAAACTATTCTTTAAAAGATCGCAAATCGCAAAATTTTTCAAAGCATTATTTAGACAAACGTAATGACCAATTTGTTAGCTCTAATTGTGCAAATCTATCTTCCTTTTCGATTGATTATTACTCGATTTTTTGTCGCATAATGGGAAGTTTGAGGCATTCTTAAAGGTGTTCTCTGATATCTCAAATAATTTTTAAATGTTAGAGTTGTTTTTCCCAGCTATTTTCTGGTTGGAATTAGCGAATTAAGCTTTATGGTCTGCATCGTATAATTGTATAAATACTTATGTTTAATACTCAAATAAATTTTTCTTTTAAGAATAAATAGCGAAAGTGTTAAAGAAGGTGCCAGAATTTTACAGATGAGCAGAAGGAATATTTTATACCCATATTGACAATGGTTAAAATTTAATAAATGCTCAGAGATTAAAGGATTAGGAATTAATTATGTGAGAATAGAAGAGATGTTGAAAAGTGAAGTTTAGGAAAGAGATGCTTAAGAGAATGTGCTTTCACAGAATGCACTTACGATTTGCATGAATTTGCGCTGGAACTTGAGCAGTACAAACTTGTAGCTCAAATTTGAAGATTTGCCTCTCAGGGCAACTCTTTTTATTCCATCGAAAGCTGCTATAAAAAATTTACACCATTTGTCGAAAAATAAAAATCTTAAAAATTGAAAATTGACGAATAATCTCCAATTTTTGCAAATTTTTAGAAAAATTATTTTTAAAAGAATTTTGATATGCTAATTTACAATTAATAAAATAAAATTTAATTTTACAATTTGATTACCTTTGATCACACTGCAAATAGCTCGTCAGGTCGTTTCCATTTGCCTGAAGGCAAGTCTCGGATACTGAACAACTTTCTCCTTGCGCAGCATTTCGATCTTGTACTGCAATTTCAACCTTTCAAAAATCAAAACTTTTAATATTCAAAAAAATTTAATATTCAAAAAAATAGAAAATATAATAAATACCTAAATAATTCGAAAATATTCGAAGGTCAAAATTTTAAAATACAAAATGCTTGAAATTTTATTTCAAATTTGTCAAAAAGTTTGGATCATAAAAGCTATAACTTTTTCGAAAATCTCCGTTTTATTTTTTAAGAAAACGAAATATCCATAAATGCAAATTTCAGAATATTTATTGAATTTTGAAAACTTAAATATTATGAGCTAAGGCCACTATAAAACAGATATAGATTTTATTTTTTTCAACTTATTTACCACAGATATTGCTGGATGGAGATGGAACTTGGCCATATGTAATTTGTGGCTGAACACCCGTGTTGATTATAGATGAGAATGATGAAGATGAGCCTTGAGAAACCGTAGAATCATCTCTGATTTTCACAATCCAAGTACCACCAAGACCTTTCAAGCTGAATGGATGAAAAATACTATTAGATTTGATCTGTATTTATCCAGATTTTCTTGAATATTGGACAAAATACAAATGATGCATTCAGCACTTAGATCTTCTTCCTGGCAGCACATAGCAATTCTGATTTGGCGTATTTCACTAAATATTAGGATAAGATCCTTTCACGAGAGAGTCATTTATGGATAGGAGTAAGGATTACCACTGCCACCCATCAATATGTGGGCAATGGCAAAATAAAAGATAACCTTCGTTGAAAAGAACTCACCATTTCTGGTCATTATGGAGTTTTAGCTATTCTTATCCTATTATATGCTTTTGAGCGGATAATTATTCTGTAAAGCTCAAAATTACGAATAATAAATAAGTTAATCTAACCTCAAAATGGTAAAATACAAAAAAGGAAACAATTTATTATGAAGACCGTCAAAGATAAAAATAGCTCTAAACATACTCGGTATTAGGTTCACACTTGAGATAAAAATGTTTTTGAACGCCGCCAATCGGTATTTCTTCGTTAAGAGTATTGCATTTACCACCAATAATTGGTGTAGATATTGTGTTAGCCGATGAATAAGATAATAGGCAAAGTAGTAAGGCTGAGCAAGGATAAAGCGAGGTGATGACCATCGTGCTAGCGTCTCGCATGCCACTAAAACTCAATACTAAATTTAAGTAAATTGAACTATAATGAAGCAAATAAGTATAACCAAAAGTAAGAGGTGATCCGTCTATGTGTTTACATAATGTGCGGGGACAGTTTTGCTCCACCCAAATGGTCACTCAATATCGTGAAAATCGTTTCAAAAATTTGGCGATTCGTTCGGAAATTTTCGAAGTATTCAGAGAAATCGTTTAGATTTCTTTCGACAAATAATTTGCTTTTTCGATTTACCTGCCACATTAGCTTTATTAGCCAAGCAGATATTTTCGGCAATTTAGGTTATAAATAAAAAAAAAAAAATATGCAAAATTTTTCGCATTTATTCGCGAATTTTTCCAGCCTTTTTATGTAAATTTTTATGATTTTTGAAGCTTAAAAAATGGTAATCCTTCTCGTTCTAACAGCCCTCATCATTTCTGACTCAACTGGCTTCATTGGCTATTAGAATGAAATCCCTTCGCCAGAGAGTCACTTGAAGATAGAATTAAAGGTACTTCTCCAGTGCCAGCAGAATTTCTCTTTCAGTGTTTTTTTATTTGGTGTGCTGAACATACTTTATTAAAGAGAACAAATATCCAAATATTTCGAAAAAATGCCTTTTAAATAATTTATTCGTAATCATTCTGAAATTTTTATGAAGCAAAAATAAATGGTTCAGAACATTGTTTTTAATTTATTCATAAAGTAGAGATCCTTCGGAAAAAAGGACAGTACTGAGTTCCACAGTACTAGGAAAAATTTTTTTTCAAATATTTTCAGTGCTTATCAATAGATTTTTGAAAATTTTAAATTGTCGCGCCTTATTTCGGCATAAAATTTCTTTAAATCCATTAGGAAATCAGTTTTTGATGACTTGTTTAAAGAACATCTAAAAATAAATTTTCAATAATTTAAAGTTAATTTTTTAGTTTTCTTGTATGGAAAAAACCTTCTAATCCTATCATTATTGATTCATAATCTCAATAAAGTTATTCTTGCTCTGACAAGTCAAAAAAAATCCTTAAAATCCTTAAATTCGAAAAATCGTCCTTTGATTCCTTATATTAACTCAGTAAACTTCAATAATAGCATTAAAATGCCTGCAAGTTGACAAAATAGGATTCTGAATGCTTCCACAATTTGATGATAAGGTAATGGTAACGGTGATTAGGTAATGGCAATAAATAAATAAATTTCGAGCAGAACATGTATGGGTATAGTCGATGAAAAAGAAAAAAAAGGAGGGATAGCATCTATCAGCTATGGTATCGAGTAGAAAAGTTTGGTCCATATTATAGATGACCGTTTAGCCTGACCAGTGTTGTTAGAAGGAAAAAGACCGTGATTCGGACTGCAACAATTTTATTTTCCACCTTTACCGATCTTTTCTTTTTTTATAATAACTAAATCAATATATACCAATATACCAAGATTCACTGCTAATAAAACTTTGTAAAATGCAATTCTTAAAAGCAAACCATCGAAGAAAAAGCATTTGGCAGATATGAGAGGAAATATATCTCAGTTCCCTCCTCCCTTAAACCTTTTTCTTCTAATAATAAAGAAATATGAACTAATTTTGTTTTATTAGAATATCTTATTCGTTTCTTTTTTTTATTTTTGTTTTATATTTACATTTGGAAAGAATTGTCATAACGAAATTGATAAAATAAATAAATTTTTTAAAAATAAAACAATTTCAACCGAAGTTTATTTAAAGGAGTTAAATGAGAATCGAAACAATAGTTCAGATGCTAAATTTTTCGCAGTTTCACGAACGTAATATATTGGCGAAATTTTTGAATTATTGCAACATTTGTTTGCCTAAACTGACCGACATCCACTCGTCAACAATACTCATTTCCAGTTTTAACGAAACAATCTAAATGGTCAGAAAATTAAAATAATAAAATTCTCTTTGTGTTCATTTTGTCCTTAATTAAAGCTAAAATAACGATAAATTGGTCGAAATAATTTTTAGCATTTTACTGAAGAATTACTGATCATTCATTAATTACATAATTCCTAATAAGTTCGCTCCACTTCTGAGTCTTAGAAGAATGAAATAATTTTACCAGTCATTTGTTGGTAGAAGAAGATGAGAGACTCTGGCTTCGCTGAAATTTTTTAGTGATAGGTTTATTCTCAGTTCTTGTTTCTTTTCTTGTTTATTTCCTAATTTGAAAGACTGCATTTTTGGCAAAAATGAAACAAATCAGCAAAAACTAGTTTTGGTGATTTGAATCATCTCTTGAACCATCAACATTTCCGCAATTAATACAACGTTTTGGACTTATAATCCATAAAATTTGATATCGTATTCTCTGAAGTTTGTTATCGATCGTTTTAAGTTTTCCTCTTTTTCATTGTTGACGATGGCAACATTTTTTATAACTTCTCGTTACAAAAAAGATGACATTTTGACTATTATGACGGTTTTTGCCTCCTTATTTTTATTTAATATTCCACTGTATATTGGAAGATGAGATATTTTAGCGAGAGATCTGCTCGCCGATAGGAGTGTGGATGAGTCCACAGCACCACTTGACAAATTTCCTCAATGATATGTTTATCATTGCCAGGAGCGAATCATGATAAATAAAATGATATTCTAGGCAGTTGTAGTTTTAATATAAATGTTTTGCTACTTTCTTCAGTTAAAATGATGCTTTAAAACGCTTTTTAATTCATCAAAAAATCTCAAAAGTTAGTTTTTATTTTCTTTTAAATTCGAAGTTTTCAAATGGTTTTTTGACTTTTTTAAAGCATTAATTCGAGGCTCAATCTTTACTCAATCTTTAAAAGACAACGGCGAAAAGCTAAAATTTTTTTCGGCTGATGATTAATTTTTTTATTTACATTACGGCTCAAGAGTGGTGAGAAGATTTCGGTAAGGCGACGCATCAAATAGCTTTCAAAAACGGAACTAAATCTGACGAATGTCGAATCTCGATGGCCTGTTTGATGATAAATTTCTTTTGCTGTTCTTTTGGCATTTTCATTTGTACCTTATTTATATATGCGATTATTTTTGAAGGAGTGTTGCTGACCACCACCACTATCGAAATAGTTATCACACGGTTTCGTTAAATCTCGAATATCTTATTCTAATTGCTAATTGTTTAAGTCGCGCTAGAAATGATCTCATTTATTCCACTAATGAATAGCACATTAAAAAATAAAAAAATTATGATTTCTCAGCATACGGATTGGCTTCAACAATTTCAGCCCACTAAATTTCGCTGTGTTTGAATTTAAATTAACTGATTATGTGCCATCATGTTTTTTCTGAATATCGGCGATCATATCGTATATGAACTCCAAGACGGTCTCGCCTTAGTGTGATCTTTCAGGACTATCAGCGCTGCACTTATCGCCTCTCTATCCACCCATCCTTGTTGCAGATCTCTCGTCCTTTTTTCTTTCCTTGTAACACTCCTAGCAATAGAATCTTTTCCAAAGAGCAAGTAGTAGGACAATTCGAGCCTGGAGTATTTGTGCTTTGATTTGTGACGATCCATCAGTCCTTGTGGCTTTATTTTCTTGGCTCTCTCAGAATCCGGAGTCTTTTCCAGCATCGAAGTTCAAAAGCATCAATACTATTCCTATCTCACTTTTTTGAAATCCAAGTCTTTCATCCATAGATCACACGGACTGCATAAATCTAATTTTTATAGGCATAGCCACATCATGACCATTTAAATATCTTTTTAAAGGTGCTAGCGGCCACTGCGCCTTTGCTAATCTGTCTTTTTTCTTTTTTTATGTTTTTTTACGCGTAATCTTTTTTATGTTTCTTTCAATTTAAGGCCATTGTCAACTTGATATTCCTCGAACAGTGCAAATGGCGCATGAATAGCGTTCAGGAATGGCGCAAACAGGCCTGAATAAGAATATCGATTTCTTTATCAGGCTCTATAAATAAATAATATAATACAGCTTGTTGTCTTGTACTGCCATAATTATATTTAGCAGAAAGAAAGCGAAAAATTTCCTAAATTTGTCAGCTTGGTGGGACAGATTAATTCTATGCCCTATTACCTTTCTTGGGGACTGAGAGCACGATTGCTTCGCTCCAGTCATCTCGTATTAGAGCTTTTTTCCATACCAGAACATATATTCGTTGAGGGTGAATTATAAATGTGAATAGCTAACATTTGAAAACATCGAAAACCATCTTTTCTGGGTGTTTTAATAAGTTTTCAAATAATAGAGATCGTTTCTTGCTGTGTTGGCGACTTACAGTAAACATACAGTTTAACAAGCGTTTTAGTTCGGGGCAACAATATTTAATAGTCATTAGTGCTTTCTCTCCTATCATTGCTCGTGTCGAAGAAGGTTGGACAGATTTTTGTTATCGCTATTCGAGCAGCTTCTCCATATTCAAGGCCTTATTGTTTCAATAATGGTTTTCCGCATTGCTGTTATTGTTGTACGTTTTTAAAGCTCCGATAGAACTATTACCTCTTCAGATCATCTGTTCAGATCATCTCTTGGCATATTTCCTTGCCAAATGATTTTCTAAAAAATTTCTTTTCGTAAGACAACAGCTAATGTCGCACGCCTAACCAAAAATGATATGACTAACTATTTACTTTTTTCACTTCACTTACTTGCGGAATTTATTTATTTATTTGAAACCGAGGAGAGCGAAAAGCGCCATATGCTTGCATAATAACAGAAATGGAAGAAATCACTGATATAAGGCACGAAACGAAGGTGACCAAAAGCCAACAATGATAAAAGAAATAATACATATAAAGGGGAATTACGGAATAACACGAGTCGAACTAATTCATTACTACTATCATAAAGATAAGATAAGATTCCGATGATAAGATTTCAAACTACCTTCGTAACATATGAAGTTTCTAAATAATATTCATCCATGATATTATTCGATCATTCTTTAAAAAATAGCTAAGGATAATGCACAAACTGCGTTATTCGGCAACTTATCCCAGTAATTGACGGTGCGAATGAAAAAGCCATGAAAATGCCCTTA